AACTGTCGCAAGACTTTCACGAATTAAGAGTTTTGACACATGCCACAGATTCAGGTAGGTCTTGTTTGCATCACTTCAACCATGTGCGGCTATTACTGTGACAAATTGTAATTGAATCGCTACAGGTTCATAGATAACAAAGCTGGAGGTAATTGGGACAAATATTGAAAGGTCGGCACTCTGGAATAAAATGCAAATAAAGAGTTCTTTACCACATACCCATTGGGATGATAAGGGATCCTATGCATCTTTTGTGTATAGGATTTCTTTGTATCCCAATGGGTATGTCATAAAGAACTCTTTATTTGCATTTTATTCTAGGGTGCTGACCCTTCATTATTTGGATATATATGTTTGATGGCCTGTCTAGCTGCAGTCTTGACACAGGTGGAACCTTGCTATACCGCATAAAGAATATAGGGGTTGCAGTACCACACCTCATTGTTATGGATTCCGTAATTCAGGCAAACACTTGGTGTGCAGGACCATGCCAGTGCTCAGAGTGGGGCCGCTATGTAGTAGAAGAGCAGGGCATGTCTGTGTGGGGATTCCATCATGAATATGATAGCTTTCCGCTCAGAGTATCTTGGCCCCTTTCAGCTTCCGGTCAGGAGATTCCCTGTTCAGTGGCTGAATGTTAACAAATTGGCTAGGGATTCTAGCTGATGCTATTAACCAAATATGGCATTGACTATATTTGGTCATTAGCGTTGGCCAGCATCTATGCCCCTTTGTTTACATTCAGCGGGTAGGGAATCTCCTGGCTGCCAACTGAATGGGGCCAAGGATGCTTTATTGGTTGACGTCATTGGGATGCATCATTGGTTACTAGGGCAAGGGTGCTGTGCGGATCGGAAATGAAAACATGGTCTTCAGCACGCCTCCCACCATGCCTCCAAGCAACATATTTTTGTACCTGTGTCCGTCAGGTATATGAATTTGTTGAAAGTACCAACATTTGTTGGATGGCATCTTAAGAATGTCTACTACACTCCTTGGCATTTATTTTCATACACATGAAATGTATTTAACTGATTTAAACTGAAAGTTCAGTTGCAACTTTGTCAGCTGGTTTTGTTTGCTTCAAACAGCTTTTGCATTCCTATACAAGTCTAGTGGAATGAAAAATCACTGGACCATCTGAAGTCACAAGGAGATCAACTGCTGGTCAATGAATTCTGAAGTGTCTCTGAAGTGTCTGAAAGTCACACTATCTTCACCTGGTCCTTCTGGGTTTGTGGGCTCCAGCGGCTTAAATGGCTGAGCCACGACGACACTGTTTATGGCACACAGCTCTGAAGGAATGGCACGGGCATGCCCTTCCTTCAGAGCGCATGTGCCGGTGTCTTTTACAAGTAAATATCGCCTAAACGGTACACTTTGAGGAGATTTTTACAGTACCTACAGGTAAACCTTATTATAGGCTTACCTATAGGTACAAGTGAAAAAACTAATTTACTACCACTGTAAAAAGAATCTGCCATTAAAAAAATAAATATTTTTTTAAAAAAGCTGATGTGTATATACAGTAGTTCTACCTGGAGATGCCTACACATTACTAAATGGCTTTCTACTTTCACACTCTGCCCAAAACCAATGCCTTTCTAATTGGGGGAAAAGCTCTGATACTTCTTGAAAATGTTGAAGCTTGCTTGCCCACTTCTGGATCCCAATACATTCACCAAGACTGGCTGTCTCACTGACCAATAGAAATTTTTGGGAGGCGACCAGCATGCCTCCACACTACCAGAAACATGCACTGCTTGCTGCCCTCAACAGACCGGGGTGGTCCAACTTCACTGAATGCAAAATAGAAAAACAAAAAGGGCGCACCGACCTAGTGCATTATCGTTTAAAATATTTATTGAAAAAAATCAAGGTAAGTATTATACTCACAATGAACATAAGAACACAGGCATATCACACCGAACAAAATAATGTATCCAAGCAGCACCTGAGTCCATACGATGGAATCTTGGATGACCAACTGGTAACGCGTTTCGAGGCCACAACCTCTTCCTCAGAGCTGAAAGACTAACCAAAACCTGAAAGACGTGGAAGAAAGCGAAAAACTACCATTCGAATGGATAGAAGAATAGCCAAAATGGCAAGGACTCAGCCAACAATCAGCTCCAGGAAGATCAAAGAAGGTGTAAAGTTACCTGTGAGTACTGTTACAATTAGAAGACGCCTATGTGAAGCCAAGCTATCTGCAAGAAGCCCCCGCAAAGTCCCACTGTTGAAAAATGACATGTGCTGAAGAGGTTACAATTTGCCAAAGAGCACATTGACTGGCCTAAAGAGAAATGGCGCAACATTTTGTGGACTGATGAAAGTAAGATTGTTCTTTTTGGGTCTAGTGGCCGGAGACAGTTTGTCAGATGACCCCCAAACACTGAATTCAAGCCACAGTACACTGTGAAGACAGTGAAGCATGGTTGTGCAAGCATCATGATATGGGGATGTTTCTCATACTACTGCCTATGTGTTGGGCCTATTTATCGCATACCAGGGATCATGGATCAGTTTGAATACATCAGAATACTTGAAGAGGTCATGCTGCCTTATGCTGAAGAGGAAATGCCCTTGAAATGGGTGTTCCAACAAGACAACGACCCCAAACACACCGGTAAACGTGCAACATTTTGGTTCCAGACCAACAAGATTGACATTATGGAGTGGCCAGCCCAATCCTCGGATCTTAATCCAATAGAAAACTTGTGGGGTGACATCAAAAATGCAGTTTCTGAGGCAAAACCAAGAAATAGAGAAGAACTGTGGAATGTAGTCCAATCATCCTGGGCTGGAATACCTGTTCACAGGTGCCAGAAGTTGGTGACTCCATGCAACACAGATGTACAGCAGTTCTCAGAAACAGTGCTTATACAACTAAATATTCATGAAGTGATTCAAAGGAAAGCAAAATCTTCAAACATTTTTCAGTTTATATAGTGAATGTTTGAGTTTGTAAAGAAGAATACAAACACTGTATTTTTTTGAACAGTCTAATATTCACTTTTCTTCAATTTTTTTTAGAGGAACAACACAAATTTGATATATTTTTCTTCATGTTTTGATTTGGAATAGAATGTTTAGGAATCCCAATGCATTTGTGTGTATGGAAATAAAAGCTATTAGAAGGATTTTGAGCTTTATTCACTTTTTTCAACACACTGCTATTATTTTGAACACAACTGTATGTAAACAACTACGCCACATATGTAAGGTATTTCCAAAAATGGCAGAATGAAAGCCATCATTCTAGAGCCATAAATAATGGTTAACTCTAAAGTGCAAACTAGTAAAGGTTTTTAAAGCTTTGCCTCTGGACAGTTTTGGGTATCGTAGTCCTTTTCACCATTTTGTGGTTTCACAATTTTAAGGCTTCACATGTTTGCTTTCTACTTGATGCAATCTCTTTTTATGTTTTACAAAAAAAATGCATTCAAATTAATTTGTGTATGTTCTCTGGGAAATATGTGTTTGATAAACAGATGTGCAAAACATTGCAACGTCCACCATTTTATTCTACAGGGACATTGCTTTTAGAAACATAGCATTGTTTGGGGGTTTTCAGTAATTTGTCTAGAACAAATGCAGATTTTATTGTGTTCTTGAAAAATTTAAAAATTGCCTTGGTAAGAAAAGTGGTTGAAGAGGAACTTTTAAAAATTATATATGTATGTATATATATGTGTGTGTTTATACTTACAGTACCTGCTCTGTGCAATAGTATTGTAAAGAGTGACCCCTTCTCCTTATCTTCTCCTGTGTTCCCCCACCAGCTCTCCTCTCCTCCTCTTCTGCCTTTTCCCCCATAGCAAGCTATGTGCTATGGTGGGAACCGGTGTTGGGTGTTCTTCTGAGCAGGGCTGTGTGCTTTCATAGACACACACAGCACGTCTTGGCTCCACAACTCCCAACTCCTGCCGCTTTCAGTAAGAGAACAGGAAGAGGGGAGAAGAGAGATTCAGAAGAGAGAGGCACAGAGTTGGATTGGTACAGGTAAGTGTTTAGGGGGGAGCACAGCAAGTGGTAAAAAACATCATTTTTTTAATAATTTTTTTTACTGTAATGCGGGGAACACACTAAGGCAAAAATTTTGTTTTAACTTTAGAACCAGTTTAAGTCCTGTGAAATTTTTTCCCCCAACCCTCCTTTGTGGTGCTGCATCTTTAGGTGTCTGGCGCATGCACAGATGTGTCAAAAGGCATTGCCAAGTCTTTAGAACCCAGCAAAGATCTGCGTCACATCTATACACACACTGGGTTGTTGGTGAGGGAAGGGGAAGAGCCAGGAGAAAGAAAGCTAGAGTTCCACTTTAATATGATTATAATTTTATTAATATTATTCCAGGAAATACATTTCAGAGCTCTGACGGATAGTTCTGTCTATAATAATAATAAATCCTCCTGCGCTTCAGTGGATGATCCCTCACCCAAAGCTGCTCACACCCAATCCTATACAAAATAAAATAAAAATGGTGTAGCGCTAATCCATTAACACATATTAATTATATACATAGAAAATAAATGTAAACAACATGCACATAAATAATAAATGGCAAAACTGTAGTGATATAATCCATTCAGGATCCAATGGTGAAAATATACAAGGTGAAACGTGAAATACCAGGAATGTTCCTGTATGAGTGAAAACACAAATACACAAATCCTCAAACCCCCATATCCCCAAATGAGGGATCAAAAGGTACAAAAAATGGGGTGTACACTTAAGTGAATCCCCTACCAGGGGGATATAATATTCCGCTTTTTTTTAATTCCAAATGGGAAGACTTTTTGCCTAGTTTTGAATTATTAGTAATTCTAATCAAATTGTTATGACATAAATCTCTGCTCATAAATTTCCAAAATGTGTATGGAAAGCACCTATACCTGCCAAATTAAATATTTAACATTGCATATATATTTGCTGTTCAGCATTTTAGGCTGGAAGTGACCACTGGATGTTTCTTTCTGATGATTATGTATGTCTGTTCTATTAGGTGCACTATGAGGTGGAGGACATTGTCAATAAGTTAGAGGAAAAAGGTCTAAGTCCTGGAAACTCCACAGAAGAATATTTGGCCTTTTTGTGGAACCTTTACCAAGTAGCAGAAATAAATTTACTGGATGCAAATAACAGTTTGGAGGAGCTGAAACAGCAACAGGCAGAAGAAATGAAAGAGGTGCGTGTACCGATATACAGTATAACCCCAGGCTTAAGGGGTGTGAAGATATTAGGAAAGCAACACCCCCCGCCCCCCTTATTTTTTCTGACATGTAAAAAAAAAAAAAAGAAAAATTGGATAAATGTGTCAAGCATTCTCCCAGCTCTGACCATGTTTTCCTTAATGCAGTGGTGTCCCAGGATTGTCAGCTCCCTCTAACAGATTGTGATATTTCAGAAAAAATACTGCTTTGTCCACTACATGGCGCTGACGAGCATAGGAAAACACTGCATTAAAGCAGAACTATACTTCCCTCCACTGCAGCGATGTGGTGTCCAGGATCTCCCTGTCAGTCGCTGACATCTGTGGGAGTTTTTTTTTTCTGGATACCCTATATCTCCATAGAGCTAGTGAAGTTGGGTATACCACCCAAATGTTTTGATTCCTGGGTAGTTGTATATGTATAGACTTTTTGTCTATGAGATCTATATGTACTAAAGGCTGGTATACCTGACATGGTACTAAAATACGTGTGTCATGTTCTTATTCATTCTGTATAAGGTGGAGAACTATGTGGCCCATATCCGTAGCCTCACCGAGGAGAGGGAGGCCCTCACCACAGACTTTGAGAAGGAAAACGTACAGCTACGGATTGAACTTGAGAAGGTGCAGTTCCAGCAAGGTGTGTTCTCTGTATGTATGTGTGTATATATACAGTGGGGACAATAATTATTTGATCACCTGCAGATTTTGTACGTTTTCCCACTTACAAAAAAATGAAGGGTCTAAAATTTTTATCATGGGTGTATTTGAAATGATAGGTACAGAATATCAACCAAAAATCCAGAAAAAAAACCACATGATAAAAATAATATAAATTTGAGTTGCAGTTCAGTGAGTAAAATAGGTACAGTTGCAAGAAAAAGTATGTGAACCCCTTGGGATTACGTGGAGTTTTGCATGAATTGGGCATAAAATGTGCTCTGAACGTCATCTAAGTCACAACAATAGAAGAACACAGTCTGCTGAACATAATACTACACAAACATTAGATGTTGCCATGGGTTTAATTGCACATAACATGTAAACATTCACAGTTCAGGGAGGAAAAAGTATGTGAACCTTTGGACTTAATAACTGGTTGACCCTCCTTTGGCAGCAATAACCTCAACCAAACGTTTCCTGTAGTTGCAGATCAGACCTGCACAACGATCTGGAGTAATTTTAGACCACTCCTCTTCACAAAACTGTTTCAGTGTAGCAATATTCTTGGGATGTCTGGTGTGAATCGCTCTCTTAAGGTCATGCCACAGCATTTCAATCGGGTTGAGGTCAGGACTCTGACTGGGCCACTCCAGAAGGCATATTCTGTGCTGTTGCAGACATTGTTTTGTTGAATTACTTGTATGCTTTGGGTCATTGTCCTGTTGCATCACCCATCCTCTGCGCAGCTTCGGTTGGCGGACAGATGGTCGTACGTTTTCCTGCAAAATGTTTTGATAAACTCTGGAATTCATTTTCCCATCAATGACAACAATCCGTCCAGGCCCTGAGGCAGCAAAGCAGCCCCAAACCATGATGCTCCCATGTTTTACAGTGGGGATGAGGTTTTGATGTTGCTGATGAGGTTTGTGCTGTGCCTTTTTTTCTCCACAAATAGTGTTGTGTGTTCTTCCCAAACAACTCAGTCTTGGTTTCATCTGTCCACAGTATATTTTGCCAGTAGTGCTGTGGAACATCCAGGTGCTCTTTTGCAAACTTCAAACGTGCTGCAATATTCTTTTTGGACAGCAATGGCTTCCACCGTGGTGTCCTCCCATGTACTCCATTCTTGTTTAATGTTTTCCTTATTGTAGATGTGTCAACAAAAATGTTAGCATGTGCCAGAGATTTCTGTAGGTCTTTAGCTGACACTCTGGGATTCTTCTTTACCTCATGTAGCATTCTGCTCTGTGCTCTTGCTGTCATTTTTACAGGACGGCCACGCCTAGGGAGAGTAGCAACAGTGCTAAACTTTCTCCATTTGTAGACAGTCTGTCTTACTGTGGACACCTGAACATCAAGGATTTTGGAGATACTTTTGTAACCCTTTCCAGCTTCATGCAAGTCAACAATTCTTGATCGTAGGTCTTCTGAGAGCTCTTTTCTGCAAGGCATGGTTCACATCAGACAGTGCTTCTTGAAACCAGTAAACCCAAAACAGGTGTGTGTTTTTTAAGGGCAGGACAGCTGTCAGCAACACATCCAATATCATCACACTGATTGGAGTCAAGGTTGGCTCACTCCTGGCTCCAATTAGCTCTGGGAGAAGTCATTAAGCTAGGGCCTCACATACTTTTTCCTCCCTGCACTGTGAATGTTTACATGTTATGTGCAATTAAACCATGGCAACATCTAATGTTTGTGTAGTATTTTGTTCAGCAGACTGTGTGTAAGGGACCGCCTGGCGGTACCACTAGCACTCTACTGAATAGGCGTCCCCAGCGCACGGAATCTAAGTCCCAGGGTGCTTGTTCACCAGGGCCCCTGATGGTGGGGATGGACTTGGAGCCCCCCGAGACCAGGTCGTGGCTACTGGGTGCGTCCGTCAGTGGTAGTGGTATGCGCCAAGGGCTCCCACGGGGAAGAGTCTGATGTGAGGAGGTCAGAAGACCCCACTGCAAGGGATGAATGGATGGATGAGCAAGGTCAGAGACGGGCCGGGTCGGTAACAGAGAGGACGGCAAGGTACAAGGCAGAGGGCATAGAATGGTCGGGTCACACGCCAGGTCAGCAACAGCAGGTCAAATCCAATCAGGGGCATTCAGGAGAGAGGTCAGGCAAAGCAAGGGTCAGAATAGGAGAAAGCAGCAAGGTCAGGTACAATCCGGGTCAAAACTTACAAGGTACAGGTTCACAGGTTCACAGGATGCAGGGAAGACCAGAAGGCACTGAATGACAGCTCAGGGCCATTTAAATATCCCGCCCTGCGCTGCCATTGGTGCCCAGCGGGCGGCCGCGGCTTCTACTGCGCATGCGCGAACTCGAACGCCGCGGCCGGCCCAGACCTAGTGCCCGTGTCCCTGCACAGGGCGGTGCACTGCGCCTGCGCCGGGACCATCGCGGCGGGGATCGAGGAGATCCCTGACACTGTGTTCTTCTATTGTTGTGACTTAGATGATGTTCAGAGCACATTTTATGCCCAATTCATGCAAAACTCCACATAATCCCAAGGGGTTCACATACTTTTTCTTGCAACTGTATTTGATCCCCTACCAACCAACAATAATTCTGTCTCCCACAAACTGGCCATGTGCTCCTGTGGTACACAGATTGGTCCTTTCAATTTAAGAAGGTGCTCAAAATGACAACTTGCTATGTGTAGAAAGGTACCTGTCCACAAAATTTCTTTCTTCCATTCAAACCTCACCACCATGGGCAAATGACCAAAGTGCTGTCAAAGGACATCAGGGACAAGATTGTAGACCTGCACAAGGCTGGATTGGGCTATAAGACTAAGCAAGAGGCTTAGTGAGAAAGAGACAACTGTTGGAGTGATTTATTCGTAAACGGAAGAAATACAAAATAACCATCAATCGCCCTCGATCTGGAGCTCCATGCAAGATTTCGCCTCATGGGGTAAGGATGATCATGAGAAAAGGTGAGGGATCAGGGCAAAACTACATGGGAAGAGCTTGTGAATGATCTCAAGGCAGTTGAGACCACAGTCATCAAACAAACCATTGGTAACACAATACGTCGCCATGGATTGAAATCTTGCAGCACCCGCAAGGTCCCCCTCCTCAAGAATTCACATGTACAGGCCCATCTGAAGTTTGCTATTGAACATCTACATGATTCAGAGAAGGATTAGGAGAACGTGCTGCCCCCCCCCCCCCCCCCCCCCCCCCCCCCCCCCCCCCCCCCCCCCCCTGGTCAGATGAGACTAAAATTGAACTCTTTGGCATTAACACGACTCACCGTGTTTGGAGAAAGAAAAATGTTGACTATGACCCTAAGAGCACCATCCCTACAGTCAAGCACGGAGGTGGAAATATTATGCTTTCAGGCTTTTTTCTGCTAAAGGTACAAGCGGACTTTGCCGCATTGAGTGGGTAGTGGACAGGGCAATGTATTGTGAAATCTTGGATGAGAACCTTCTTCCCTCAGTCAGAACACTGAAGATGGGCCGTTGACGGGTCTTCCAGCATGGCAATGACCCAAAACATATTGCGAAGGCAACAAACGAGTGGCTCAAGAAGAAGCACATTAAGGTCATGGAGTGGCCTAGCCAGTCTAAAGAACTTAAACATGTAGAAAATTTATGGAGGGAGCTGAAACCTTCGAGTTGCCAAGCAACAGCCAATAAACCTTAAGGATTTAGGAAGTATTTTGGTCCACTATTCTTTATAGATCCTCTCAGAGATATGTGCTAACCTGATAATCAGCTACAAGAAACAACTTACCTCTGGGCTTGCCAATAAGGGTTTCTCCACTAAGTACTAAGTCATTGTTTCCTTGGGGATTAAATACTTATTTTACTCACTGAACTGCATCTCAATTTATAACATTTGTATCACGTGTTTCTTTTCTGGATTTTTGGTTGATATTCTGTCTTTATCATTTAAAATACACACCTATGATAAAAATTATAGTTCTGTCATTTCTTTGTAAGTGGGCAAGCTTATAAAATCTGCAGGGGATCAAATAATAATTTTCCCCACTAAATATATGTAAAGTTATGTATTGCTTGTATGTTCATTAATTTAAAATTAAAGTGTTCCTAAACCCCGGACCCTGCATTCACTATATCTGATCTCCCACAGTACACACAACATGGAAATTTATTTTTTAGTATTTATTATTTTAGTAAATATAAACTGCTAGATACCTTTTATCATCAGTAGTATATAGCAGTCTTGTGACCTCTGTCAGTGTCAAGCAGAGCACAAGTTAAAGCTTTTAGGAGGATTTTTCATTCTCCCCTGACTGTCCTATGAGGCTGCAGGAACCCTGACCCTCTGTTTTGACAGTGCTGATTGGCCCTGTGTTGATCACATGCACTTTACCAAGAATGAAAAAACTCTAGTAGTACACACCAAACTGAGCATGTACAGCTTGCCCCCAAGGCTCTGTTCTATCAGCAGATGGTTTGGGGATAGTAGAAGGGGAGGATCAGAGAAGACAGGATCAAACATCCTTTTTACACAATGCGCAGGATTAACCCCTTAGGTTCCACAGTGAGTATAACAAGCATGGTTTACTGCATATACAGACTAATTTTACTGTTGCAGGTTTAGTAATACTTTAATGAAAGGAAATTGTTCAAAGACAGGGGGTAGGGGGTCTGTTATTCTAACCAATCAAGTTTAATTTTTCTTCTTGGAGACTGGATCACCTTTTTTATGTTCAATTCCTCCTGTTAGAGTATCCAAAATATAAAATGAATATAAAATCTCAACAAGGGAGAGTGGGGACCCCCTCACAATGGCTGCATTAGGAGACCCAGGAGTTCAAGCATGGGGATCCCACCACTGGATCTTCAAATGAATTGACAGGTGGTTCAACTCTACAGCATCTACCAAATGCTGAAGTATCAGTTTTGGGTGGATGGGCCCTTTTTTCTGCCCCCATATGTTTTTTTATTCTCTCAGGAGAATTTTATTATGTCTGCTTTTCACTCAAGAAAACTTTAGAAAGTTTTTCACTGCACACTGTCAGCTGTTATTCAGCAGCAGAAAGATGACTAAATTAAATGGGAATGATGAGGTCATGTAATTTCTCCGGAGCTGCTATGCATTAATTAAAATGTAGCACATCTCTGAATGAACTGAAATTTAGTTGTCAGATCTAATGAGTGTCTTATTGTTGTGGCATAATTTCAGAATCGCAGTTGAAGGAAGTTGAAGAGATGTTGGAGCAAGAAGGCTTGAGTGAGATCGCCCAGAGCAGCCCTAGTGAGCAGGTGGCCTATCTGCTGGTGGAAAGAGCCACACTGTTAGAAAAGCTGGAGGCCCTGGAGCTAAGGTTGGACTCCCGTTCAGAGAATCTCAGCAGTGAGAAGCGACAGGTATAGTTGCTGGGAATTCTGTGTCTCACCAAAAGCTATAGGCTACCCTACCTATTAATGATGTCTTACCATCATCTGACGTATTGAGTTCCTCAATGGCTGCAGCTGATCATGAGAGAATCCGCTCTTGAAGTTCCTTAAGTGCTACAGTTGACCATGAGAGAACTAAAAGATTGTTTACAAAGTATGAGTGTGTACATCAAGTTTGAAACAAACTAGAGAGCATGCCACCATTTTGTAAGTTATTTATTGAATTGAAATTGAATTGAATTAAAAATCAAAATTAAAGTAATGCACTCCCTAGATGTTGGATGCAATCAGCAATCGGATAGGGTCATCTGTGACACTGCAGAGGTCGGCAGGGAAGCGGCTGGTTGAAGCAGAGTTTGGCCGGGAAGTGGCTAGGTGGAGGAAGGCCACTATTGTTCATTAGAGCTGAAACGCAAGCTGTCAAGGCGGCTCTGTGGCTTCCGGATGCCTTCAGTCGGCTCCACTCTGGGAGGCTTGTGATTAAGTCACATTGCACCGGGGGTGTGGTTACATGTTTTGGGACTCTGCCCCTTTGTCAAGCCAAGGTAAAAGGAAAAATGGAGCCCCAAAACAAAGGTATCTGGAAGCCGCAGAACAGCTTTGACAGCTTGCGTTCCAGCTCTAAGCACTAGGGTCTGGTTTGTTTACTTAAGTGCATCAGGTTTACTCAGGACCTGATCTAGGGGAGATGCAAACCGTCACTCAGACTGTCTTTCATTTCCTTCCCCCAGTCCCACATCCTTTCTTTTCCTTACTCTTAGTTTTATCCCACCCCCCCCCCCCCCCCCCCACCCTTTTTTTTTTTTTTTTTGGGACAGTACTACCATAGTTTAGCCTATTATTCTATGCATTACAATCATACTTGGTATACACAATATATTGTATAGAAACAGAATATTATATATACTTTGTGTAGAACTAATGTTCCATTTGCCTTTCTGTGTGTGTTTTTAATTTGTTCCTAATTTGTTTGCAAAGGAGTTCCCATCTTTGCCCCTCTGTTGCTCATTGGTAAACTTCTTTTGGAAATGTTAGTGACCTTGATGTCTTTGTGATTTTAATACTTGCCAAGTCAGTGAATTTTAAATAAACTGACCTTACAATAGTGGTTTCTTAGGCCCCATGTACACGGGACACTTCTGAATGATGGAAACTGACTGCTGGAAAACGTAGGTTAAAAAAACGTCTGTTTAGCCACGTTTGCATAACGCGTTTATGCGCGTTTACATTTAGAAGCATTTTTTAAAGATAAGCACAGGAGTACCTCCCAAATGCCCAGGATGCACTGAAAAGTAGTAAATTATTACCTATTTCAGACTGTTTTTCAGAGGAATAAAGAGAGTAGCAGCAGAGACAGCAGTATGTGTTGAGATAATTAAGTGGGAGTTGCTCATTAACATTTCTTTTGTTTCCAAGGGTGGGAAAGGTGTCTGGTGGAGAGAGCCATTAAGGTCACCTGGCAGGGGGTCTTCATGAGGAGGTGTGAATGGTCATTAACATATCTTTTGTTTCCAAGGGTGGGAGAGGTCTGAGGTGTGAATTGGTCACAATGTGTGACAAGCTTGGTAGGAACATCCTGTGTTAAGTGTTTTGTCCATCTGAGTAGGGAAGAGTTTAAAAAAAATTGCAAACGCTTATGAACGCAATTTGCCCCGTTTAGACGCGTTTAGCGGGGTTTACAAGCATTTTGCATTTGAAACACTGATAAAATCGACGTCTGAACGCAAATTTGTTGCGTTAAAAAAAAATTACTGTAAACTCAACTGCCTGTAAACGAAGATGTGTACATGAACACATAGGAAAACATTCGGGTGAGTTCAGGGGCTGCTGAAAAAAACAATGAACAGCTCCTAAAACGTCAGTTTAGCAGCTGCAGTGTACATGAGCCCTTATGTTGTAACAAAGGTCACATCTGCATATTATTGCATCACTACTGAGGTCTCTGGAATGTGGTTTCTGTCTTAATCTATGGAGGTGCCAGCACCAAGACCCAACTAGAAATCAGAAAATTGACAATATGCTTAACACATACAGTTGAGACTTCATCATACTTTCGGAAGCAGATTTAATCGGGGAACCAGGTGCCCTGATGGGGATGGTTCACCGCTGGTGTAAGAAACAATTCAACCTGGCAGAAAGGAACTCTAATTGAAATCTTAGTTTTATGTGGACTTAATCCTGTAAGGACGTGTGAAGAACACATGCCAATAAGAATAGTGCAAGTTGACAGAAGCTGTGTTTGACTCTTCTTCATTGAAAGGCATTAAGTTACAGCTAATGGTTGTGTTTTGTAGGATGAATTGGAACAAATTCATCGGACATTAGAGGAGGAACTCTATCAGCAATGTGAATCCATGAGACGCACCAAGGAAACCCTGAATAAGGTAGATTCTTATCCTAGAGCAATGCAGAATAACCAGTTTCTTGGCTTATCTAAGCAGGAGAGGGTCTGACCATATTAAAATAATTTCATCTATAAAGGGAACCTGTCTCTATGCTTTGTAGACCAGTCTTAGGGAAGTTATAAATGACACAACAACAGCAGGCAACTCTTGCAGACTGAGTCTTGTCTGACCTCCCAAGCAATTCACAAATCTGGATTTCAAAAGAGTTCATTATTGCACAGGATTATGGCTACTCCTCTTCATCCATGGCCCCTTTAATTGACAAATTCTGGTGTCCAAATATGCAAGTGCATAGAGCAGTGTGAGGCTGGTACTGCGTCTGAGCAATGGCCCACTATGCCTGCTTGAAGTAGTAGTTGTCTCCTGAATTCTTCTCTTCAGCCGGTTAGTGGAAAGGAAGCAACACCTTTAACTGGAAGAGCGTCCTCCAGTAACATACCAGATGTTCCCATGCATAGTAGATTCCTTCTACGTGCAAAATTTTTTGATTTTTTTATTTAACCATTAAATCTGTGCAATCCAATGTGCTTCTATTTGTGCTTCTTGGTCTAGTTAAAACGCAACTCAACTTCCGATTAAGTCAGCTAAATATATTCTATTGGCATCTAATCAGGTGCAAAGCCTAACCGTTTGTTTTCTTCCAGCCACAAAGTAGCAAAGCCTGCCCCCTACCATGCATAATATGTAGAAGGACCCTTGTTTTTTTCATGGAAACAGTGGTCTCACTGAAAAGGTACAACACACCAGAGCAGTGCGGTTCACTTTGAATCTGATTAAATTTTCATTATTCAGAGATTCAGATGTTTTCGAATTTCCAAATTATAATAGTGGCGAATTTTAAACAAAATGAAATTTTGTCTGAAATAAAAAATAATTCTAATCGAATTTGAAACTAATTAAAAAAAGAAACTGAATTCAAAAACAAATTTGAAATGTAAACATAGCTGTTTTTCTTCAAAGACTGAGTGTATTCGTATTAGATTATAGTCTTATTTAGAAAAGTAATAGAATAAAACCGAATAGAAAAGAAAGGAATAGAATATAGTCATCTTTTGAATGGAATAGAATAAAATAGAATATAGCTTTCTTTTGAAATTCAAATTTGTAAAAGAATAGAAATAAATAGAATAGAAAATAAAGGAATTGAGTTGAAAATAAAATAGAATAAAATAGAAATTAGAAAATATAGCCGTCTTCCAAAATTCAAATTTTGAATAAAATAGAATATAGCCATCTTTTGAAATTCGAACAGAATAAAATAGACTAGAATAGAGTAAAATAGAATAGACTAGAAATTAAAAGAATAAAACAGAGAAAAAATAGAAAATAATAAAATAGAAAGTATTTAGCCATTTTCCGAAGTTCAAATAGAATAGAACCGGCTATTCTTTACATAAATATATAAAATATGCAGCGCTAATAAATAAAATAAAAATAATAAAAAATTGCACTATATCATATTAAAACAACTGAGTCCATTATTAGTGGTACAATTAAGTGTTGTGTGCAAGCATTAATAAATCCGTAATAAAGGAAATCTGTGACTCTTGTGCTCGTGAAGATGGACAAACATTTGCACTAACCAGATAGCGCAATTAATGCGCGTGGAGCAAATAAGACCTGCTCCTGGTACTCTGGATGTGTAATACCATGGGGATAGGTGTCATCAGGCCACTAGGTGTCATCCATCTAGGTATACCCTCTAGTCTCCAAATATGCCAGTCACAGCCACCAGGAGGAGGATCACACACCAATCCAGGCCACAGAAAAACCTTCAAAAACGGGCTCCCAAGGGAAATGATGAGCCCAGAGAAAGCCTCCAATAGTGCAGTAGGTCTTTATTTCACAAACATTCCAGCATAAACAGATTAAAGGAACAAACTTACATCCAGATCCAATATGGCCACCGGCTGTCATTCAGGATGGCCTTGCGGTGTATGCACAGTAGTCAGGGGCACCTCTCTAACGCGTTTCGTGTCCTTACACGTCCTCAGAGGGAATCTTTACAATTTGTATTGGTGCAATATTTTTTATTTAAATTCTATTCGAATACTTCCAATCCATTAGAAAAATTTTAATCTGGTTCAAATTGAATAAACTAAACAAAAGGAATTTCGTTACAAATGCAACAAAATGAAATTTGTAATTTTAATGAATCATTCCAAATTGAAATGAAACAAATGTTTTCATTCTGCACATATCTACAACAAACCCCCCTAAGTCAGGGCTAGTGCTCTCTCTGAAAAGCAAAGCTTATGCTCCCTGCTGATTAGAGAGTTCAAATCTAGCAGGGATGTGCAGAGAGACCACTGCTTCCAGACACCGCACAAAGGACCTTCTCTGCAGCATTCTGACAAGGGACAGGCTTTTCTACTTAAAGTGTGGTTGCTTTCTAAAGAAAATGAACTGTAAGGCTTTGCACAATGTTCGTGTTAATGCATCTTGGATGTTTGTAACTTTTTAGAATGGTAACTCCACTTTCATGGGAAAAAAAAAACAGCAGATAAAAAATAAAAATAATATAGCATATGCAATTGCTACAAAAGCCATGTTGGAAGTGTTTTACTAAAATGTACTTTTCCTTTTCAATCTGAAGTGCTGTAATTTTCTGTAAAATTCAATGCAATATGGTAACCTGGAGACCTTCTCTATACCATGGGGCACAGGACACCCCAGAAAATGTCATCTCCTGCTTGTGTGATTTGCTCACTGATCTTCCCAGAAGCCTGTACCAAGTTACAATCAGATTTTAGGCATCTTCTTCAACAGAAGAATATATAATAAGGGCATGCGCTAAATAAAATTATATATCATCATATAATTAAGTGTCCATAATAAATCTGTGCAAGTCCAAAACAAACTCAGAATATCCTCTGTGAATTCATAACACTGTGAATAATCCACCACCAAATGAATTAGATGGACTCACCAGAGCTAAATGCTGATCAAATTATAGACCAGCAATAGCGCTTGTGCTCTGGGAATGATGGGTAAACGATATTCAGGTATTAGATATAGTAATTCTCACAAATAGTCACATCCAGGTGATCAATAATGGTAATCAGCATAAAGGACAGCATATCACTACCAGAAGCAATACTCTGCAGCCAAAGATCTCATGATGAATCTCTCCATTTAACTCCGTATCTCCATATACAGTGGGGATCGAAAGTTTGGGCACCCCAGCTAAAAAAATTGTATTAATGTGCATAAAGAAGCCAAGGAAAGATGGAAAAGTCTCCAAAAGGCATCAAATTACAGATTAGACATTCTTATAATATGTCAACAAAAGTTAGATTTTATTTCCATCATTTACACTTTCAAAATAACAGAAAACAAAAAAATGTCGTCTGCAAAAGTTTGGGCACCCTGCAGAATTTATAGCATGCACTGCCCTCTTTGCCAAGCTGAGACCTGCCAGTGTCATGGATTGTTCTCAATCATCATCTGGGAAGACCAGGTGATGTCAAATTCAAAGGTTTTAAATGCCCAGCTCATCTGACCTTGCCCCAACAATCAGCACCATGGGTTCTTCTAAGCAGTTGTCTAGAAAACTGAAACTGAAAATAGTTGACGCTCACAAAGGTGGAGAAGGCTATAAGAAGATAGCAAAGCGTTTTCAGATGTCAATATCCTCTGTACGGAATGTAATTAAGAAATGGCAGTCATCAGGAACAGTGGAAGTTAAAGCAAGATCTGGAAGACCAAGAAAAATATCAGGCAGAACAGCTCACAGGATTGTGAGAAAAACAATTCAAAACCCACGTTTGACTGCACAATCCCTCCAGAAAGATCTGGCAGACACTGGAGTTGTGGTACACTATTCCACTATAAAGAGATACTTGTACAAATATGGTCTTCATGGAAGAGTCATCAGAAGAAAACCTCTTCTACGTCCTCACCACAAAAATCATCGTTTGAACTTTGCAAATGAACATATAGACAAGCCTGATGCATTTTGGAAACAAGTTCTGTGCGATGAGGTTAAAATTGAACCTTTTGGCCGGAATGAGCAAAGGTACGTTTGGAGAAGAAGGGGCACAGAATTTAATGAAAAGAACCTCTGTCCAACTGTTAAGCATGGGGTTGGATCAATCATGCTTTGGGGTTGTGTTGCAGCCAGTGGCACAGGGAACATCTCACGAGTAGAAGGAAAAATGGATTCAATAAACTTTCAGCAAATTTTGGATGGTAACTTGATGCCATCTGTGAAAAAGCTGAGGTTAAAGAGAGGATGGCTTCTACAAATGGATAATGATCCTAAACACACCTCGAAATCCACGGGGGATTACATCAAGAGGCGTAAACTGAAGGTTTTGCCATGTCCTTCACAATCTCCTGACCTCAACACAATTGAAAATCTATGGATAGACCTTAAAAGAGCAGTGCATGACAGACAGCCCAGAAATCTCAAAGAACTGGAAGACTTTTGTAAGGAAGAATGGGCAAAGATACCTCAAACAAGAATTGAAAGACTCTTGGCTGGCTACAAAAAGCGTTTACAAGCTGTGATACTTGCCAAAGGGGGCAGTACAAGATATTAACTCTGCAGGGTGCCCAAAGTTTTGCAGACGCCATTTTTTTGTTTTCTGTTATTTTGAAAGTGTAAATGATGGCAATAAAATCTAACTTTTGTTGACATATTATAAGAATGTCTAATCTGTAATTTGATGCCTTTTGGAGATTTTTCCATCTTTCCTTGGCTTCTTTATGCACATTAATACAAATTTTTATCTGGGGTGCCCAAACTTTCGATCCCCACTGTATGCATGAGTCGCACTCAGGGACAAAGGAAAAGACATAATGGTGCAGTACGTTTAAAAGACATATATATTTATTAAAATACCAAACAACTCACAAGAGAGGTGTCCAGACAGACACCAGCTAAACCAGCAATGCACAGCAATGAAGTAGTGGACAATCCCCGCTCACCGCAGATCGCCTCCGACACACACTGGAAAAAGAGCGCCCTGCGTCAACATTGAGTAGGCCACGTCCAACGCGTTTCGTCACCACGACGTCATCAAGGGGCGTTATGAATTCAAAGAGGATATTCTGAGTTTGTTTTGGACTTGCACAGATTTATTATGGACACTTAATTATATGGTGATATATAATTTTATTTAGCGCATGCCCTTATTATATTTTGTTCACTTTGCCAAAATAATTTTTTTATATATTTTTTTGGTTGGGTGTTGCTGCTAACACACAGTTTATTTTTGTTATACAGTGTATTGCTTTTTCTTCAACAGAAGGTTTTGTTGAGATACTCCTCATATGTTAAATACTTTAAAAGTGATGCAGACCTTGCAGCCTTTCTCGTTAGAACACCGAGGGTGCACCAGGTAATGATAATGATCCAGACCCTCTTATTCACAATTAGTTTGCAATGGGCATGGTGAAACAAACACAGAGCATATTTCAGAGCAACAAAAAGAAGGAATCTGCTACAAAGTTTGTTAAAAATCCCTGCAATGCACATTGATCACCCAGAGGAGATTTTTTTTCTCAAAAAAGTGGAGTTACTCTTTAATGTCTACACAAGCAGTACTTTGTCTGTTACCAACTTTTCTACCAAGGTGTTTTCAAAACATACACAACTTCTTTTGGGCGATGTGCATCACGCGATTTGGTGTGTGTGATCGCAGGACGCTTGTCGCTCAAAAAATCATTCAGCAATCGCCCCTTGTTTTCAGGTGCCATTGAAATGAATGGCACTTGAACACGATGCGTGATTTCACATTTTAACAGCACACTTTGAAATTGTGGGCAGAATTGTGGCAATTCCACCCACAATTTAAAAATGCCTCTATGTGAACAAAGCCTTCGCTCTTCATTTTATGTTTTACTTGCTGAATTTTGTGATTCCAGTCCTTTGTTTATTTTTCATGTTCTTAAAAAAAATGTTTCTTTCTAAAGGAGCCCCTATCCTCTCTTCAGAACCCCTGGAAGAAGTTGTTTGGGACTCGTAAAAATGACTGTTCAGTATGTTAAAATTACTTCCTGATATATCTAACCATATAACTAACATTCAAAGTTGTTGTCTAACCTGCTAACCGTTCAACGTACTAACCATATAACAATCCATCATTAAAGGGCTATGGCTCCAAAAGTGTTTGTTCTTGTTAGGTGACCTGAGTCACTGGGGCATAGTTCTGCCTCTGCTTCCACTCTATGATCCAGCTTTTGCTGTAGTATTCACTTTTCAATCCAGAGATTTTCTCAGCAAAAATTTTTTTTCCTGCTTCATAATGGCCACCATCTTTAAACCCAATTCCCCTGAGCCCAGGTCAGTCTGAAACGCGTTGACATTTTTTTGACTGTACATAATAAAGAATAACGACTCGATTTACACCAATGTGCTGGCATCCTCTTGTGGAATGTGCACTAGTGAGGCTTCAGAAACATTTTGGCCAGAGCACCAGGTTTAAAGCCATATCCAGATTTCAGAGGATGTTCTAGCACTGCACCATTTGTTTTTATTCCTGGACAGTAACTGGACAATGAAGGGAGAAGCACATTGATAAGCTCATCTCTGTCACTTTGCTTTCCACTTCTAAAAGCATACCTCATGGCTCCTTGTGCTGCTTCTTCCTCTCATACTTCAGCCCTGCTGTAACTGCAAAAGGCTGATACTAGGTCTAATTCAGATACTTTCAATGCATGCATTTAAAATACTTGTATTTAATTCTGTATTAATGAGTACAGAACTGCATGTGTGTCTTCTCCTTCTGCATAGAGTTCAGCTTTTGCTTATCAATTTGATCTATTAATAAAATGTAATAAAACTTGTCAAGTTATTGCGCAGTTTCAACTTTAAAATAATTTTTCTCTTGATGGTCAATTGGACGCATGGGTGGTAGATTGCTTAGTTTATTGCAATTACTAATTATTTTTTAAAGTACCCAAAACCTGTGATCAACGCAAGATGTAGCATGAATTGGATTAAATACAGTGAACAGGGAGGAGATCACTGATGACAGAAATGTATTGGAAGCCGTGCCAGACCTGCCTTGAGTGTAAGGTGATATATTCAGGGGTAATACTGCACACAGGTATCATGTAAACCACGCAGTCCTGTGTGTGGAGTGGGGATTCACATACAAGTCATATTTGTTTTTTTAATTAAAAGGTGTGAACAGCTGCAGCAAGCATAATGAAATCTGTCATCTGATGAAGGCATGTTTACATGTGCAAGCCTCATTACACACAGGATAATGTACTGTACATTGTGGATTAATGTCTTCATTCTGCAAACTGCTGATTAATAACTGGCTGTAAGAGCACAGATCTTTGGCTGTTTTGTCTAATGGGAGGTCAGGTGGGCACTATAAATGCAGACGTGTGTATCTATACTAGTTTATGCTGTTCTTCACACACAGGCTCAGACAGATGAACTGGCCTTTAACCCTTTTGCTGCCAGAGCCGTGTTTTTGCACACATTTGAAAAAAACTCCTTTTAGGCCTGAAGATTGCACAAGTCCCCACATTTTGTATTTTCTGAAAGCAGACATCCTAGAGCGCAAAATAGTGGTAGTTCCAATTTTTTAGATACCACAATATTAGCGCAGAGGTCTACGAAACTCAAAATTTAAGTAAAGAATACACTCATTTTAACAAAAATACAATAAAGTACCCAATTTGATTGGTAAAATATAAAAGATGAGGTTGCGCCAAGAAAATCGGTACCCAACATGTCAAATCTTAGCTTTGCGTTTGCCTGGGAAATGACGACAAACTTGAATATCCTATATTTTCCTTAGGTGACCCTATAGGTCATCAGTTTAGTGTTTACAGAGGAGGTTTGCAGCTGGAAATATTGCTCCCACTCCAGCATGTGTGGCGATATGTAACATGTATTTTGCAATCTGCGTTTTCATGCGTAGGCGCCCCCTGACGTGTGCATTTACTTTCTTATGTGCATATATGTGGGGGTGCTCAAAACGTTTTGTGGGAGGGGGGATTTTATGTGCTTGGGTGTAAATTAAATTTTTTACAATTTTAAACAAAATTCTTTTTTTTACTTTTTTTTTTCATCACATAAGAGACAGAAAGTCCCCTATGTGATGATTTTTTTTTTTTTTTTTTACTGGTGACAGGTTCTCTTTAACGAGACATGCGGGGTCTAAAGTACCCTGGATGTCTCCCCTGTACTGCTGTAGAATTCAGACTAGGAATATGATGATAAAGATGCCTAATCAGAGATTACCCTAAGGGTAAACCGCATGTTAAAATGATCAGTAGATCCAGAGCTATAGGTCAGCAGTCAAGGAACAGTCCCACAATTCTTGGGGTTCCTTGTAGTAAAATATAAATCTGTAATTTAGACTGGGTATATGATGATAAAACATGCTTATTCAAGGATTACATTCAATGTAAATTGCATGACAAAATGGTCATTAGCTCCAATGCTGTAGGCGGCTTTAGCTCTCTCACCAGATGAGTAATCAGTGACACTCCCATCTCTAGCAATAAGAAGACTTGGAGGCAGAAAGGAGGAGCGGAACCAGCTTGATATTTGCAAAAAAAGTCAGGACTTGCTTATAATTTCAGCTCCCAATATCTCCGTTTTTCCTGATTGTTTATTTTAGGAGGTAGTTTCCCTTTAACATGGGGTGGACTCATCAGTGGATCCACTTGCTGAGTGCAGATCTGTATGCTGATCCCCGCTGAGCAAGCGCTTGACAGATCTGTGTCCGCTCCACTTATGCAGAGCAGACATGGACACAGCCTGTTGTCCTCTATGTGTGGTCGGATGGAAACAGACCTCTTGTCCGTTTCCATCTGCCATCCAATCCGATTTCACGGATGGAAGGGGAACAGATCCCCATCCATCTCTTTTTGCCAGAACTGAACGGATTGGATATCTGCGGGTGTCCATTTACACCTGCCTCTCCATAGAGGAGAATAGAGGCTCTAATGAGGTCTACCTGAAAAATAGACAGGCGGACTGGATTGGAAAAGGGGCCAAAAGTGTAACTTTAGTCAGAAAATAAGTCCTGCTAAATCACTTCAGGCTGGCCCCTTTTGCAAATATAGCTTTTTAAAACATTAAAGATAAGTTCCCAAACTGTTTTAAATCCAGTAATACATTGTCTCACCCTGCTCTGCACATGTTGCTCTCCTATTTTTCGGCACATGTGCTGAAAATGTAGAGGCTGATCTGCTGACAGCCTAAAGATTCACTGCTGCTCAGGGGCTTTGGGCTTCAGCAAAATGGACAGCCTCCAGCAAGAAGAAACAGGAACAATGCTGGAAACAATTTAAAGCTCACACTAATTTGAAACCATAATTATTCATGTAGAATGTATGTTCCTTGCTAAAGAATGTTAAAATTATTTTTAATGAAGTTGTTATTATTATTATACAGTATTTATAAAGCGCCAATAGTTCGCTCAGCGCTGTACATTACAAAGGGGGACAGAACATGTGACAGAACAATGCCAATACAATGTAAAACATGAGGGGATCGAGGGCCCTGCTCTTTCGAGCTTACAATCTAGGAGGGAGGGGATGGTGGCACAGGAGGAGATAGCTGTGGGGGATGGAGTGGTAGGAAGAGTGGAGGAGGTCGGCAAGTTAGCAGGGGGTGGGGTAGGCTTCCCTGAAGAGATGGGTTTTCAGGGTGCACCTAAAGGAGAGGAGAGTAGGTAATAATCTGATGGGTTGGGGCGGGGAGTTCCAGAGGATGGGTGACACCCTGGAGAAGTCCTGGAGGTGGGCATGGGAGGAGGAGACCAGGGAACTAGAGAGAAGGAGGTCTTGTTTTGGATAAATGTTGGATTTTCTGACACATATAATACTTCTTTTAGTGTATTTAGGCGATTATGAATGAAAGAGCCGTTGAAATAAAAAATAAAGTGTGATTTTATTTTATCACACAATGGCTTAAAATAAAAATGTAAAGCGTATCATGAACAGTTCCATGTAGATAAAACTAAAAATATCGAGCAGAAGTTTAAAGAAAAGTCACCATTATTGTCATGGCTGTCCGGCCATGTGCTGTTTTTGTTCTTCATGTGGTCTTGTCTTGTTCAACGCAGCTGAGTCCGAGCAAGAAGACGGAAGTGACATTAATGACTATTTCTTGTCTTGCAGCACCTGTTCCAGCTTCTCAGAATGTTCTTATGTGTGTCTGTTTGAACAGACGTGTGTGTGTGATTGTGTATGAATGTATCTGTGTCCGTTGTCTCATGGTCTTTTATGAGGCAAGTAAGCGTCATAACTTGAGATCTTGAGACCTTGTATGGAAATCAGTACTGCTTAGCAGAGCAATTTCATAGAAGGCAGGGGACGCTACATATATGGAGTTTTTGATTGACAGTACATATGTAATGTCCATAATAAGCTGGTGATGTAACCTCAGCTACTCATATTTAAATGATAATATAAATTAAGAATGTATCTTTACAATATTACAATAATGTAAACCACTAATCTACATATGTAACAATATTACCAACCTATAAATCATAAGCTAAATACTATTAAAATACTTTGTAATATTTCTACGTTTTATACTCAAGTCACTACTAATACCCTTGACATTTACTAGAGTCTTCTAACCAGCTGTGCCTTAATATAGAATACTCAGCCTTCAGCTGGATAGCTAGTTCAACTTAACTCCTTTTATTTTACTGTCTCAGCTTAATTTATATCTCAGCTTATTTTACTGAAGAAATAAATATTATCATCGGCTTAAGGCAACCATTCAAACATTTTAATATTAATTATGATTAATCATAAAAAACAAATATTTTGCAAGCTTGCCATCAATATAATATAAGTGCGGAATTATACGTTTGATTTATTAATTTTCTTCAGTAAAGTTCCACTTTTAAGGTGGCCTCTGTCTATGAATTTGTTCATCATATGCTCAGTCTATATTTACAGGATTATGACACAATTACTTCATCATTTGCTCAGTCTATATTTACAGGATTATGACACATTTACTTTAAGTATGCTCCAGATCAGTAATCCATAGCTTTCTTGGTAAAATAGTTTTGTTGAGGCATGTATAGGTTGCTCTTCGGATGGGCAGAATACTGAATATGAAAACCTCACTGGCACCTTAGCTGGCTTTATGAACAGGCAAGGCATGGCCCCATCAGTCATCGGCTCTTGTGCAGATCTTCTGTTCTAGCTTGGCTTGGCTTCTAGAAAGGAACAGTAAGACATCCAAGAAAGCTTTCAGAAAATCATAAACAATTAGTAAGATTGGCATTTCTTTTGTTCTATAGACATTTGATGAAGAGCTAGAAAAAGAGAAGAAAATGAGGGAGTGCTTGGAAAGGGATCTGAACGAAGCTTCCCAGAGGCTGAAAATGGCCCATGACGAGATCCGCAAGCTGACTGATGAATTACTCATTAAGAAAAAGGAAATTACAGAGCTTGGTAATTTGGAACTATTTCAGTCCCTTGTTCATTCTATAGGTTTTCTTTTCTTTGCAGGCTATTGGGTCTACTTGGTGGGCTTTTAAGGTGCACTTATGATGGACAAAGCCCATCCATACCTGATGTGACCATAACCAAAGAAAGTGAGAAGGTTTCATTTCTTCTGCTCCTTCTTTAAAACGTAAATGGAGAACCATATCTTGGTGAGGATGGTGCTGAAAACTGGGGCCACGTAACTGTGGGTTATACACTTCCTGCAGAGTTGGCTGTATATTATTGTTCTGGACCAACTTCCTGATAGAGACATTTGGGAACCATCCCTGCACAATAGTAGTCAGCAAGCTGTTTGTATTCTCCATCATTGATGCATGTGGCAGGGTGATAACCTAGGAGAACACTTTTGGGAGACAGTTTTCACTCAATAACAAGAAGGGCCTAAACAAGGACTTCCATGGAAGAATTACAAGGTATTATTTTACAGAAAGGTGCAAATTTAAAAATAAATAAAAGGATGCAACATGTTAAAGCTTATGAGATTTTACTGATTCTGTTTTAGATTGACTTTAAAGTGGAAGTCTAGACATTAGAGTAAAGGCAGAGTTCTGTAGAAACACATGAAATAAAAACCTTCTGCAAATGTGTAATTGTAAAATTGTCTTCTAAAATCAGGTCACATGACCTGGCTGTTCCTATTTTTCTTTTGTTTTTTTACATCTTATTTTACATGACTGTGACATGACAGCCTCTTCCTATTTTATTACAGAGCATATTGTGGAGAAGAAGCAACACGAGGTAAATGTGCTTCAACAGGAACTTAAAACCCAGAAAGAGAGTGGTGAGTGTTTTTTTTTTGTTTTTTTTTAAGTAAACGTTATATTAACCCCTAGCTCTAGGAGTTAAAGTGATATTAAAGGTTTTTTTTTTTCTTTTAAATACCAAACATGTTATACTTACCTGCTCTGTGCAGTCGATTTCCACAGAGCAGCCACGATCCTCCTCTTCTCTGGTCCCCCCTGCTGGCACTCCTGGCTCCTCCCCCTTAACCAGTACCCCCAATAGCAAGCTTGCTATGGGGGCACTGGTGCATGCTCGCTTCCGAACCTCACTCTATGCATCCATAAGACATGGTTGGCCCCATCCCACGCTCTCTCCTCACTGGCTGTGATTCACAGCAGTGGGAGACAATGGCTCCCGCTGCCGTGTCTCAGCCAGTGAGGAGAGAGACCCGGGACAGCTGAGGCTTCCATGCACATCGCTGGATCAAGAGGGGGCTTATGTGAGTATTAGTCATGCACATTGGACGTTTTTACAGCGGCTGTTTTTGGCTTTTGGCGTTATTTTTTTCTACAACCAATAAACTCCCCAGCATGTTATCCTATGTGTTCATGCATACATAGACTGTAATCAGTGTGTTTTGGCAGGGCGTTTTTGGGCTGGAAAAAAAAAACATAACTAGTAGGTTTCTAGAGGAGTTTTTTAGCTGAAAAAACGAGGTAAAACACGGCAAACCAGCTTTTTTGGATTTTTTTTTTTTGTATTAAAAAAAAAAAAAAATCTGAAAAACACAAATGCGGAACGCAGCTAAATGCTATTGTAAAAACTCTACACAGCTAATGTTACCAGGGTTTTTAAAACGCCCCGAGTGCATGGAGCCTTAGGGGCGCAGCCTTTAAAACCACTTCAAACAAAATTTATTCTTGGACCCCCCATAAAATACCTGTTTTTCAGCCTTAGCTGCATCTCAAAACTACTAATCTCTGGCAGCCTTTTTGCAGCCACTTCTGCCTACATGCACTTCTGTGGATTTTCGTATGGTAACCTTTTAGATCATGCCTGTGTAATGTGTGCTGAAAGCCCATTTTACAAGGTGCAACAACACGATAGCACAATAGGGAGACAGGAATAGAGTGATCGGGACAATGGTAGACCATGCCTGATCTGTGCTTGTGAGCATGCCTGCTTGTTGTCTTTGATAAATGAAGTAGACTGGCCAAACACCCCAAGCACAAGAGCACAAACGGGAAGGTTGACTCCTTTCATGCACAATGGTGCTTGATCATGAATAAGCTCTGTTGTGCATTTCACACATCAGCCTTCCTACTTGTTTGTGGTCTTGTGCTTGAGATGTTTTAAGCCTACTCTTGACATTTTAAAAAGTATCCGTTTTCCCAGCGGAGTGGGTGGCCTATCTACTTCATTTATCTGGATCTCAAAGGTGAGCCAGGGACGGGCACCACATATGGGGCTGAGTGTCCTTACGTGAAGTGATGTCACTGTTCATTTGGACTGCTTGTAGTCTTTATCAAGAGTATGTGTGAAAGGATGACAATCCAGGACAGAACTTCGGGGAAAACGTTGTTACCCCATAGCAGGAGTGCTTGCACAAAAACCACAATGGCAGGATAACTAGGAATTATTTTCAGAGAGGCATCTGCTCAGGGATATTGAAAATTATATTTGAAAATGCGTTAACATGATGAAGCTTATATGAGATATTAGTAATTGGGTTTACATATACTTTCATGTTCAGTCTGTGATGCACATGTGGTGTACATAGGTAGCTGTCAATTGCAGGCTTTTACAGTTGTACACAGTACAGTTCAAAAACATGTGTTCACACACAAATGGCAGCATTCTCCAATGTGGTATGCTGTGTTTAGAGAAACACAACACAAAGCTGGTCTAAGGCAGCCTCAAATCCGTCATCAAATCTGCAGACCTGTGTTTGAAATGCACCTGTGTATACAGTCCCTAATTATGAAATGTCAGCATAACTGAAAATTTGGCATGTACCATATAATGGAATGTGTTTTGAAATTGTGTCCTCTGAACTAAATGTATATTGTACATGATCTATATATATGCAGATTCTGCTGATTTGCAAAAAGCCAAAGAACATAACCTTCGATTAGATAAGGAGATTCTCGCCTTACGCCAACGAGTCAGAGCACTGGATTCTGAATGGAAGAAGCACATAGAACAGGTAGAGAGTTGGGATACTGGGGTGTAGGCCATTGTGTGAGAATACTTGAAGGACCACATGTGCCCATTTTTCCCCCTTCATACTGACTTCACTTATTTCATTCTAATTCAGGCCAGCCTGAAATATCTCCCCTCATAGCAACCAATCATCTTCTCCCTTTCATTTTTCCAACCTGTCTTAGAAAAAAGGGGAATCGTATAGGTTGTTATTGAAACAATGTTTTTTCTCTATGTGAGGCCTAAGATTCTGTGATTTCATTGTGATAGCTGAGGCCCTGGAAACTTAGGACAATGGTCTTTTTTTATTATTCATATGTGTTCATCTATACTTTTGCAAGTGAAATAATTTTTTTAATAACTGATTATTTTATTACAGAGTGAAAAGAGCGACGGTGACTCCATGTCCACACGCTCGAACAAGCAGGACAGTGAAGAACTTCATAAAAAGTAATTAGAAAGGGAATTGAAAAGGACTATGGTGCTAAGTGGGTAGCCACCATCCCTAAATGTATATGTAAGACCAAGAAACCCCTCTATTAATTTGGACTTTTAAAGGCTACAACAGCCAACAATTTAGTTTTGGTTGTTGATTCATAAAAAGTAATTATTTTTGAATCTGAAAGAAAAATCCTGCAGTTCCTAAGAGTGATATCCAGATATCTCCACATATCATTTTCTAAGAGATCTACCTAGAGATCTGCTATGCTCAAATTCCTAAGAGAAATATCTAGAGATCTCCCACTCACCAATTCCTGGTGGAAATAGAGAGGTATCCTTGTACCAGTTCCTAACAAAATGTATTGAGAGATTTTCCTTTATCAATTCCTTGGGGATATAAAGAGAGATCTCCCCACATCCGCTCCTGAGAGAAATATCTAGAGATCTCCCCGACACCAGTTCCTGAGGGGAAATATCCAGAGATCTCCACACACAAGTTCCTGATAGAAATATCCAGAGATCTCTACACACCTATTTCTAAAGGAAATATCCAGGGATGTCCCTATGCCAATTCCTAAGGGAAATATCCAGAGATCTCCACATTTCAACTCCTGAGGGAAATATCTAGAGATTGACACACACACCAATTCCTGATAGAGATATCCAGAGATCTCCACACCTATTCCTGAAGGAAATATCCAGAGATCTCCACATTCCGATTCCTGAGGGAAATATCTAGAGATTGCCACAAACCAATTCCTGATACAGATATCCAGAGATCTGCACACACTTATCCCTGAAGGAAATATCTAGAACTCTACCCACACCTATTCCTGAGAGAAATATCTAGAGATCTTCCCAAACCAATTCCTGAGAGAAATATCTAGAGATCTCACCACACCAGTTTCTGATAGATATCCAGAGATCTCCCCACATCAATTCCTAAGGGAAATATCCAGAGATCTCCCCACATCAATTCCTAAGGGAAACATCCAGAGATCTCCCCACATCAGTTCCTAAGAGAAATATACAAATATCTCCACATTCTGATTCCTGAGGGAAGTATCTAGAGATCACCATACACCAATCCCTGAGGGAGGTAAATTCTTGAGAAATATCCACCCCAGTTTCTGAGCAAAATATCCAGAGATCTCCATAGATCAGTTCCTTAGGAAAATATTTGCAGAGATTCCCATCCCCCCCCCATTAATTCCTGAGGAAAAAATCCAGAGATTCCCCCCACCACCACCACCACCAATTCCCAGGAGAAATATCCAGAGATCTCCCTACTAGGGTTGAGGTTTGATTTCGCCTGGAATTTATGTCCGTTTTGGCAATGCTGACCCTTAGAAGTGATTTCATCACAAAGCAATAAATCTGTGTAAGAGGCCACAAATGAAAGCTGTTATTTTGACTACTTTAACCTGGTAAATTAGATTGCATAAAGCAGATTTATCATCACTGGATTAATGTCTTTGGCATTTGAGCTGGAAAATCGCTTTAAAACAGACTATGTCATCTTCTGTGTTTCATTGCCCTTGTGACAGACTTGCTGTTAATAGAGACCTGTACTGAGAACCTATAGAGACTGCCGTTACAGATTCTGAAATTGCTTATTGCATGGCTTTCATGCCAATCCAATGACTTCAGTACTTTCTTAATTTAAAAATAAAATGTTTTGAGGAATCGGCACCAACTGGATCCAAATGTATGTTTAAATAATTAATAAAAAAATAAACATAAAAAAATTAATGAGCTGCAGTCACTAAAAGACAAAATTATGAATTCACTTTCTAAATTGACCCCACTTTTCTAATCTATATTCTTGTTCTGGGTCAGTGACTAAGAAAGTACAAAAGCCAGAGACTGCCAGGGAACAATCATTATTAGGAGGTCAGCAATAGCAGCTCATTTAATTCTCCTTTATGGGTTTGATTGAAAGTTGAACTGAACAACAGTCCTTAGTGATGTTGTGCCCAGAACCAATGTATTAAAGTGGCAATTCATTCTAATTTTCCAATTCAGTTAGTCTGGGTACACACAGATCGAAATTCGGCCGATTCAGCAGGGACTGACTGAATTTTGATCTGTGTGTGGCCCACGCTGTTTGACAGCCCACATGGAAGAAATATATAGTTATATTTAAAAAATTTTCATCTCAAATATATTGACGTATATTTGAGATACTACAATTTCGGCCGTATTCCGTATATTTGAAGGAAAAAAAAAAAAATAAATATACATATACATATATATATACCGTATATACTGTCTGTTGAAATGCGTTTTTTATATATTACAAAAATATATCACAAATATTTTTAAAAATACATTTCCATATATACTGTATGTCTTTAAAAATACATTTAATCTACATTGTTGGAATGCATTCACAAATATATGTTAAAATGACTTTTTTGTATGTTTAAAAAAAATCTGAAGAATATATTTAAAAAAAAATATATTCTTAAAAATATTTTTCATATATTGTAATATATAAAAAATGCATTTCAACAATATATATATATATATATATATATATATATATATATATATATTGGCCAAAATTGTAGTATTTCAAATATATGTATATATATTTGGTAAGAATATCTTTCAAATATATTTTTCTTCCATGTGGGAGAAGACGATTGTTAGATTGACTTCTGGTGAACAGTCTTGTTTGAAAACCTTCATTGATCAGCAGCAGGCAGACAATTGTCAGAATACAATAGCTCAGTGAAGAGGATTCCTACATCCACCTTACATGCGCAGATGCAGGATTATGTACAGCGGTGGTTGAATGAAAAAAAAAAAAAAACTAGTGGCTTGTACCCAGTTTTAGAGTTGCCATTTAAAAACTGATGGGAAATCGGAACTGTAACAATTGTCTGATGAGGAGATGAAGAGGGGAGAGAGGAGATGAGGAGGAGAAAGATGAGGTGAGGTCTATGCTCTTTGTAATCTATCAAAAAAGAAAGTAGGCAGGGCTGACAAAACATGCTAGGAAACATGGAGCTGTGTTGTCATGTCAAAGAGGAAGGTAAGCATACTAGAACTGGGATAAAACCAGATACAATATCCATGTATTCCAAAGATGCACTGTAAGGCCTGGTTCACATTGGTGCGATTTGAGATGCAACTTGAGTAGCACAGAATCGTGTGACAAGCGAAGTCGCCCTATATTAATGGTGCCCATTCACATCAATGCGGCTTCGTGTAGCAAAGGTTCTTGTACTGCTTTGGCAAATCCAGCACAATTTTGGCCCCGTAGAATATGCAAATTACTATCAAAGTATCATCCAAGTTGCACCACATAATCGCACTGAAAGTTGGATCAAAATCTGGTCAGAACAGCGTGAACCTAGCCTAAAGCTGGGTACACACTATAAGAAAATCGGGCGAACGATTGCCTGGTTTTCCTCGATGTTTCACAGCAAGTTGAACCCAAGGGTGGGTACTATTTGTATAAAAATTCTCGGACAAAGGCTTTTTTTGTTTGACATAGAAATATTGTAGTGTAGAAGATTATTGTTGTTTTTATTGTTTCTAATCATGCACAATCTTTCGTATCCAATTATTCTCATGCGAAAACAGTACACATTAAATGAAAATTGTTAGTTCTGTTCACGTACAAGAAGAATTTTGGATTTTGTCCCTTCAGAAATTTTGTCAATTGTGTACACACTATTATGAAAATTGAAAGATCTTCTCATAGTGTGTACCCCACTTAACCTCCCTGGCGGTATTCCCGAGTGTAGCTCGGGGTAAAATTTCAGTACCAAAAGCGGTAACCCCGAGCTACACTCGGGCTTACCATGCGGCACTGCATAGGGATTCCCTGCAGAGCTTACCTTGTCCTTCGCTCCCGCGATGTGTCCCCTGCAGCGTCCCCGGCCATCTCCTCCGGCCGATGACGGCATCCGGCTTCTGTGTTCTGGTCCCTGTGACGTCGGGACGTACGGGCGTTGGAACCGGCGGGAAATTTCAAAATGTAAAAAAAAATTCCATTTTTTTCTAAACAAATTTTACATAGTAAAACATTGCTGTTTCAAACCATTTCAAATACATTTTGTCCCTAGTGCTTTATCCTGTCCCCTGTCTGCATTTTGACTGTTCTTTCTGCCTGGAAACTTAGAAAAGTCCATGGCGTCCAAAAAGCGTCCCTTTAGGTCAAAAGCGGGTTTAGATCAGCTAGAGAACAGCGATAGTAAATCAGAACCACTTGCAGAATTGAGTGATAATGATTTGTGGGGAAATTCATCATCAGACACTGAAAATGATTTTGTGACTTTGCTCAGTGATGTGCGAACTTGGCGCTATATTTCAAATTTCAGTGTTTTTGGTTTGATTATATTATTGAATTAAATGTATTATTATTTTTTATGATTATTTATTAAATTATAATTTATGATTTTGTGTTTAAAATTTTATCATACCCGGGATGTTTAATAGACTCTTTTTCGGACAGATTTCAGTGAGTTATTCCTAAATATTACAGCCTACAATAAAAAAACTACATATTTCCATGCAAAATAATGGTACCGCTTTCAGCACCAAAAATCTGAAATAATCATACCGCTAGGGAGGTTAAGGTAGATTTCTGTTCACGTCACTGTTGTTGCTTCTAGACAAAGTGATAAATCTCCCCTCAGGGACACAAGCAGCAGGAAGAATATAAGCAAAAATTGTCATTCCACAAAAAAAATCTAAAATTTTTACTGAGATCTCAATGTCAAAACATGTAGTAAATGGTGGTTTTTGCTATTGAGATCTCTGTAAAAAAACAAATTGAGATTTGTTTGGTATGCTGACATTTTTTGCTTATGGACTTTTTTACAGTGTTTCCACTGGCCATGCACCCATGAGTAGTTGTGAAAGGTGAAGGATCAGCTACATGATTATTTTTCTGTTTTTATTAGATGTAGACTTGCGGTTGAAGGAAAGGAATGTGTAAATAAACAGCTCCTCCACAAACTGAAGAAGCTCCAGGCAGAGTATGACGATATAGTGGAACGCAATGAGGAACTGGAATCCATTCTGGGAGAGTCTCAGAACCGAACAAAAGAACAAGTAGATTACTTGGAATCTGAAATAGCTGGGCTCCAGAGAACTGTACGTATTGTATTGGATGCAATGTCCTACTGATGGCATCAAGGTTGTCTACTGGCTTCACACAGTCTGATCCTGCCAAGACTATACACACGGGGTGGGATTTACTAAAACTGGCGCACTCAGAATCTGGTGCAGCTGTGCATGGTGGCCGATTGGTTTCTAACTTCAGCTTGTTCAATTAAGCTGTGACAGAAAACCTGGAAGCTGATTGGTTTCTATGCAGAACTGCACCAGATTTTGCACTCTCCAGTTTTAGTAAATCCCTCCCTAGATGTCTTTGTATATGTTTCAGAAAGATGTTCTCTTTTTTTTTTTCCCCACTTCATATTTCTTGATAAAACAGTGATCAGGTAATGAGGTTCTTCCTTCAGTCACCCTAATACATGCCATTGGCATTCTTGAGCTCTGTGTTTAAATAGACTGATGGAATTGTGCAAGTTTCAGTACCCAGAGATACAGTATAGTGGGGGCAGTTTGTTCAGCTGCCTAGGGGCTCCCAGACTCCCAAGGGGGTACATAAGGATTCTAACAAAAAATCTGTACTTGGTGCTCTATACCAGTGTTTCTCAACCTCTTTTCATTCAAGGCACCCTTTAAAATTATGGACAGTCCTAAGGCACCCTTTAAAACTATGAACAGTTTTGAGGCACCCCATTCTAAAATGTGAAACTATTCTAATAGTTTTATATAACGCAGCAACATCCACACATGTAGGACACCCAACATTAGAGTTGATTTATTCTTTCAAAGAAAATACATTTTTTCACACTGGTACTGACTAGTATTCCAATGTTTCTCTTCTCCCTCAGTTTTTCTCCATCATTGAACTACAGTAATGTGACCCCAGCACTGATGGAGAGGGGCAAGGGAGGGTCAAACTAGGATGCTGTGCAGGCAGCTGACATCCTCCTTATCAACTGATGATGTCATTGGTTGTCAGGATGCCAGCGGCTAGAAGGTCGTAATGGTGCACAATGAAAACCTGTGGCTTTGTGTAACTAAAAGGGAGGCTTGTTCCACCTGCTGGCTTGTATACAAATTTTGGGAAATTTTTAGACATTTTGCCAGGGCACCCCTGAAGAAACCTCACGGCACTCCAGGGTGCCTGGGCACCCTGGTTGAGAAAGGATGCTCTATACAGTAATACAGTACAGTTTTCATGGCCTTGCAGTTCTTTTAGATTTTTTTTTTTTTTAGAGACAGGCCAGTCTTTGTTTCTTTCAGTAAAGGTTTTCTTTAAGATAATCAAACAATTATACACATTACATATACACATTTCCTGTACCTGAATCCATTTTATATTACCTGCATGTGAGAGGCAAGACATACATTTATACGCACACGAGTTACCATTATGATTGGGGGCTGGAGAGGATATGAATTGGAAAAAGCTCTAGATCCTATGAATCAATACATTAAAGTTGGTGTAGCAGATCTTGGACATCGTTTAGATAACAAAGCTATTTAGTAATAGGAAAAAAAGATGCTATGTAGTTTGGCATGTGGCCCTAGGGTACTGGGTGTGACACCTACCACCAAGGAAATGATCTGCTAGGTTTGTATGTGATTCTTGTGTTTGCATCAGTTATTATCCAAAAGACATATAGATACATTTATTAGGGATACTTTAAGAAAAAAAAACATTGCTGACTCGGGGGGACCATCTGCCTGCAATGGGACCTAGAAGCACAGGGAGCACAGCTTTGTCTGGCAGCACAATGATTTGTGCAAGTAGCAATAACAATTGGCAAATACATTTGGAAGAAATAATTTTGTATACAATATTGGAAACTTTAACACTCAACTCAGTGTTTAGATTCACAGGGTTAAAGACTCACAGCACAGTGGCTAAATGGTTAGCACTTCCGCCTGGCAGTACTAGGGTTGTTGGTTTGAATCCCAACCACGGCACCACCTGCCTGGAGTTTGCATGTTCTCCCTGTGCCTGCCTGGATTTTCTCCCACGCTCCAAAGACATGCCGGTGCATGCTGCCCCTGGTAATGCAGAATATTTTAGAAAGTGACTGAATTCAGCTTTAACTATTGTTTTAAGAATTCGTATTCTGTATCTCTAAAGGGATGGCTTTTAAGATGGAGAACATAGAAACCCGAGGGCCTCTTAAAGCGATCCTGTCTTTGGAGAAGTGCAGGGGTTGCACTTGTTTTCTTTTAAAAATGCATGTTGCCTGAAAGTATTTTGGTGTCAATGCTTTTGGAGTCAGACATTGAACATGCATGCTGTAAATGTATGTAAGAAAGGTGTCAGAATTCGCTATATCTATACTTATTCCAAGGCAGAAACTCAAAGTACTGAAGTCAGGGGATGAGCATGATGGACAGATAACTAGAATATTCAGAGAGAGGTCAGCAATTACAGCCTCCATAATTATTGGACCGGTTTCCTTTAATTCCCCACTCACATATCGTTACAGCCATAGTGGTGATCAATGGGAATGAACTTGGGTGGGTTCAGACATGAGTTGGAACCCACTTGAAAAATCCCACCGGGAAGCCGTCAGTGCAGACAGCTAGTCATAAGGGGCAGAGGTATTCCCTGCGGAGGTGGAGGTATTCCCTGCCCTGCAGCTGTATGCATACACGCCTATTCTATACATGCAGTTGTTAGTGTATTTTATTAGTGGCCCAAGACAATTCCTCTCTTCCAATGTGGCCCAGGAAAGTCAAAAGTTGGGACACCCCTGCCCTGGAGGATCCCTGGTTGGGAAAGGCTGCATTGGATCGTGGTTGAATATATGTGGTTGTAAATCACATGCAGTATCAGCTTTCTTCCGCAAGATGGCAGTGTGTGTTGCCATAGATTCAGGCCAGTAGTCAGCTGATAGTAAAGAGCTATTGTCAGTGCTGGTGGGGGACTCATGAATGGAATGTGGTTACCTAGCAAACACAAACACTATAGTGCGGCCTTTGTGAGATTGTTGTGTTTACAGGCGTAGCAGGGAGCCAGGCAGTGGGAGATGGTCACTATTTGACGTGCAGCTTGTGTCCCCAGTCCCTCCCCTGTCACCATTGTCCAATCTTTGGGTTTCGTGGCTAAACTGTCACCAGAATATTTTTTTATTAAAATGCAGCAATGTCGGTTTTTGATTGGTAAGTCTGTCTGGCTTTTCTTTGCTTACCCTTCCCTCATTTTGATTCTGTCTTATTCTTTTTATTTCCACCCAACAGATTATAAATTTGGAGTCGGAGCTGACGGAACTTGTGGAGCAGCGTGAAGCCAAAGATGAGGCCTGCTCTTCAGACGGACTGGGCTTAGATGTCAAAAGGATGTCAGAAATGGAACAGGTTAGATTATTATATGGAGCTGCCTGTGAATGAGATACCATTTCCCAAATTCCTTATGAATGATACAAGATATCCGGGATGTGTCAGATTTTTTTTTTGTTTGCATTGTTGCACCAAGCCACAGCTGCAAGCTAAGCATTTGCCTTGTAGTCCTATTCATTTGCAACAGACAGTGGCACCTGTCAAGCTCAGCATTTCATGTTAAAATTGCTGCAGCAGTGCATGATCACCCAAGCAGCAACATGTGCTTTGTACCTGGGCGGTCAGGGGTGATAAAATGTGGAAATACTGACTGTTTTCACCACCCCCTGCAGCCCATGTGAAAGTGGCATTAAGCAGATCAGGTGTTCTGACTTCACTTTGACTGATCTGCATACTTAATACCAGGGGCGGACTGACCATTTGGAAACTTGGGCACTGCCCGAGGGCCCGGGGTCAATAGGGGGCCCCATGAGATCCCCCTGGTATCTTTTTTCATAGGCTTTTTTGAGTTTGGGCAAGGACACAGGGGCCCCATGATCCCCTATTGCCCAGGGGCCCCATATGTTGTCAGTCCACCCCTGCTTGATACAGGTCAGCATGAAGTATTGAGGCTATAGACAGCCAGGCAGCCAGCATTTTCAGAATGAGGTCAGACATGGCAGGCTGTAGTTTTAGCTCAGTCCAGGTTTTTAGTAAAGCAAATAATTAAACTCAAACAGCAAATATCTATTACATTGCAGCGTACCAATTCTTATTTGTGATGGCTTCCTTTCTTTTATTTTCACCTGGTGATCCTGCCAGGAAGTCTGTTTGTTTTTTTATTAGAACAATCTGTCCTGCAGATGTTGCATTTAAAGGGTTGAGACAAATCTTTTACCACCATCAGCGGTTCTTACAATGGTCCGCCTTCATTTATCTAAAACCTTTGGCCCAAAAGGTTAAAAAAACGGTTGCTGTAACTGCTTAACACCTCCCCAGACTGACCATGCTGCTTTCCAAAGGTGCCCCCTGTGAGCCTTCTTCCAGAGTGGGGGTGTTCTAATACAAAAATGTGTTACTGGCCAGATCACCAGGTGAAAAATGTGTGAAGAAGGACTAAAAAAGAAAACTAATGCAGCCACCAAATCTAATTATTGGTAAGCTGCAATATTCTACATTTTTGGTTTTTCGTTTAATATCACTTTAAGGATGGCTGAACAGAATTACAGAAAATGAGGACTCTTTTTTATTTTTCATTGTAATTGTATTTTTTAATGTGTAGCTGTACATTCTGAAGGACACAGATACACATCTGCTATCTTCAAAAGTTATCTGTCTGGTTGACCCCATTAACAGCCTGTGTGGATGGGCTTTTGTTGAGTTCAAGAGAGTTTTGCATCTCCATGCAAGTCTATTCAAATGCAGCTTGAGGCATGCCAGATGCACCTTTCAGTGATTTCTTTATGATCTCAGAAGCTTCTCCAGATCAGGGGCGGACTGACCATTTTGAAACTCGGCACTGCCCGAGGGCCCGGGGTCAGTAGGGGGCCCCATGAGATGCCCCTGGTACCTTTTTCATAGGCTTTTCTGAGTTTGGGCAAGGACACAGGGGCACCATGATCCCCTATTGCCCGGGGGCCTCATGAGTTGTCAGTCTGCCCCTGGTCCAAATGATATCACCATCAACACAAGACCACAGCTCGTCTACACAGACCCTAACTTCACCTCCCCTCTGAAGCTATCCCCACAGACTCACTGCTCCAGTCATCCATGCTGGTCATTTTTCTAGTTGAAATGTGCCCATTGGCTGGAATTAGTATTTAAAGTGGTTGTAAACCTGAGACATAAAATATGAACAAAGCATATTCCTCTATTGTGTGTTTTTGTCTCAATCCAGAGCACTAAATGGCATTTCTGTCTGCTGCTCTGTTGCTCTGCTATCAGCATGACAAGTTGTTCTGACACCAAGAGAAAAATGAGGCAGGAGACGGACCTCCAGCAGATTGACAGCCTCAGCTCTGTTCTGGTGTGCTGTGTGGAGTGGGGGTGTCTCTTCCCTCCAATCAGCTCTCAGAGCTCTCCTAACTGAGCTCTGCAGTGTTTTAATTTCAGCTCTTCACCCCGTTTTCTGAACTCTCAGGCAAGTTTATAAATTCAGCACTTTGGTTGGCTGAAGGGAAGAGATGACTGCAGATACATGTACAACTTATGTAGGAGGATTTCTTTCATCTCTGTATATCACCTGAGGACAGTCACCTCACTGCGTATATGTAAGAATTTACAACCACTTAAATTAATGAATGGGGAGGAGGGTCCGGTGTTATAGGTTTGGTCACATGACCTGTCAAAGTCGTGATCAGCCTCTCCTCCCCTGCAGCATCATGCAGAGAATACTCTGTAACATACAGCAGGTTCCACACATCATTCAGTTATAAAATGCAGAGTGCAGTGTCTGTTGGAGAGCTGATAGCAATATTCATAAATTGGCCCCTCAACATTACCAAAGGTTCCCAACGAAAAAATGACACCTGTGTGTATTCATTCCCCAGCATTTCTTAGCTGACCTAGTCATTTAAACAAAGTAAGCAGTAAGGACCTTTCTAACCATACCAGTAATAATTGTGCAGTAGTGGTGGTGATGCAGGGCAGCTCCCTTGGTCTTACAGCAGAGCGGACGTAGACCTCAAATTATTATGGGATGCAGACTACAATATATTTACAATTGCTGATCTTTTAATCTTTGTGGGAACCTAAGATGCTATCAGTCCATTGTAAATTGACATCTGATTACTTTCTGTGTATTATTGCACTTTGCCAAAGTAAAGTACAGTGGCTAACACTTCCGCCTAGCAGCACTGGGGTTGTCTGTTCTAACCCCAACCATGGCACTACCTGCCTACATGTTCTCCCTGTCCCTGCCTGGGTTTCCTCCGGGTACTCCAGCTTCCTCCCACACGCCAAAGACATGCTGATAGGTTATTAGGCTCCTGTTTAAATTGGCCCTAGTGTGTGTATTATGATTATTATTATTATTTATTATACAGGATTTGTATAGCACCAACAGTTGCAGCACTTCTATATGTGTATGTACGAATGTGAGATAGGAACCTTAGATTGTTAGCTCCTTGAGGGCAGAAACTGATGTAAAGTAATATATATATATATCTATCGGTGTAAATTGATGGTACTTTATACTGTATGTATACGTAAGGGGGAAACCTCCTGCGCTCAACCCTAATATACTGAAAAAAGCTGCTAACACCTGCACCTGTTACCCAAAGTGAAAAACATAAAATTATAAATGATTGGTGTAGCGCTTTTCAAAATCTTTCCCTTATTTATACCGTGAACAAACAATATAATCAAGACCAAATCACAATAGGTCAATCATACAGTGACAAATAAACACAAATTATATATATAGTGAATAAACCACAACTATATCCCAGATCCTGGGAAACATATAGAATCAGTGTTAAGTGCTCTGTGTCAAACCACTTAAATACACATGTGTAACACACTAAAGTGAAAATTCAAAATACAATCGTGAATAACATAAAACAATTTATAAACCCATAAATAACATAAATTCATATAAAATGTGAGAACAGTGTCCACTGCAATGCATTAGCACACACATACAGGTGAATTTTGTGCGTGGCAGGCTCAGGTGCTGACTCCACTTATGGCTAAATTGGCTCCTCACCTCCTTGCTGCGACCCAAAAGGGTCTATAAGCCTTATGGATCTCACTCGGATCATTCCGGGGTCAGCATAAATCCTCCAGCAGAGATAACACAAGGTTTCCAAATCAAGGTACCAAGATATCCCCTTTTCCAATGGCTCTTACTCAGTGGATCAGCTCTCAAAATAATCTGCAAAGAGAAAAAATCCCCATAGTGTAACACCGTTTATTATGCAGGGTATAAATCAATAACCATAAAACTCACATTGCCAAACTTCTTGTACATAGCCTTTTAGAGCCTCATGTATGGGTGTATCTGCATGGGCTCATCCGAGAGTACAAAGATGGCGTCCGCGCCGGAAATGACGTCACCTACGCGTTGCGTCACTAATCACGTGACTTCATCAGGGTCTGTATGAATGTGAGATAGGAACCTTAGATTGTTAGCTCCTTGAGGGCAGAAACTGATGTAAAGCAATATATATATATATATATATATATCGGTGTAAATTGATGGTACTATATACTGTATGTACCTGTAATGAAGTAGAAAACAGTGAAATGTACCTGTCCAAAGGAAAAGACCGGCTGCACAATGCAGAAATTTCAAATTCTGGTAAAAAATGCTAAAGCTCCTTTCCTGATGCTTTTGAGCTACAAGGCTGGCCATAAACCTGGGTTCACACTTGTGCAGTGCAGGAAACTGCATGTGATTCGAATAGCAATCACACCACATACCTATTCAAATCACACGTGGTTCTTTGCAGTGTGATCTGAGTCCATTTATTATGTATGGACTCAAATCGCACCGCACCTGCACGAAAAAGGTGCTGGCATCTTTCTTTTTTTTTGCCACATCAGAATCGGATTGCATGAGTGTTCAGGCACATGCGATCTGATTCAGGAAACGCACAGGTTTTGCTGCATAACCCATAGTGCATATATGTGAGGCTCAGGGTTACAATTCTCCTTTCCAGAAAAAAACCTATGCAATTAAAGGCCTCAGATGATATTAAAAATGTGCAGCTTTTGTAGAATGTTAATGTAATATTTTGCCATACCTGTAGGCCATTTAGGCCCCCTGGAAGTCTGGCTGAAAAACTCTCAGCAATCCTCACATCCAGCCTTGCTGCTAGGACATGACAAAGTCATTCTTGTTTTTTTGCCAGCATCCAGCAGCTTCAATGTTCTAGCAACATGGCAAGATGTGGGGGTTACTAACTGGGAGTTTTTCATTCAGACTTCAGAGGCACCCAGATGGCCTACAGATATGACAATAAAATTAATTATTTTACAAAACTGTACAGATTTTTAATATTTACTGAGTGCAAAGGCTATTTTCTTGAAAAACAGAAGTTTAATCTATGATGGGTGATTTTCATCTTGCAGGTGAATCGCGTCTGAGGGGGGTCATAAGTGGGTAATCTCTGTTCTTGTTGTCCAGAGACTTTTCAGCATTTCCATTTTCTTTGGAGTGCAGCTGGTCATTGGAATTGTTGTGTCTGTGGGGCATAGGACGAGCCCCTGCTGGCGTTCTGCACCCAATCTCCCATTGGAGATATCTGATTCAGGGCTTGGGAGTACTGTACCTATTCATTTTGCAGAATTGCCCTAGGGAAATCTTCTGCTCTGTGTAGATTGCTATCTGTGGTACATCAGAATGCAGATTCCTAAGTAACTGATTCCCAGCTAAATCTATTGCCAAACTAGAGCACACACCTGTACACATCCAAAATTGTGCCAATCTCCACACCTTAATATTAGATTTCTTTTTACAGTTACAGAGAATGACATGTACTGGCAGGATCAGACTCCACTATAGAATTCGCTTCATTTGTGTCAGGATCCTAAAACGATTCTTGCTCTAGAGCTCATTGTCTGTTTGCATGCCACTTTTGAAGGATTAGTCTCGCCTGCAGCACCAAAATACTTACCTTCAGGTCACTTTAGAGACCATTGGCTCTGTGTCACCCATGCTTGTTCACTGGATTTGTGCATCTTCAGCAAGTTTTCTCTGCTAGTAAGTCACTGTTTGCTCATGGTGTTGGATATTGCTTTCTGATTGTCTGCCAATAGGGGTACAGTAGTGCAGCGTTTTGCATTTGCCCTTTCAGGCCCAATTACACTATAATGCAGTGCAACCAAAGCATGTTGGACATTTCTTAGCACAAAAAAAGTGCTGCTTTTTTTTTCAAAATGCACTGCACAGATCTTTTGCATCCATGTGCTACAGTGCACTGTATATGTACTTCGGTTGCAATTAATTACTGTAAACTAATGATAAAACTATAAAAGTATGCAATTGTAAAATTAAAGAGTAACTCCTCTTTTGTTGAGAAAAAAAACAAGGATTTTAACAAACTTTGTTCCAGATTCCTACCTTTTGTTATTTTGATGAAAAAGCTGTTTGTCTGTCTGTGTCCATGTGCAGAGTGAATGTGAATAGGAGTGATTTTCATATTTATCAATCAGCTGCTGCACTTGCAGGGCACTGATGAGAAAAGTGGTAGGGTCTGCACCCCTTTAGACCGGATTTCCCTTTGTCACCAAAAATGTGAGTATGTTGCAGGAGATGCTCAAAATCTGACTTAGATCTTAGTGCAGACTTCTGGGAAATCAGGGAGCCAATCCAACAAGCAGGAAATAACAGTTCTAGGGGGGGCGTTCTGTACACCAACTGTGTACAGAACACCTCCAGGTAGCCATATTGCATTTTACATAAAATTCCAGTGCTGCAGATTGAAAAGGAAAGGTCACTTTTTCATAACATTCAATTACAATATGACTTGTGGTGCAATAATATATACTATATATATATATATATATTTTTTTTTTAATTTGCAATTTTTTTTTCAAAAGGGGTTACCCCTTACAGGGGCGGACTGACAACTCATGGGGCCCCCGGGCAATAGGGGATCATGGGGCCCCTGTGTCCTTGCCCAAACTCAAAAAAGCCTATGAAAAAAGGTACCAGGGGCATCTCATGGGGCCCCCTACTGACCCCGGGCCCTCGGGCAGTGCCCGAGTTTCCAAATGGTCAGTCCGCCCCTGACCCCTTAAATCCTAAGGATAAAAGGGGTGGTGACAAGGACAGTAAGGCTTGAGAATAAAGGGTTAGTTTATGCTGGAGGTCCAGCAAATGAGGCAGGCTGTATCTGACTTGCACACTGTGAGAAGGTCACAGTGTGCAGTGAAATCAGAGTCATCTCCAAAGACATGCTGGTAGGTTAATTGGCTCCTGTCTAAATTGTCCCTAATATGTATATGTATGAATGTGAGTTAGGGACCTTAGATTGTACAACCCTTGAGGGTTAGGGACTGATGTGAATGTACAATATATATTTGTGTAAAGCGCTGCGTAAATTGACGGCGCTATATTAGTGCCTGAAATAATAAAATAAATTTCAGTACAAGAGAGGAGCCTGTACAACTGTGCAAAACTGACGGGAAAGCTGGCGTTCTGCTTTAACTCCTTGTGACGCTCAGAGCCCAGGCATTCTCCTGATCTTGTTCTGGGACTGGGGTCATATTTAGTGGGATACACATGCAGATAATTGCCTGTTTTGTTAGTGACTTTGTTTTTATTGATATTTGTCAGGAACTGACTGAACTAAAGCCAATGCTGAAGGGTGTAGAGGACCAACTGCTGAGATCGGAGCGGGAGAATAACAATCTGCGTTCAAAAAATGAGCAGCTGGAAAAAGAAACACATTTGCAGGATAATAAGGTGATTCATAATTTGTGAACACTACTGATATTTTGGTTGTGGGTGCACCCTGGTGGAATGGATCACTCACAAGCATGTTGTCTTTTTGGTGTCTCAAAAAACTCTTCGTTCTGATCGTGGAGTGTCATTCCTCTTCCTGAATTCCCCATAATATTCACATTCTTACCGCATGAGAATAGGTGGGCAGAGCAGCACCCCTGCTTTGTTTGGAGAAAAAAAAAAAGCAAGAGATACACATCTTGACTGCCAGGTTATCTCTCACCCAGCAGCAGTAAATCAGTGTGACTACTTTACTACGTTTACTGCCTTTGTAACATTTCTTACTCTCAGCCAGAATAAGGTTCTTTAGCAACCAAAGGGAAAAGGCTATAGTATACGTTTTCTTTATGAACTGTGAACTACCTCCTGCTATTTTTGTTCCCCACCCCCTCTCCTGATTTATAATGCCCCAATGCAGCTGCCTCTTGTGCCTACCCCTTGGTCTGACCCTGCTCCTACTAATGGATGGAGTGGATGGTTTATTGTAATAGCAAATAGGTTCCGAAGTTGTGATTTTAGTCTTGACTCTTTTTTTAGCCTAAAACATATACATAAGTTGGTAAATTTGGCATTTTGTAGTGCTTGAAAACAACATGCCACTTAGTTATATAGTGACAGAGTGGCACTCCTACCCGGATCATGTACCTATCACGTGATCCACCTCTTCTGGGTAGGAGGGGCACACTCACGGTGGTGGTGGTGACAACCTAGCTGTGCTGTGATTAGACACAGCACAAGCTGATCAGTGGGTGATGGCCATTGGATGTCCGCCAGGACCTGCTGATCGTCGAGGAGAAAGACAGAACAGTGCTCTGCCAATGTAAACAAAGCAGAGCTCTGTCCTGTCAGCAGGGATGTGCCAGATTTTGTTTTACTGCAAAGCTGGGAATAAAATTCAGCACATCCCTTAGTGAAAGGAACACACTGTACACACAAAAACACTGGTTAGGCACACATTTAACCCTTGGATCTCCTTAGATGTTTAACCCCTTCCCAGCCAGTGTCATTAGTACAGTGTCCGTGCATATTTGTAGCTCTGATCACTGTATTAGTGTCACTGGTTCCCACAAAGTGTCAGATTGTCCGACACAATATTGTATTCCTGCAGTAAGTTGCTGATCGCTGCTATTACTAGTATAAAAAATATATACCATTGTTGTAGACACTGTAACATTTGCTTAAACCAATCAATATATGCTTATTGGGATTTTTTTTTACCAAAAATATGTAGCAGAATACATATTGGCCTACATTTTATGAAGAAATTTGAATTTTTTTTTTTTATTATTTTATTGGATATGTTTTATAGCAGAAAGTAAAAAAAAAAAAGTTTTTTTCATTTTTCAACATTTTTGGCCTTTTTTAATTTATAGCACAAAAAATAAATAAAACAGTGGTGAACAAATACCACCAAAAGAAAGCTCTATTTGTAAGGGGAAAAAAAATATACAAATTTTGTTTGTGTATAGCGTTGCATGACCGCGCAATTGTCAGTTAACGTAATGCAGTGTGAAAAAGCAAAAAATGGCCTGGTCATGAAGAGGGTAAATCTTCCGGAGGTCAAGTGGTTAAAGTAGAACTCCAGCCAAAGCAATTTTTTTCTGTTTTGAACAGAATGAGAAAGGGATAGAATCTGAGTCAGATCTTATTGCTCTCTGGACCAGTTCTGGGACAGAGAAAGAGGATACTCTTCCTCAGCAATACTACACAGAGCAATGGAAACCTTGCAGAGGTCCTAACCCTTGCTCTCTCAGAGCACAGGAAGACACATTGGATTGGGGTTCGAATTTAGGCTCCATTATCTTGCAGAAGAGCTGAATTTCCTCCAAAAGGCAGATATGACATGCTTGATAATGCACCTTGATCATATTTGGTAGATTGATTCAAAAAGTAGACAGACTCTGATTGGTTGTGTGTTTGAACCTGAACACTGTGCCTTCTTACTGAGTATTTTGTACTTTTTGTAATCAGATTTCTGAGCTGATGGAGCAGTGTAAAAGGCTGAAATTGGAAGTCACTGAAAAGAAATTTCACATAAATAAGCACTTTGTAGAAGGGGGCAAGGATCTGGAAAAGGAAAAGTGGAGGTGAGTATGAAAAGCACACCATAGTGAAAATGTTATATTCTGTTAACCAGATGGGGATAATACCTGTAATTTCTAGTACTCAGTCTGCTTACAGTGTGACAGCTCTGTAGTGATTTCACTGCAGAACAAGCATTGTTGTTGCCCTATTAAATGTACATATTTTATAGAAGAATCATTTGAATTTGATGATCACATCGCACTTCAAACTTTAAGGAGTATTTCCAGTTTTGCAGTCACACGTGGGATAACACCTACTTTGTTTGTTACCTGTCCCCATTTACTTTGTATAACTTAATAAAAAAAAAAATTTAAAAACTTCAGCTTACCTTTTAGATGTTTTTTGTTTTTGGAACATCTAACAAATAAACTTTCTGCTTAAAGCGGAGCTCCACTCAAAAGGGGAAAGTTCCGCTTTCAGGACTGCTCTCCATTAAGGATTGGCACCTTTGGGGAGTGGGGGGGAGCGGGTACCCGAATTTGACAGGTACCCACTTCCGGTCCAATCACCTAGGCGATCGGAAGCGGAAGGTGTCCTCCCTCCCTGTAGTCTTTTGGGACACATGACAGGCCCCAGAAGACTACAGGACCATTTATGAAGCGCAGCGCTACTCGTGCATGCGCAGTGGGTACCCGGCTGTGAAGCCGCAAGCTTTCATAGCCAGTTGCCCACACTGAAGATGCCGGCCTCCTGGAATACAGGACAGCCGGTGAAACTGGCAGCGGGGGACACACCAAGGGACCGAAGGACAGGTAAGTGGCTGTTTTTTAAAAGTCAGCAGCTACAGTTTTTGTAGCTGCTGATTTTTATTTTTTGATAGGTCGAGTGGAACTCCGCTTTAAGCTTGCCATAGACAGGCATTTTTTTTTTTCAGCCAGCAGATTCCTCCCTCCATCCAAGTGAAATCTGACAGAAGGACTTGCCTTTGATCGACAGAAGTATTCTAGCATGTCCCTTCAACAGAAATTGATCAAATGATTGACTTCTCTTGAGCAGGCAGGGCCACACACTGATAGAAATTTCTCTGGTCCCTGCTGAACCAGTCGAATTTCAATCCATTTATGACCAGCTTTAGTTCTTTGTTATGTAAGGGGCTGAGAAGCAGCGTTTACCATAATGAACCCTGTCTGGAGGTAGATATCTAATCAATTGTACTAGATATAAACACGGTCTATCTTAACATAAAAGCGACTCTAAAGGTTAATTTTTTTTTTTTTAAATAACAGACATATCTATACTTATCTGCTGTGTGTGGTGGTTTTGCACAGAGCAGCCTGGATTTTCTTCTCGGGTCCCCCCACAGGCTCTTCTAGCCGCTCCCTCCTGTCGGGTGCCCCCACAGCAGGCAGCTTGCTATGGGGGCACCTGCTACTCTGTGTGTCCATTCACTGAGCAGTGCCTTGCCCCGCCTCCTCCCTCTCCTCATTGGCTGACTGTCTATGATTGACAGCAGCGGGAGCAAAAGGCTCCTGCTTGCTGTCTCAGCCAATGAGGAGGCAGAGACCCATGACAGCCATGACTATCATTCACATTGCTGGAATGCGATGAGGCTCAGGTAAGTATTGAGGGGGCTGGGGCACTGCTGTACACAGGTTTTTTATCTTCATGCATAGAATGCATTAAGGTAAAAAACCTTGAGCCTTTACAACCACTTTAAGGGTTCATTAGCTGGGCTTCTCCATTGTATTTTAATAGGAAGTGGACTCAGTTAGTCCCCAGCCCAGCTATTGCAACAGATCATGCTGAGCTAGCTGAGAAATTCTTGTAGTCAGCCATGACACCATCTCCTCAGAAACATCTAAATGGTAAGAAATATTTTTTAAGTATGCTGTGTGAATGGGAACACATAAACAGATAATGAAGTATTTTAAAATTGAAAATACACTTTATGTCCACAATTTTCTGTTGTAACACAGTTGTGCAGCTTTCACCACTGGCTCCACTTCTTATTGTAGAATATGGAGTTTACTCTTCCCTTCTATAGACGTGAAGTCTGGTTTGGGATGATGGGATGAGAGCAGAGAGTATCTGGAAGAGAATGTCCCTTACTGCTGAGTATTTGTATCTACACCATAGCTGGAAGTGGGCTCCATCTTTGAGGACCCCCTATCTATCATATCTATCTATCTATCTATCTATCTATCTATATAATATATAGTGGGGGAGTTCACTCAATGTAGCGCTTGTAATCAACTTCAGCCAGTGAAGTACATTTCAGAGCTTTTTGCTCACTTTTAAGTAAGGTTCCAAAACTCACCACAAGGTTACCCTTGGGGGGGTTTTCAGCATCACTATTAGAAAACAAATTTCCCAGCCTCCTGACTATCGGGACTGTGTAGTCTCCTGAGCCTGTCATCGCACAGACTCACAATGTTATCACATCCAGGTTTGTTACAAACTGCCTACTTTTGGCTGCACAGGCTCCTGCCTAATCGCAGTTCTTTGAATCTCTTTAGGCAACTGCGTAGCCAGATCACCTCACCTTGAGGCCAGGGTAGGCACTCTTCCAGTGTCTATCCGAACACTCTGCTGCTGCAGCCGTTTTTCAGGGGAAGGAGCCCTGAACTATAGACAGCTCCTTTGACTAAAGGAATGTACCTGCACAATCAGTATGCTGGTTTCTTGTCAAATGTGAACCCAATCCAGGTGTTATCAATCCGGAGAAAACTGCAAAACACATTTGTCCTGGCTCCAGCATGGCGGCATACTACCGCATGTATGCTACCATGGATTGGTGCCAGGAAAGGAAAATTACGGTAAGTGTTTGATACAATTTTCTGTTTTCTTGGCGCCAATCTAGCAGCATACATGTGGTAATATGCTGCTGTGGATTGGCGGCAGGAAAGGAAAATTATAATAAGTGTTTGATACGTGTTTCCTTTTCTTCACGCAGAACAAACATCCCAGAGCCCCTCAACCTGCTAAGTGAGAACCCTGGGTGACATCTAACCCTTATGACACCATAACAAGGCACAGCACAGTCACAATATATATATATATATATATTTATAACATTTTTTTCTTTTAATATAAATTTCTTTTCTTTTATGGTTTTATAGTGCTGCTTTGTCCGAGCACCAGAGGAAATGTGAAACTCTCCAGAGACAAATCCAGGATGGGCTGGAGGAGAAGCAGCACCTATGGGAGGAGAACTTGCAGCTCAGACAAGAAGTGACAGTTTGCAGGCAGGATCTGCAGGCCAAGAGAGAAGAAATTGCACGCCTAAGACAGGATCTCTTCAATTTGCAGAATCCAATGCCCAGACCTCAGACATGCGTAGATGGAGCTCAAAAGACTGTTTCACAGGTTTGTTAAACTGTTTTCTATGTGTTGGAGGCCTGCTGCTCAGGTCATGCATATTGTCCACCTATGTCATATGGCATGTTCCTATGGGAGTTTGGGGTAGTCAGGATAAAAGAGAGTATGGCTTGGAAAGAGACCCAGATCTGCAGAGGGAAATTTGAAAAGAAATGCACATGTACATTAAGCCTATTTCCTACAGCGCCAGACTTTGTGCCTGAGCAATCTATCAAGCACATTCACATAGGGGTGTGCCTAGCCCAGTGCAAATGCTTAAGTGGAATTAGCATGATTAACATGGGTGGCTGTAAAGTAAAATCTAACAACTTCCCTCATCCCTACAAATTAGATGGATAGAGGAAGCCCGCCTCTGGGAAATTGTATTCTGACAGCTGCGCCCACAGCTGTCAGAATACACAGATCAGCGGCTGCAGCTGATTGACTGCAGTGGCAGATCCAGAAAGATTTTCCAGGACATACCTTCAAAAGAAATTGATCAAGCAACCAAAATGTGTTCGGTCCCTGCCAAACCTGCTGAATTCCAATCAGTGTATGGCCAGCTTAAGAGAGAACACCTATGACCAAACACACAACCATCTGTAACCAGTTAGCCATCTGCAGTCACTTTTCACTTGATGTCCATCAGATAAACATTAAAATCAATTGCTTTTATGAAATATATCCTGGAACAAGGTTTATATTTAGAAATTATTTAAATTGTCTGCAAAAAAAAAATCCCCAGCACGCTTTCCAACTGCTTAAAAAGCCCAAAAATGCCTAATTAGACTTTTTCAATGTTTAGGTTTAAAGCCCATACTGCTGAGTGAATGCCCCACTGCAAAGTGTGGTCCCTAATGCTACACTACAGTGTAACACCCTGCCCATGTGCAGCTTACGTGTGCTAAGTATAAATTGATCTGAACCACTGCCATTGTTTGCTTAGTTGATTTTTGTGTTTCGCAGAAACACACTGGAAGTCTTCAACTGCTGAGCTGCAGGTCTGGGCTTCTGTTATGTTGCTTTACATTTGCATTTTCTCTGTACTATTTTGTATATTGCACTTTTCTATTGTGTCCGTTTCCCTTATTGCAAGTTTCAAAAGTTCAGAGCAGCTGCAATTTTTTTTTTTGGTGCAAATACGCACTTCTTCAGCTTCCCTGTAAATGTGATGTGTGGGCTATCAGTGTGTTGCTGTACCGTTGGGGCCTGTTCAAACTAGGAATCATACAGAAATGCACTGTATGTTCCTGAGCGATTAACGCGCAGTTCAGTATAGATTGATTTGAGCCCATTCATTTTGAATAGGCTCAAATCACTACTTTTGGAAACAGACTGCAAAAGGATCGATGGCACTTCTGTACCATGCAGTTCAGTGCAGGCACTGCATTTGTGACCTGCGTTTGGGGTGTTTTTTTTAATTTTGACATCCACTGCAGATCGTAACTGCAGTGTATTTTGAACACAGTGTGAGAAACTCTCACAGAATGCAGTTTTCATGCACGACTTTCTAGCATGAACGGCGCCTTACAGAGGATAGGGCTGACTCCAGGTGAGCCTGCTCTCTGTTTGTGAATTGCTATATATGTCCCATAGTTAAGAAACTCGGTTTAAAGTTGGGTGCCACACTTGGCAGAGGAGCCTCGATGTGGCAGTGTGGCTTCCACATGTATTGCTCCTAAAACCTCGGTTTTTAACATAAGTAGTTGAAGCTGAATGGTTAGTGTGTGTTTCTTTTTTTTTTTTTTTTTAACTTTGCTGGCTAGCTTGAAAGTGTGCTAGGGACTCCTTTGTACTGTATTACATATGGCCCTACCCTTGTACACCTTTCCTTTGTTGCTTTTTCTTAAACAGATCAGAGCGGCGGCCATTGTTTGTTTTGCTCCAACTTTGGCGAAATCCACCCCCCAATCTTAACTGAGCTACCCTGCCCTACCCCAGCTGCTTGCTTACATTAGTTCCAGAGGAAGCCATTGCTGGGGTGGGTCGGGTTTGCTCAGTTAAGCTTAGATATGTGGATTTTGCCAAAGTTGTGTTGACAGAAGAAGCCATGGCTCTTGAGCTAAGGTAAGAAATAAATAATTACAGTGCATGGTAATAACTGATCTGAATGGATATGATGGTTTCAATTTTTTTCATTCCGGGGGGGGGGGGGGGGGGGGGGGGGATGAGGGACAAAGTGGTTCAAAAAGTTTTACTTTTTTTTTTTGTGTTATTTTGGCAGAATCTAGCTGGGGACGCTCTTATCCAGCAGCAATTTGAGGAAATCCGCCAACTCCGTCAAGACCTCAACAGAGTGCACAATCTCTGCAGCTCGGCAGAAAAAGAACTGCGATACGAAAGAGACAAAAACCTGGAAGTCAAAAAACAAAATATCCTCCTGCAGAAGGAACACACTAAGGTAAGAAATCACCCCTGACATGGAGGCAGTACTTTGTTCCATCTTTATCTGTCAGGCAGTCACCTCTTTGTAGACAATACAGAAGTAGGAGAGGGCATTTCATGGGCTGACATTTTTGTAGTCCATACATTTAATAAATTAAAAAACATAAGATATTGGTATAAAAAACGAAGAGAGGGAACCTATACACAAAGCATTTACCAGTAGAAAATAGTCCCCTCTTTTTGTTTTTTTTTTTTTTTTTGCTCAGAAACTAAAGTCTGATTGGTGGACATGGGCCACATTTTGACATTTGAGCAAGGAAACCTGGACACTTTTTATACATCAGCCCCTAGTCCTTCGCTGGCTCCCATTAACAAATGAATGTTTACCAGTTGATTGGGCAAACTGCTTCTGATTGGTGGCCATGGGTTAGCATTGACTAATGTGTGTCAGAAAGTGCACCACTGCTTGTATTCTCACCTGCAGTCTGTAGATTAATGCTCCCCTGCATGATGCTCCATGGTGAGGGTAGGTTAATCTATATAATCTCTTAGAGACAGCTAGGTTTGACAGTTGGTAGCTGGTGGCCTTGGCAGGAAGGGTGGTATATCTTCTGGAGCTGAAATGGTTAACATAAAGCTACTAGGAGCCAATATGTGCTGCAATGTTTTCTCTTTGGTCAGTCATATTTTGGCTTCTTGCAGTTTGTGTCTGCTTAGTATTGAATAGCATTTTAAATGCATTCCCCTCTTGTCTGTTATAATGTTTGGTGATTGTACATTTCATTTGTATATAATAATTTATCCCCAGTTTTCTTGCACTTCATTCTAATCCAGGTGAGTGAGGAACTAAACCATGTGAAACAGAAGTATGCCTCTGTGACAGCGACACTCTCCAGCCTAGAAGTTGAGCGGGAGCAGCAGCAGCAGAAGATTAAGATGATGGAACTGGAGTTTCTAAAAATGAGCCGCAATTCTAAAGTTCAGAACAGCTGGCAGGAGAAACTGGAGCATGAAAAATGCCGAGCAGTGGATGCTGAAAAACTGGTATGAGATCCAAGCTAGCATAATGGGAAGCAACATTAACCTTTGGAGCCTCCAAGAAACCCTTGAAGCTCTTCATGCTGGATGCACCTGTACACTAACTTTGCCTCCCACAAAGCAATACTCTGTGCCTGAGCAACCTATCAAGCCAGCCATTCTCAACTGAGGTTCTGTGGAATCCTAGGGTTTCTGCAGAGGTTGGCAAGGATTCCCTGAGTGGTGGCTGGACAACCTTTTTTTATAGTGCCTGCATAGTTCTAGAACCAATGCCACTTGGCAAAGCCAACAGCGTGACACCCATACTCTTTTTAGCTGTCTTTAAGGGTGGCATTCACACCAGCACTGTAAGCAGGGGCGTCTCTAGGGTTGGTGTTACCCGGTGCGGTAACACTTGGTGTCACCCCTCTGACGATCCCTGCAGGATGGATACGATCTGCGGATTGAGCATAATGGATCGGAGTCTGATCCATTATGCTCCCCAATCCGCAGATCCGATCCATCTTGCAGGGATCATCAGCTTGCAACCTATACGGGGTTAACTGATCTTTCAACACCAGTCCAGTCTGCACAAGCTCGAGAAGTGATGACAGATGGAGGAGGTTACTGCTATCGTGGCCGCATTTCCTGGTTACAGACAAGTCCCGTATCTTGCACAACCTTACCTAGATCAGTTTAACCCCGTATAGGATGCAAGCTGATGATTCCTGCAAGATGGATCGGATCTGTTTGTTAGGAAGCATAATGGATCAGACTCTGATCATTATGCTCAATCTGCAGATTTGATCCATCCTGTGGGGATCGTCTGCTTGCTTTAAAACTTTCCTTTTGGTGGAGCTCGTGGAGAGGGTCCAGTGTCACTCCGTGCGATAGATGTCACCCAATTCGCCACGCACTCGCCTAGGGACGCCACTGTAAGGGCTACAATCTTCCTACTGACCACTAACATAAGGGGCATTTTTTTCCCATTGGCCTACAATTGGTTTTAGTAAAGATTCTCTGAGACCTGTAAATTATTTCAGGGATTCCATTGGGATGAAAACATTGTAAAAGGCTGTATCAAGCACTTTCATATTGGAGGGGATCCTACTTAGCCCTTTGTAAATACCTTCCATGCAGTAAGTCGGTATTTGTGTAGGGTATTTGAGGGGATTCTAAGGTGGCAGGAGGTGTTTTTAAAGCAAAACTTTACCCAAAACATCTTGATAAAAAAAATAATCTTCTTTTAGCAAGGAACGTGCATTCCACATTAATAAGTATTCTACCAATATCCGTGTGTGCTGTAAATTACCTCCAGCATTGTTCATGTGTCTTCTACTGGAGGCTGCCATTTTGCTGAAGCCCAAAGCCCCTGAGCAGCAGTAATTCTTTAGGCTGTCAGCAGATTGGCCTCTGCATTTTCGGCACAGTGTCTAAAAATGGAGAACTACTGAGCATGTGCAGAGCAGGGCAAGACTGTAAATTACTGGATTTTAAACAGTATAAGCACTTATTTTTAATGGTTTTACATAGCTATACCTGCAAAAGGGTCCAGCATGAAGAGATCTAGTAGGACTTAATTTTCTGACTAAAGTTCCACTTTAAGGTAAGAACAGGTATCTTATGGTGTCTGCTTTACAATACATAGGTATGTGTAACTTGTGCAAAGGGAGCCTTGGAGTGTTACTAAACCCACAACAGTAAAATCAATCTGTATATGCAGTAAAGCATGCTTGTTATACTCGCTGTGGAACCTAAGGGTTAATCCTCTGCATTGTGTAAAAAGGACATTTGATCCTTTCTTCTAATTTCCTCTCCTTTTTAAGTGACCACCTCTTATTTCCTGGGACTGAACTGTAGGCATTTTGCACCTGTTCAGTTTGGTTGTATTGCTAGAGAGGTTTTTTTTTTTCAAAAGTGATCACACTTTCCAGACAGAGGTCAGGGGTTCTGCATCCTCCTTCCTCCTCTTTAAGTGCTTGGCTTGATAGAAGTCACAAGACTTATATACTGCTGATGAGAAAAGGTATTTAGCAGTTTATATTTATTAAAATAATACAATTTCCATGTTCTGTGTACTGTGAGAGACCAGATATAGTGAATGCAGGGTCCTAGGTTTAGTAACACGTTAAACCCCAAATCAAGCATTTTGCTGATTCCCTTGTCTAGCTCAACACAGCTGACAGCAGCCTCAATTCCCAGTGCGTTCAGAGAAGCCAGGGGACTTTTTAAAAATAAGGTCCACCCATATAACATCTGCTCCAAAGAAAAATACATAAAGCATGATATCATTAATTTTTCTTTACATAATGAACATATAGCCTGACCACCCCAAAGCAGAAATTCTAGTTTTATTAGCCAGACAGGTGGATCTTTCTGGTTAAATACAGGTAATAGGTATTATTTTCCTTTTTAACAATCTACCTCCATGCATTAATTATGCTATAGCACAAGTATGAATGTGTTGCGGAATTTCCATGGCTGCATTCCAGGAGACTTGGAGCCCTCTCAATTCATCTTGTTCAAACTCCAAAATCAGCAGGGCGCATGTAATCAAGTCCCAGCATGCTTTGCCCACCAGGAGCTGACAATATTTTAATCCGGGCAAATTTAAAACGTGTATCTGACATTATTGCCCTAAATATATTAAAAAGTCCCTACCACAAAAAGAAACAAACTTTTGAAAGATCCACAACAATGCACACCAGTCCCTTTCTAAGTGAATGAAATCTTTGCTGCCTAGCAAAGCTACAGTAATTGAAAGAATCACCAACACATTAACGGTGCACCGAATTACAGCATTTCGCTGGTATCAACAAAGCCTTAAAGCCAATCTAAACTCAAAACAGAAAACCTCTCCTTTACCCCCTCACTTCCATTTGTTCGGAGCAAGCGGTGCATGTTGCGGTTATGTGCAGCTCTATGTACACCACAAATTCCATGGTCAATCTCGGAAGACAGCAAGATGGGATGGCTACATTTCATTTATATAGAGGGACCATAGCGAATGAATGTAGCCACCCTCTATAAGGAAGTTGGATCACAACAGCAAAAAAGAAAGAACTTTGGAGATTTGGAAGAGGCTGAGAGTTATAGAAGATACTTTTTTGAGTTAAGAGTACATACTTGATTAGAATTTTATTTTTTTTTAAACAAGAGTTTTGTGTCACTTTTATATAATGCAGCTTACCATTTCCTTGGTGGCTACCTTTTTTTAGGCCTTTCCCCCCTGTATTTACACTTGTTGATCCAGCCCCTAACTCACTTACTCCATTGTATGTTTGGAAGAGTGGCGCTGATACCTTAGGCTGCGCTCCTGATTTTGGGATACAAACTTCTTTGTTTGTAGCCCCACAAATAATCTCATCTACATTATTACAGGGGTGTTGCTTTGTAGTTCACAGAAGAGATCTGGGAAATCTGATAGCATTGTTTTAAGATTTCATATTGGTACACAGGAAGTTGCAAGGACACAAGGGGGTTGATTTACTAAAGACAAATAGTCTGTGCACTGCAAGGGAAGTTGCTATAGATCTGAAGGGAAGATCTGAAACACGGGGACGCTCTGCCGTATTCTATCATCCAATCATGTGCAAGCAAAAATGCTGTTTTTTTTTTATTTTCCTTGCATGTGTTTGGTATTCTTTGTAAAATGAAGCTTTATCCCATTTACTAAGCTCTGTAATAAGTGCACTTGTAGTGCACAGTATATTTGCCTTTAATAAATCAACCCCAAGGATTCTGGTAGCATCAATTAATTTTTCTGTACACATACAGTGCCCTGAAAAAGTATTCATACCCCTTGAAATTTTCCATATTGTCATGTTACAACCAAAAATGTAAATTTTTTGGGGGAGATTTTTATGTGATAGACCAACACAAAGTGGCACATAATTGGGAAGTGGAAGGAAAATGATGAATGTTTTTCAAAATTCTTTACAAATAAATATGTGAAAAGTGTGGCATACATTTGTATTCAGCCCCCCCCCCCCCCCTAAATCAATACTGTGTAGAACCACCTTTCGCTGCAATTACGGCTGAAAGTCTCTTTGGGGATGTCTCTACCAGCTTTGCACATCTAGAGGGGGACATTTTTGCCCATTCTTCTTTGCAAAGTAGCTCAAGATCTGTCAGATTGGATGGAGAGCGTCTGTGAACATCAGTTTTCAGTCTTGCCGCAGAGTCTCAATTGGATTTAGGTCTGGATTTTGACTGGGCCATTCTAACACATGAAAATGCTTTGATCTAAACCATTCCATTGTAGCTCTGGCTGGATGTTTTGGGTCGTTGTCCTGCTGGATGGTGAACCTCCACCTCAGTCTCAAGTCTTTTGCAGACTCTAACAGGTTTTCTTCTAAGATTGCTCTGTATTTGGCTCCATCCATCTTCCCATCAACTCTGACCAGCTTCCCTATCCATGCTGAAGAAAAGCATCTCCACAACATGATGCTGTCACCACGTTTCATGGTGGGGATGGTGTGTTCAGGGTGATGTGCAGTGTTAGTTTTCTGCTACACATAGCGTTTTGCTTTTAGACCAAAAAATTCTATTCTGGTCTCATCTGACCAGAGCCCCTTCTTCCACATGTTTGCTGTGTCCCCCACATGGACTGGACTTCTTGTGGCTTTCTTTCAAAAATGGCTTTCTTCTTGCCACTCTTCCATAAAGGCCAGATTTGTGGAGTGCACGATTAATAGTTGTCCTGTGGACAGATTCTCCCACCTGAGCTGTGGCTCTTTGCAGCTCCTCCAGAGTTACCATGGGCCTCTTGGCTGTTTCTCTGATTAATGCTCTCCTTGCGTGGCCTGTCAGTTTAAGTGGATGGCCATGTCTCGGTAGGTTTGTAATTGTGCCATATTCTTGCCATTTTTGATTGATAGATTGAACAGTGCTCCGTGAGATGTTCAAAGCTTGGGATATTTTTTTATAACCTAACCCTGCTTTAAACTTATCCACAACTTTATTCCTGACCTGTCTGGTGTGTTCCTTGGCCTTCATGATGCTGTTTGTTTACTAATGTTCTCTAACAAACCACTGAGGGCTTCACAGAACAGCTGTATTCTATTTCCGAATTAGGTGACTTCTGAAGGCAATTGGTTCCACTAGATTTTAGTTAGGGGTATCAGTGTAAAGGGGGCTGATTACAAATGCACGCCACACGTTTCCGATGTTTATTTGTAAAACAAATGTTGCAAACCATTTATCATTTTCCTTCCACTTCACAATTATGTGCCGCTTTGTGTTGGTCTATCACATTAAAATACCAATAAAAAAAAATTAACATTTTTGGTTGTAACATGACAAAATGTGGAAAATTTCAATGGGTTTGAATACTTTTTCAAGGCGTTGTGTATATAAAAAAGAAAACTAATGCAGTCGACCCATCTAAGGACAGGCAAGCTACAATCCATTACATTTTTGCTCTTGGGTTTAGATACACTTTAATCCCAGTAAATGAGAGCAATTGCTTGCTCCACCCTCCCTTCCCCTTCCTGAATCTCTGTGGAGTGCTAGTGGGACTTATGGCTTCCATGCATTCAGCAACAAGACTATGTGCCATGGCCAAGAGCTGTTAAAATGTTTTCATCAATAGCCCCATCTACCGCCATATGACCAAGGACACAATGGGACAGATGGCACTGTTGACAAAAACGTAATATCACCATATACCATTAACTGCTGAATTGTGTACACTGTTCTAAACATTACCTCCCCAGACTGCTGGACTCTGTATGCTGTATTGTACATTCATACCACAAAGATTTTAATTTTTTTTGTTAATTGGTATTTTATCCTATTTATTATACTTTTGATGTATATTTTTATATATATAAACACACATTTATTCAGAAGTCTCTCTTGTGTGATTTATGTATGTTATCAAATTGTGCATTAATACATTTTTAATATGCATTTTGTAGTAGTTTGATGTAAATCCCTAATTCTTGCATCTTCCATAGGTCTCAGATCTGCAGCAACAACTGCGAGCATCACAACACCAAATTCAACTCCTGGAAACCCAGATAGCAGACAAGCGCCACCTGGAGGAAGAACTGAAAAAGATAAGAGAGAAGGAATCCAAGGTGAAAATGGAATTACAGGAGGAACAACTTAAAAGGTAATGGAAATGCTGGACCTCCTCATTTATCATTGGTTATTCATTACAACTGCAAATGACAACTGAAGAGCCCAGGTTTCATTTTTAATGCCTGTGAAGCAACTCAAAACAGATCTTATCAATGATCAATAAAGTCAGGAGGTACTTGCCAAGCAGCATTGACCCCTATTATTTTCTAAGTGATGGTGAAGATATGTTGTACTGGATCGAATGGATTAGAAAACACAGAATGAAAAAAACAGATCTATATCCATGTATTTTATGTCTTTGTATGTGTTCACAGCAGATACCCCAGAGCCTTAGTGAACCTATTTGTGTGTACAATAGATAGCTAGTGCGGTCTATCTGAGACCATAGATATCTTGACCGTAATCTGGTCCTACTCAGTCCCAGTCCAAGGCTCTAATATTCTGTTGGTTATATCAAAGGAGTGTAACAAAAATCCAGTTATGAGTCGCCCAGGAGGAGGAGTGGAAACGCAATGGAGCAATAATTCAAATCTCTACCAGTGCCCTTTTGCAGTCAGAAATTGTTGGCTACCATAATTTTTTTTTTTTTTTTTTTTTTTTTTTTTCATAGCAAGGGATAGTCTTCTACAATTTTAAACTGGAGTGATGGTACTTTTTATTCTCTCCTAGGAAAGTCTTTGATGAAAGTTTGGAGGTGTGTTGCAGCAAGAAATTAAAACCCTTCATGAGAAAGAGATTTCACTGACTGAGAGCAATTGTGCCCTTCAAATTAAACTGCACCAGCAGCAGTCAATGCTGCACCACCTGGATGATGAGAGGAAGTCTGTCACTTCTGAGGTCAGTATATGTGCTAATGTCAATACTAATTCCTCCTCTTTATAATATATTGAATAGTGAATTTTTATACAGGCCTTCCTCTAAGACATAGGTCTCCAGACTGCAGCCGAGGGCCAGATGTGGCCCTTTGCTTGCTTTTCCGCAGCCCTTTTTGTACTATTTCATTTACTGATGCCAACAATGGGGCATTATTCCCCATTGGCACCAATGAAGGGGAAGGATTCCTCCCACTGACACCAACAGTGGGGCACAATTCCTGCCATTGACACTAACGAAGGGATACATTTCCTCCCACTGGCTTCAACTATAGGGCACTATTCCTCACACTGATACCAAAGATAGGGCACTATTACTCCTACTGACCCCAGAGATGGGGTACTATTCCTCCCACTGGCACCAGAGATAGGGTACTATTCCTCCCACTGGCACCAGAGATAGGGTACTATTCCTCCCACTGGCACCAGAGATAGGGTACTATTCCTCCCACTGGCACCAGAGATGGGGCATTGGATTTTCCCACTGATGTCAGGATCTTTTCTTCTCCCAGAGGCCACAGTCTAGAACTCCTAAAGTCTGAAGGAAAGTAAACTGGCCCTTTCTTTAGAAAGTTTAGAGACTCTGCTCTAGGACACTGGGGAAATAGAAAGACCAAACTCACCCACTGAAAGCTATTACATCAAGGAATCCTCCTTTAATGTGATATTTGTCCCTTTCTGCCCTAATCAGCTTAGATAAAAGTTGTTTGAATTCCCAACCTATCCTTACTTCTCCTAAAGCCCGTCTCCCAAGAGTTTTTATTTTAATCATTCTTGCTACTTGAATCCTTTTGGAAGTGGCTTACCTATAAGCAAAATCTTACGGGTATGAGCTTTTGGTAAAAGTAGGACTATATTACCACAATGACACCTGTGGGCCAGTGCCTTGGGTGGCAGGATGAGAGGGGGCACCAAACCCAAAAAGTGACAAACTGTAATAGCTTTTTCACTGTTATTTCCTGATTCAGTCCACTTGTAGACATTTGGGGCTAAAGTCAACAAAAGAATTGTAGAGGGAATGGGGTGCAGGCAGTGGCATAACATAAGCAATAGCAGCCCACACTGCTGTTATGAGGCCTGAGGTAGGAGGTGGGCCCCATTAGGGAGGCTGTTAAGAAGAGAAAACAATACTGTGAAGTTTCTAGTATAGAAAAGCTGCTATCCACAGATCCCTCTGTGCAGTAGGAAGCATTTGCTTATCTGTCCTAGTAATGTAGATTTATTTCCCGCTGCACTTCTGCTGCAGACTGACATTAAACCTCTATTCCTAAAGCAGTACAAAAATCCTAGAGTTCTTCCTCTACTGAAACCTTATAGGACAGCTGAGGAGTTTGGTTCTACAATGAAGTTTGTATTAAATTGGTTGTAAACTTTTACATATACCCAGTGAAGGAATCCTCCTACATATGTTGTACCTGTTTATCTGTAGTATTCACTCCTCTATATCAATTCAAAGTCAAGAATTTTTACAGCATTTGTGAGCTTTCAGAATTCAGGGGGTGGGAAGTTGAAGTTACATTCTGCAGAGCTGATTGGAGGGAAGGGACATACTCCCTTGCACACAGGATAGAGCTGAAGCTGTCAATTACAGGCTCTGTGCTGGAGCTCCCTCCCCTATCACCTTTTTATCTCTGGTCTCAGGAAAACCTGTCAGAAGTGACTCATGTTGATAACAGAGGAACAAAGCAGGAGACAGAAATGACACTTTGTGCTCTGGATTGAGACAAGTGCTTACTATAGAGGGACATGCTTTGCTCATATTTCATGTCTGAGGTTTACAACCACTTTAGGAATATAGAGTACTTGTGTGCAAGAACATTATTGATTTTGTCATAATATAATATCAGTGTTGTTGTCATTGTTATTATTGCTACTAAAGCTATGCCTTTTATCCATAGTACTCGTCCCTAAAAGTCTGATGGTTCTGACAGCTCAACTGCTGTCCTTGATTTTGGTATATTTTATGTGGAGATCAATGACAGGTATTGTCACAGTTGACACTGCAAGCTGCTACAGAGAGAGGTACCCATGGCGCCACACCAAAGTTATGCTATGGGACCCCATGGTTCATAGTTGCACCCCAGGGTGCAGGGAGTTCTGAGAGCAGTCAAAAGGCTCTTTATAATTCCAAAAAAATAAACCCTCTCACTGTTGCTTATTTTGGACAGCTTGGTCTGCATGTAAAAGTGGAGACAAATATAAATAATATGTAAAATATTAATAAAAGGAAATACTAAAAAACTATTGTAACATATTTTGAAGTGACCACATTGAAAATAAATATTAAAACTTCTGTTAGTAAGAGAAGGCAATGGATCCTAACCTTTCCCAGGGTCTACACTGCTGTATACTGCTTCCATCATGGACTCTCATGCCCTGTAGTCTGCTAAGAAGCCAACATTTCCAGGAGTGTTAATCTCCTGGGTTCCCCACATCATCTTCTAGTGAGTCCTCCCTCCGACGTAACATCACCACTCTCTTCTGCAGTGATGTGAAGTCAAGGAGGTGACCATTGAGAGCTTCTGGAGACCCATGAGATTGACACTTCCAAGTGTTGGTTTCTTAGCTTACTTCAGGGAATTGATTGTTTTAACAGTATTGTTTACAAAAGGGATACTTTACTCTTTTGCAGTTATCAGATTATAATATTTTTGATTGAGGTCCTTCAAGCCTGTGTTCAGAGGTATTAGCAATACAATGCTGTATGGGGGTCGTAAGAATGTAATATAATATGTGGCTACCTTTTCTCTTATGGAAATGCAACTCATAAAAACAGCTTGGATTGTGTTACAGCGCACAAGTTGTGAGAGCGCCAATCAGAAGCTTCTGGAGAAACTGCAGGATATGCAGCTAGAGAAAGAGCAATTACTGAAGGAATATGATATTCTCCTGAAACGGCTGGATGAATCCATCAGGTAAGGTGGCTGCTAGGGAAATACCTGTACAGATTTCAGCTATGGAGATATAACACCCTCTGCCACACCACATTTTTTAACTGTCTATAAACCCACATTATGAACTTTTCTTATTTGGTCTGTTAAGTATACCATTTGAAAACATTTTGTTATACCACTTTGATAAAGGTTAAAAAAAATACCTGTTGATCCTGCCAGAAATCTAATGCTGTCCTGTGCACTCTGTAGTGTTATCTCAAGCAATATTATCAACTCTGTCCAGTTCATATCCGTAGACTACCGAACACTTACCCCTATGTTATGGAGATGAGGAGTCCTGTGCTGGGGTGCCATTGCTGTTCCCCCATAGATACAGTGATGTGAGTAAGCATTGTCACCCTAGAACAGAAGTATGCTACTGTCAGGATCACCAGGTCAAAACAAGGGAAAAAGTCTGGAAAAAAAAGAAAACCAATGCAGCCACCATATTGGGGCAGATGTATGAAAATGTCTGCTCTCTCCACATAGAGACATTTTATGAGCTGGCATATAACCTGTCATTCTCCCTGGACTCCTGTGGTCCCTTTTCAGCTACATTTCTGAAAATATTACTTAAATGTACTGAGTTGTTAGAAAATGCTATCCTATGCCATGCTGGCTTCACCCTTTTAAGCCTAGTACATGCTACTATTTTTTTTTTTTTCGCTCAACCCAGTGGGCTGAACGAAAAAAAAAAACCTGATCGCTCAGGAGGAGCCACTGTACTAACTATCTGATAGTAGTACAGCGATCTCCCCCCACTGTGCTAATGTGTACTGACGGGGAGGGGACGGCACTGCTCACCAGAAGCCTCCGGTCAGCGCTTTCAGCCATTGGCTGAGAGTGCTGATCGGGATCCGATTGGCAGACCTTTTTCGGTCTTGCCACTTTCAACAGAAGCCGGCCCAGTTGCTGTACTTGGGCCGAATGTCGGACAGTTTCTATTGAACCAGCCAACATTCAGCCCGTGTGTACTAGGCTTTACTTTGACGTCTCAGTTGGTGCAAAACACTGCACCATCAAGATATTTTTTACTGATCACATGTAAGAGCATAGCTTCTGTTGAAGGAAAGGTAGGTCATACATCTGCCCATCTGCCAGTTGGGGAGTTACAATAGCATATTCATGTAAAAGCCTATTATAGTAGCTAGATCTCATGTGTTGGGGTGCTGCCTTAATGCTTTAAAATGTGTCCATGCTAAGTTCATAACTAATTAAAACATTATATTTACAATACTCCATTATTTCTGTCTAACCAGGAAATACAATGAAATGCAACTACGCCACAAATCCAAACTCAGCCGAGCCAAGGAAATGTATCTAAACGAGCTGAACCAGAAGGACCAGCACATTAAACAGCTGGAAATGGAGCTCAGTGTGTCCAAGAGCCAAACAGAGAAGGTAGGCTGAACTCCAGGCACATCAGTTATGACATTACCATGTGGTGCAAACACCTTTGATAATGACTGATAATGGGGCAAATGGCTATGATAATGGGAAGTAAAAAAAAAATTGTACTAAAGCACCCAAAACCAACATGCTTACCTGAATGTGCTTTAATGTGCAGCTGTATCTCTTCTGACTGGTTAACAAACCCACTTGCCTATATTCAGGGAGGAGAGGGGTTTATTCCACTAATATGTGCTGTCTGTGGACTACCTCCAGTAAATCCACCCGTATGTGTCCCATCTGGAGATTTCCATTCATGTCCTGTCCTGGTGGCAACATATTCACTGTGAGAAAATCCCCAGTGGGAACACAGGCCTCAATAAAAAGCCAATTTCATATTTCTATACCTGTTAGAGGATTTTAGGACGGAATGTGAGGAAAAATCGTACTTACGGGCCATTGTCTACAAAACATAAACTGACTGGGGTGCTAAGTAACCCGTACTCGATGCAAAACTTGCTTTTATATAGAAATTGAATCTAAGACCTGGTTCAAATATATGCGAATTGGATGCGTTTTGAACCTCATCCGATTTTCATGACATGTGGACCAAAAACCCTTTTCTATGGAGTTGGTTCACATATGTGCAAGCCAGTCGCAGTGCAATTTTAAAAAGTGTCCGGTACGATTTTCAGCCTGGTTCATGTGTGAATTCCAGTGTCATAAACTTTAACAATTTGCACCTGAATCGCTGAATGAAGTTGCACTGGACAGGGCTAGAAATTGCGCTGCAAACCAGCCCCGTACATATGTGAACCCACTGCTGCTCTGCTAGAACTCTAATGTACTTCAGCTGTCAGTGAGCTCTGAAATGCCAACTGCAGAGAAATCAGGTGCTGTATACCACTCATGCCCAACTAGCGGGCCAGGGGCCACATGCAACCCCTCAGCACTTATTGTGTGGCCCTTGAGGCCATTGACGAAAGTAGCCTGTATTTCAGTGCTTACGCTAGCCAATAAAATATTTTTTAGACTGGCTTCTAGAAGGTAAATGTTTGCTTTGTTTTTTTTCACTGCACTTTAACTTTTTTTTCTTTTATAATGTATCAAATATCAAATGTGGCACCAATAATTTTTAAGAGGGCTGTAGGTAGCACAAATGTAATAGAATTGATTTGTACAGGGGCTGTAATAGCCGTGATCTCTTGCAGCCTAATGTTACATGTCTCCAGTCTATACCTGTCTCCTGAAGCACAGCATGTCAGTCTCAAACTTTATTATTATTATTATACAGGATTTATATAGCGCCAACAGTTTGCTCAGCACTTTACAATATAACGGGAGACAATACAGCAACAATACAGTTCAATACAAGAGGGTAAGGAGGGCCCTGCTCCTTGGAGCTTACAATCTAATAGGGAGGGGCTGGTGGTACAAAAGGTAATAACTGTGGGGGATGGACTGGTAGGAGGAATAGAAGATTCCGTTATTAGCTGAAGGCAGGATAGGCTTCCCTGAAGACATAGGTTTTTAGAGCCCACCTAAAAGTGGGCAGAGTAGGCAATAGTTGGATAGATTGGGGTAGAGAGTTCCAGAGGATGGGGGGGGGGGGCTCTAAAGAAGTCCCGGAGATGAGCATGAGAGGAGGAGACAAGGGAGCTAGAGAGCAGGAGGTCATGGGAGGAGTGGAGAGGATGGTTTGGGTGATATTTGGAGACAAGATTGGTGATGGAATTGGGGCAGAGTTATAAATGGTTTTATGTTATTGCAAATGTTTTGAATTTTAATTGTTGGGCAATGGGAAGCCAGTGGAGGGATTGGCAGAGAGGGATGACAGATATGGAATGGTTAGTATGGTGGATGAGTCTGGCAGCAGCATTCATGATAGACTGAAGAGGGGATAGCCTGCGATTAGGTAGGCCAGTGAGGAGGGAGTTATAATAGTCAAGGCGAGAGATAACAAGGGAGTGAATAAGTTGCTTAGTGGTTTTGGTGGGTAAAAATGTGAGTATCTTGGACATGTTACGGAGGTGAAGTCTACAAAATTTGGATAGTGATTGGATTTGGGGCTGAAAGGATAGATGGGAGTCTAGGATTATACCTAGCACCCTGGCATGAGGGGAGGGACTGATGATTGTGTTATTGATCTTGATGGAGAAGTCAGGGGAGGGGGCACGGGCTGGGGGGAATAGTATGAGCTCAGATTTAGAAAGATTGAGGTTGAGAAAGTGGAGTGGCATCCATGCCGATATGTCACTTAGTAGGTTAGTAATGTGAGAGGAGACTGAAGGGGTGATGTGAGGAGTAAAAATTTAGATTTGTGTGTCATCGGCTTAGAGCAACTTCTGTATCATGTTTTCAGTCACTAACCAGCTCCTGTAGCATACCTGCAGTCCCTAATCATCTTTTGAAACATGTCCGCAGCCTCTGACCATCTCTTGTTGCATACCTGCCGACTCTAATCATGTTTTGAAGCGTGTCTGTAGTCTCTGACCATCCCCCATTCCATGTATTTGATAATTTTTTCTAACATTACATTCACTGAATATTATGTGTGGCCCTTTGGTGATGTCAGGGGCCGCACTTGAGGCCCATCAAGTATATTGACCATTACTGCTATATTCTATCTGTATCATGGATTTTATCTTACCATTTGTGGAACTCAAAGGAGCCATCAGAAGTTTGAGTTTCTGTTGTTTTTTTCCTCTGCTAGGAACAGCAGCTGATAAACAGCATCACCACAGTGAATGAGCATTTACATGAAGAGAAGAGACGGCTGCTTCTGGAGATCACTGAGCACGAAGCTTCGGTGAGCAACCTCAAGTGGAGGTTGCGCTCATTAATGAACAGGTATGTAATTGCCCATCAACTTAGTGCACAATGTGATGCAATACAATCCAGATTGTTGAAGCACTGGATGGGTTTCATGTACTGATAAGAGCCTTTCTGTTCACAGAATGATTGTATTGAACTTTACAGAGAATATGCCAGCAATCTGAAAAAGGGAGGTAGATGCAAATGTGGAAAGGAGAATATCACGATGCCATAATTGTTACTGATCTCGTCTATTTAAAGCCTAAGTGCAGTCAAATTCAAAAAGAGAAACACCAACACAAGAGACATAACTTTCAGTCAGTAGGATGTGTCCCTTGTGCTGATTCTTCTTTTGATAGAGGTAGTTCTCCTCCGTCCCGCCCCCTTTCGCCTGTAGAAACCATACTACAGTTTCTTTTGAATGAAATGCGATCTATGAATGGAGGAAGTGGACCTTTCAACCATCCTCCTGTCCCCTATTTATAGATCATGTTTCATTTATAGAAGCTGTAGTATGGTTTCTATGAATGGGAGAGCTGGGCAGAAAGGGTGGGCATAGACCATTAGTGTCATTAGACCATGTTTGCCATTTTAAGAAAAATCTGAACCTTTACAATCCTTTTAACCCCACAGCACCAAGAGATTATGATGGTGAGGATGGAGACAGGACAGAGGACAATTATTACTGAGAGAAGAAGTATCCGCAAAAGGAACACATCCTAATGACTAGAAGTTGTCAATTGTACTGATTTTTCTGTTTTTAATTTTTTTCTTCTGCACTTAGGCTTTAACATTGGAGTTGTAAAAATCATGGTACACTGTACATGGTCTTCAGCAGAGTTGGTCACATACTGGTTCCCAGGTACATTATGTCCCTGGTAATGGTGGTATGAACAGTCTAGACAGCATAGAAACCAGTTTTGAATAGACTCCCTGAAAATGTGGATAACATACAGCAGGATTATATTGCCTGCGCAGAAAGGTTTGAAGAGGGAGGACTTTACCCCTGAGTACACACCACACTTGGCCATGTGTATTCTACACATCTGTTCAGAGGTGACCAGTCTCTGTAACACTATGAAACTGGTTTTATAAAAATCCTGTAACAGGTTTCCGTTACATAAAGGTGTGCTACTTGAGTGAGGAATTGACCTAAAGCAAGTTACTACAGAGTAATTCACAGCGCATAGTTAACTCTATAAAAGACTTCATTTCCAAGCCACTAAGATTATAAATCCACTTTGTGTGCACCAAATACCTTTAAAAATCCAGATGTTACTTTGTAAAAGTAGCAGTGATGTCATATCTGTGCTGTACATATCCTGTGCAGAACTTTGGGCCAACAAGCCCACCCACTACAGACTGCCTGCAGAAAACTACAGAAGACAGCGGAGATAAAACCAGTCACCCTGCACAAGAAGAGAGAGCAGCAGTGACCGGTCTTTATTCCTGAACAGAGGTAAGGTCAGGTTCAGAATATTTGTTAATCCTAAAGAGGAAATTATTAAATTACAATTACACTCAAAATGAAGACATAATATAAATCACAATAACAAACAAAAGATAAAAGGTGGCCAATATAACAGAGTTTTTTTAATGCTAGATTACTGCAGAGGAAACCAAGATTCGTGTAGACATACACATGGATGCTGCATTTGATGATGCTTAGCCCAGGCTTCTACTTTGAGCTCTGTACAGTTCATATGTGGATTTGTGAAGCTACTGTATTTCTCTTTTAGGTTTAACAGCCCTAAAATTGTTTGTCTAATTGTGTCACCCTAGGAGTCAGATTCTAGATCATGAAAAACCAGCAGCTGAGGGAAAGCGTACTTCAGCTTTATAACCAGATGCGCTCAATAAAGCAAGTATTAAAGAAACTGCAAGCCCTCAACCTACCTGTGAGTATGACAGTTGTAGCATGATGCCATGTACAATGACTGGAAGAATAGATAATATACTTTGGAAAATTGTAGCATAACTGGTCATCAGCTTAAAGTAGCCCTACCTTTAAAAAGTAAAGCTGGCCATACACTAATTGAAATCCAGCCAGTTCAACAGGGACCGGACGAATTTTGATCCATGTATAGGCAACTGGTTGTACATGAGGAGATCTATCGATGGACTTTGGTACAACCTGTCGAGTTTTTCCCGAACAGATCATTGAATTCTGATGGTAAGGAAGACTTCCCGATGTCCGATTACAAAGACTCAGCAGGAAGGATTCCCCATCCACATCAAATGTGTAGATGGGGGAATCAGATCATTGTTTTTTTTTTTCATTCAACTTGCTGATTGAACGAAAAATAAAATGATCAATGTATAGGAAGCCTAAGTTTACTTGAGAAAAAAAAAAAATACCCGTGTTATGTTTTGATCTCAAGAGCCTGACCCAACCATGACATTTTGAAAATGTCAAACTAATAAGGCAACGCAGTGCTGACAATCGGTATGTTGCTCCTATAATATTGTCAATGAACCTTGTGGAGGCAAAGAAACACTGTAGAAGTTGCCGCAACTATAGTGAATCTCACTATATTTCAGGTCCCATGCTGAGTGATTGCCCTGCTAAACACACGGGTTGCTTGCTTGCATGGGCACTATTCTAAGAGTGCCTTGCATTTTCTAATGTGAGTGCAAAGCTTTCTCTGATTGGATGAGGTACAGTGGTGACATCTTGATCTCCACTCTGTCCAGTCAGAGAATGCCTTGTATTAATTGAGAAAAATACAAGGTGTTCTCTGAACGGCGCCTGTGCTGATCACGTGAGCCCCTGTGTTCGCTATGTAGCAGGGCAGGCTCTCGGCAGGAAATCCCGGACGATAGCAAGGATCACTGCATTAGCATGGATCAGCTAAATATGGCCTATGCGTACTTAACATTTGGTCCTTGCTGGACGATTGTGACAATGGAAATATATTCATACCTGGAATTCAGCTTTAATATGTATTTTAAGAAATAGTTTTATAAATCTACTTTAGAAAAATTTCAGTATTATATCATATGTGCTCTTTACACATCTCATGAATGGGCCCCTAAATCCCAGAGGGCCCTCATACAATTTTTTAGGCTGCACAAATGGTATGTTTTCCTCTCCCAACAGTATTTACAGGCTACTAAAAACCTGCCATCCTTGCACAGTGAGAGGTTTTAGTGTGTGCATCAGTGTCCATGAGTTGATCTTACAAGTCAGGCAGCTTCATAAGAGCTTGTATATAAAGTCACATGCAGCCTACTATCAGGTGCATTCACCTTGAAACGTATATCTATGTACATAAGCTCAAATTTGCAATAATCATCACTTATGAAGTAGTGCATAGTCATCGCCAATTCGATTCCAGGGATACTGTGCACATGTGCCACATGCCCAGTCACAGGACTGCTCCGGGGGGGGGGGGGGGGGGGGGCCTCAGATTAGCACCATGCTGGAGGACAGATACTGTACAGTCCACCTTAGTAGAGAGATTAAAGCCGGCCGTGCACGGGGTCGAATTCCGAAAGAATTTTCATTCGTAAATCTTTTCTACGAATTTCCCACCATTAGTGGGCTACAGAAACAGCCAATTTTCAAGCGACCATCGAATTTGAGTGATCGGGCATGTTGAAATTTTTTTTTAAAAACTAACGAATTTCTAATCAATGATGGGAGAATCGTGCAAGAAATGCAATTGAAAAAGAAATGAGCGTGAGCTCTGACTTGGAAAGAAAAGAAAATTCTTGGCCACGAAAATTCTTTTCTGTGGCAACAGGTGTGAAATGAAAGACTTGGTTGGTTTAATTTCAAAATCAATGGTGGCACCATCGGATTATAAAACGCAAAAAACTTCTGATTTTCTAAAGAAAATTCATTTGGAATTTGACCCATCTATGGCCTGCATAAGAACCTGATTGGAAATCATAGGGGGGATTTCCCAATCCAGTGTGGGAGAGACCAGAATAAAGTCACTGAGGAGGCGAGGCGGGAGAACAAGTATGACTGTTTGGAAAGGTACCACCTCTGTCCCTGGAGAAGGGTCAACCCACGGACATCCACTGCCTTGTATTGACAAAAGTTTGAATATTTGCTCTGCAAGATAAAATTTCTTCCGTTTTTTTTTACTTAGGATATTGCAATGATGATTCCATCTGAGTGGCTATTGAGAACAGATGAAATGATAAATCTGCCAAATGAAAGGTAAGAAACCTTCTCCTAAAATAACATGCTGTAGTATCTCCAGCATTGTCCTGTACCGTTCTTTTCATGAATTGCTGTAAAGAATTCAGCAAACGTGGGTGAGCAGCATGGGTGTATGAAGATGCTGCTCAGCATAAAGCCAAACATGTAAGATTGTGCATTTGCCTCTTCTAGGCTATGCACTGTTTTCATACAGAGATGCACTGTGGTAACAAAGACTTTGCCTGAGAAAATACCTTTTTGCTGCTTTAGGCCCCTTTCAGACAGTGGATCCGTTTGCTCAGCAGGGGATCTCTCTACTGATCCCTGCTGAGCAAGCTGATGACAGGTCTTTGTCCACTCCGCTGCTGCAGAGCGGACACGGACACAGCATGCTTTTTGCTATGGGGTGGTCGGATGGAAACGGACCGCCTGCCCATTTACACCCGACTGTCATCTGACTCATTCTGCCGGACAGATAGGGAACGAATCCCCAGTCTGTTTTTGGCGTATAGGATCAGATGCCTGCGGGTGTCAGCGGACACTTGGCTGCTGACACCTGCCGGTCCATAGAGGTCTATGGACTATCCGATCGAGTCCGCCTGAAAAATTGACAGGCAGAACCGATCGGACCGTCGGTGTTAAAGGGACCTTAGACATCATTATTGGTAATATAGACATCATTATTTAAATATTTTAAAGTTCTTCCCTGAACATACCTTTTTATACATATTGTTTTTTAGAAGCCGTCTGCTACTACACAAACTGGTTTACTCAAGAAGGCAGCACAGTGGCTAGCACTTCTGCCTCGCAGCACCAAGGTTCTTGGTTTGAATGCCAACCATGATGCTACCTACATGTAGTTTGCATGTTCTCCTTGTACCTGCGTGAGTTTTTTCCAGTTACTCCGGTTTCCTCCCACACTCTAAAGATAGTAGGATAATTGTCTCCTGTCTGAAATGGCCCTAGTATGCTTGTGAGGGAGGGGCCTTAGATTGTAAGCTCCTTGAAGGCATGGATTGCTGCGAATGTACAATATTTATGTAAAGCGCTGCGTAAATTGTTAGTGCTATATAAATACCTGTCATAAATAAGTTGCAAGACTCCCTGTGTTGATGCATGTGATAATCTAATCATCAAAGCCTAACTCTTTTCATTGTTTCTTTCCAGCTTTTCAGAACTGGCACGCCAGAGCTCTCCTGTGATTAAAGTTTCTGAAGATGGAAATGTGGAACAATCTCCAGAAAGCACTTTTCCACTCCCAGTATCCCGCTCTGATACATCGGAAGTTGGATATCTTAATGTTCCTTCTCCCAAGGTCCCCATTGCAGCCTCAGAGGACCGTGGAGCACCAGAGCCAACCATTGACAATGTATAAAACTACTTGTAATGTTCTACTAAGAAGAACTGACTGGTGATAGTAGGAATGACCACTACGTAGCTCTTTCTGGATTGACTTAGGTGCCTTCCCTTTTAAAAGTGTTCAGTTCATGCTGCTAATTGCACATTGAGGTTGGGAAGTCGCAAATGACTCCACCATGTAAACATAATATATGACTGCTAATGTGTTTGTATTTTTTGTTAGTTTATAAAAGATTTTAATAAGACTGCCTGAGATTTTCCTTCATGCTATAATTCATGCATGTTCCGTTTTTAGAATGGCTTTAATGATATCTTATCAGGTTAAAGCAGAACTCAACTGTATCTTTTGTAGTTTTTTTTTTTTTGTTGAGATCACTTTGAAAAACACTCTGCTAGCATTTCTAGCCATTATTATCTTGAGTGGGGCATATTATTCTTGTAGGAAGTAAATTCCTGGAATCCATCTGCCCTTAGCTCAGGCATGCAGGCCAGAGGGTGTGTTTAGCTGAAAAGAAAACCCTCCTCCCAGTTGAAAGAAAAAAAAAAAATGCCTCTGAACACTCCTCAAATGTATGACATCATTTTGGACCAGGCCAGAAACCAGGAAGAAACTGAAGAAAAGAAAATAATTTAAACCAGTAAATAAAATATCTCTTCCTATCTATGTACTAATGCTAACAGCATATAGATTAAAAATTAGTTATTGTTGATTTGAGAAATCCTAGAAATTGAGTTTAGTTCCGCTTTAAAAAAAGAGGCCAAACAAACCCTGCTCCCAAAGCACAAACATATTGTAGTGCAATTACCTTTTTATTAACCCCAAATGATGTGTTTTCCGGAGAAATCCCTCCGTTCCCAAGTGTTTGCATTTGATCAGACAGATCAGAACTCAATGCCCTTGTAAAGTAAACACCTCTGTTAGCTGATGAGGCTCTCACATTGGATTGTTGAATAGCAAAAGCCAAAGTAGACCAGAAATCAAGCATTTTCCAAACAAGACACATTTTAAAGACTGAAATATTGAAAAGGTGATGGATTTATTGTAAAGGTAAAGTTTTTAATTTGCATTTTCATCTGTAGTAGTTCTTAACCCCCCCCCCCCCCCCCATCCCGACGTTTTCATGATTATTTTCAGCCAACATTTTTTAAGGATGTACAGCACACAATCTTGTTCACAATCTAGAATTCTAGAACAATCGTTTCTATAGGCTGTACAGGTGGCATTGCTATAAATTAGTAGCTGTTATGCCACTTCTGCCTCCATGGCTCAGAGCGTGCGCTGAAGTAAAGCCCATCAGTGACATCCTTGCCTTTCCCCTTTCCTCACCCAAACTGATTAACTGTTGAATCAAAGTAGTTGAAATAGTTCATTTGGAAGAGCATCAGAATGAAGATTTAAAAGTTTCTGTTTTGTTAACAGGTTTCAGCACTGTGTTTTTAATTTGGCACCCCCAGTGGTGTTCAATGGTTAAAGTCCTCCACAAGTATCTTATACCTGTACACATGACCGTTTGTGAAATCATTTGGAAAACCTTTCTATAAGTAGCCAAAATAGCTCAGTTGGGAGCAGGGGCGGACTGACCATTTGGAAACTCGGGCACTGCCCGAGGGCCCGGGGTCAGTAGGGGGCCCCATGAGATGCCCCTGGTACCTTTTTCATAGGCTTTTTTGAGTTTGGGCAAGGACACGGGCCCAATGATCCCCTATTGCCCGGGGGCACCATGAGTTGTCAGTCTGCCCCTGGTTGGGACAGTGCTAGACTGACAATCTAAAGGTCCATGGTTTGATCCTGGGCTTTTGCAAGTTTTATTTTTTCAAATTCATGTAAGGCACTATTATTATTATTATACAGGATTTATATAGCAATAAAATATTGCACATCACTTTACAATGTAAAAATAGACAGTACAGTTACAATACAATATAAGAGGGGTAGGGGGGCCATACTCTAATAGGGTGGGGTTAGTGAAACAAAAGGTAATAATTGTGAGGGATGAGTAGATGGAAAAACTTTTGTTGTTGGGTGGAGGCAGGATAGGCTTCCCTGAAGACATGAGTTTTCAGGGATCACCTAAATGTGGGCAGAGTAGAAATAGCCTAAGCACAGACAGAGGTAGAGAATTCCAGAGGATGGGAGAGGCTCTGAAGAAGTCCGGAGATAAGCATTGGAGGAAGTAACGAGAGAGGTAGAGAGCAGGAGGTCTTGGGAGGGGTGGAAAAGACGGTTTGGGTGATATATTGAGAAAAGATTAATGATGTAGCTTGGGTTTGTATGTTGTTGTTTGCATTTTGAATTTTATTTGTTGGACAATCAAAAGGGAGGTATTGGCACTAGCCAGTCTTGAATCCATGACAGTCTGTACAGGAGGAAACACCCTCTCTACTGTCCTGCAAATAGCATTCCCACAGTAGTATTATATATAGGTTGGTGGTTTATATGAGAGGGCCAAGCATGAGCCTTGTACACAGTAGCAGCCATGTCATGGCAGCATATGGGTGAGATTTGGGGCATTATCCGGAGGCCCAGTGAGGATTTATGGCTGAAGTCAAAGAAGTATTGGGATAAACACTTTTACATATAGCTTATATGTATGGTGCTGTTTACCCCCCCCCCCCCCCTTTCCCCTAAAAAAACAAAAAAACTTCAGTCTTAAGGGTTGTGATCGACTAGCAGCACATTTATGCTGTGTTGCTATATCTCTGCACCTTCTCACGCTCTCTACTTGCATATCCTACACCACTGTGCCATTTGTAATGCCTATACATTATACTCTTTTCTCTGTACTTTATATGTCAGTACTAATGAGGTCTGTATGACACCCGAGGCTGATCACTGAGGAAACCAGAACACGTCTGTGCCTCTTTACATAGCAAATAGGAATAACTTGTGGTCTCTGGAAGTTGGTAAGCACCTAAATGTTAGGGATCTTAGATTGTGCTCCCCTTGAGGGTTAGGGACTGATGTGAATGTACAATATATATGTAAAGCACTGCGTAAAATGACGGCGCTATATAAGTACTTAAAATAAAATTGTATCTCACAGAACACAGAGCTTCCTAATCCTGCTGTTGGGTTATAAACTGCCACCTTCAGGTGAATGGAGAGGAAGATCCGAATAGGTCCATCGCCTAATAGCACTGACAAAAAAAAATGAGGAGCCTGCTAGCCTGGGAGGGGTTATATACCTGGGATTTTTCACCTGGAATGTCAGTTATATTTAACCCAATGATAATGTGTTCTGGGAGATACAGTACTTTACAATAATGATTTTACAGAGAAGTCAAAATTCCTGTTTTTAGCCATTTTGTCTATCTGTAAAAGCCTCCATTCCTTACAGCAGGGGTCTCCAAAACTACAGCCCTCCAGCTGTTGAAGTACTACAAGTCCCATCATGCCTCTGGGAGTTTTGCCAGTGGCTGTTAGTCTTGCAAGGCCTCATGGGACTTGCAGTTCCTCAACACCTGGAGGGCCATAGTTTGGAGACCCCTGCCTTACAGGATGAATATTTAAAGAATTGGCAGTGGTGGGACTCGAACCCATACCTCCAGAGAGACTGGAGCCTTTATCCAGTGCCTTTGGCTCCATACACACTGCCTTATAAAATGCTGCTTCTCTAGGAGTTTTGTGTTTTGCCTGTAGAAGCAGCTCAATGTTATCCTGTGTGTCCATGAACATTTTGAGGCATATTTTAAGCTCAGTGTTTAGAGGCAGCAAAAAAACCCTTCTGGTTTGCATTTTTGATTGGAGTTTTCTGGCAGAAAGAACTCTAAACACTCCTAGACGCACCTAAATGTGTACAAAAGTGCTCTGTATGAGTGTTTGTTTTTTTTGTGCCAAGGGAACTGGTGTTTTGTTTAAGCCCAGTGTGCATGGAGCCTTAGACTGCTTGGCCACTCTACCTTATGAAAAAAGTTAAACATCCAAGAAAGGAACAACTTTAACTAAATTGAGTGTAAATTCCTATTATTCTACAGCGCAACAGTACAGTTACAATACAATTCAATATAGAAGCATACAATCTAATAAGAAGGGGTAAGTGGTACAAAAGATAGTAAATGTGAGGGATGATGGGAGAATTAAATGTTCAGTTGTTAGGTGGTGGGATAGGCTCCCCTGAAAAGATTAGTTTTTTGGGATTGTCTGAAAGTGGGCAGAGTAAGAGATAACCGGACAGATTTAGGTAGAGAGTTCCAGAGGATGGGAGAGGCTCTGGAGATGAGAATGGGAGGAGACAAGGAAGCATGAGAGCAAGAGGTCTTAGGGGGAGCGGAATGGATGATGCGGGTGATATATTGAGACAGGATTGATGATGTAACTTGGGGCAGAGTTGTAAATGAATTTCCATGTTTTTGTTAGGATTTAGAATTTTTTCATTGGTCAATCGGAAGCCAGTGGAGGGATTAGCAGAGAGGGGTGGAGGACACTGAGTGGCTGGATGAATGGATGAGTCTGGCAGCAACATTCATGATCTATCTTAGTGTTAAGTGGTGTTCGCTTTACCGGTTGTCACGTGCACCGTATGATCATTTGCATGTATCAATATACTTAGTTAGCGCTGCATGGCTGTTCGATATATTGTATTGTTACTGTCTTGTCTCATGTTCTGTCCCCCTTGCTATTGTACAGCACTGAGCATACCCTTTGGCGCTATATAAATACTGTATAATAATAATAATATAAGGGTCTGCCTGACTGCATACAATTTTTTTTTTCCCCAGGAAGTGACATTTACAGCTTGTCTGCATTCCTCTCCGCCAGTGACAGAAATGGCGGTGCCGGCTTCCAACCCTAACAACCCCATCGTCTTCTTCGATATCACTATTGGGTTTAGGTTTGACCTCATATTAGATGGTTTTGGTAAAACTAAGGAAAATAGTACAAGAAAATTGTACAATGTATGGCTATCCTTAGGAGTGTCCTTCGCCACTGACCAACAATATAAGGGGGCCCTTCTCCCACTGACCACCAATGTATGAAGGCCTTCACTACCGGCCAACAATATAAGTGGGCCCTCCTCCCACTGACCACTAATGGAAGAAGGCCCTTCACCACTGGCTGTCAATGTAAGGGGGCCCTTCACCACTGACCACCAATTTAAGGGGGCCCTTCACCACCGACCACCAATGTAAGGGGGCTCTTCATCACTGACCACCAATTTAAGGGGGCCCTTCTCCCACTGACCACCAATGTATGGAGGCCTTTCACTAACGGCCAACAATATAAGGGGGCCCTTCTCCCACTGACCACCAATGTATGGGGGCCTTTCACTACCGGCCAACAATATAAGTGGGCCCTCCTCCCACTGACCACTAATGTAAGAAGGCACTTCACCACTGGCTGTCAATGTAAGGGGGCCCTTCACCACTGACCACCAATTTAAGGGGGCCCTTCACCACCGACCACCAATGTAAGGGGGCCCTTCATCACTGACCACCAATTTAAGGGGGCCCTTCTCCCACTGACCACCAATGTATGGAGGCCTTTCACTAACGGCCAACAATATAAGGGGGCCCTTCTCCCACTGACTTTCACGGCCAACAATATAAGTGGGCCCTTCCCACTGACCCTAATGTAAGAGGCACTTCACCACTGGCTGTAATGTAAGGGGCCCTTCACCACTTCACCCAGGAGGCCCACCGCCGACCACCAATTAAGGGGGCCCTTCACCACCAACCACCAATGTAAGTGCACCCTTCACGGCTGAGAGCCAATGTAAGCATGCCCTTTACCACTGACCACCAATGTATGGGGGTCCTTCACTACTGGCCAACAATATAAGTGGGCTCTTCTCCCATTGACCACTAATGTAAGAAGGCACTTCAGCACTGACTACCAATGTAAGAGGGCCCTTCATCACTGACCACCAATGTTAGGGGTCCATTCATCAATGACCACAGATGTAAGCAGGCCCTTCACCAGTGACAACCAATGTTGAGGGTCCCTCACAACCGATGTAAGGGGACCCTTTACCACTGACCACTAATGTAAGGGGGTCCGATACAATCAATGTGAGAAGGCTCTTCACCTCTAACCACCAATGTAAGGCAGCCCTTCACCATTAGTCAACAATATAAAGGATCCTTTCTCCCACTGACCACTAATGTTAGTGGGTCTTGCTCTTACTGACCACAAAAGCAAGGAATCCCTTCTCCAGTGACCACCAATATAAGAGGGTCCTTCACCACGGGCCCTTTCTCCAATTAACCATTAATTTAGGTGGGCCCTTCTCTTACTAAGGGGACCCTACATCACAGATGCAAGGTGCACTCTTCCACCCACCACCAATGTAGAAAAATAGATATTGATGACCATTGTCTATAAATAATCGTTCCCTTGCTGCCATTGTCATCCTCAGACTTCAACACCTTCCAAATCGGAAGTCTGGAATAACTATGCAAATAAAACGATGACGTCACTATGAGATCAATCAATCATATACATATTTATTGTGTACATCAAGAGTGCAGAGAGTCCCGCCCCAGGACTGGAGCTATGACTCTATCCGGCCACTTGGGGCCGTCCGGAGCTACACCTACTGCCAAGCTCAAAAATGCACATGCGCCTTGGGGGGGGCTCCCCCCCCCGGAAGTGACGTTTACAGCTTGTCTGCGTTCCTCTCTGCCAGCGACAGAAATGGCGGTGCCGGCTTCCAACCCTAACAACCCCATCGTCTTCTTCGATGTCAGTATCGGGGGGCAGGTAATGTGCAGCATACCGGGCTGGAGCTCCTTCTCCCCCGGTGTCCGGTACTTTCCTGCTGTCATGTGTTGTACAGACCAGCAGAGCCCACTTCTCCGTGCTGGAGCCCTGCAGTCACGTGTGCAGCCCATTCAGTCCTGGTAGTATGGTCCATACAGGGCAGCTGGTGGCTGGGGACACCCGGGCTAGATACACAGATCGGGACAGTTTATTTGCTTTGATGTGAATAGTAGCAGCTGAGAGATCAAGATATTAACTCTTTCCCTTCCAGAGCTGGTTTTGAATTTTTTTGCACACGTGTAAAAATAATACTTTTAGGCCTAAACATTATGTAAATCCCCAAAATGTGATCTGTTGTCTGAAAGAAGACACCCTAGAGAATAAAAAAGTGGTCCCAATTTTTTTATGTCACACAATATTAGTGCAACAGTTTATGAAATGCAAAGATGTTAGTGAAAAACACACTAAAGTTAATTTTAGGGCCCAAAAATGCAATAAATTACTTCATTTTTGGTAAAATATAGAAGATGAGGTTGCAAGGAGTAAATAGATACCCAACATGTCAAGGCTCAAGGTGTTTTACCTTCATGCCCCTTAATACCCACCTAAGCCCCCTCGATCCAGCGATGTGCACTGGAGTCTCAGCTATCCCGGGATTCCCTCTCCTCATTGGCTGAGATAAGCGGGAGCCATTGGGCTCCCACTGCTGTCAATCACAGCCAGTGAGATGAGAGAGGGGGTGGGGATGAGCCACAGCTCTGTGTGAATGGACACGCAGTGCAGCAGGTGCCCCCATAGCAATCTGCTTGCTATGGGGGCAACCGACAGGAGGGTGGGGCCAAGAGCACCAGCAGGGGGGACCTGAGAAGAGGAGGATCTGGGCTGCTCTGTGCAGAACCACCACGTACAGTAGGTAAGTATAGACATGTTTGGGTTTTTTTCTTAAATTAAAATAAAAAAGCCTTTAGAATCACTTCAAAATTGTGTACACCTGTAAAACACGTCACATGTCTGATGAAGGGGTCCTGCGAGTCTCTGAAACGTTGCCCTGCTGTAACTATGTGATCGTTCATTAAAACCTTTGGACCCATATTGGTGATCCTCGGTGTGTTGGTGACATTCTCCCTTGCTGATTCTGTTCGGTTCCAGCCGACGGTCGCCGCAGCACCCACTTACCCCTGGTTCACATATATGCGGCCATGCAAGCACAAGAGCCCATTCATTTGAATGGATTCCCGTGACACACAGAGAAGAAGTCCTTGTACTTCTTCTGAAAACGCAGCCCACACAGGAACCTCAGTTCCCAGTACGGTTGTATTTTCCCGTGCGGGCGGTGTGCCATTAGAACTATTGGCACCCGCCCGCGGGTCCGCATTCCTCTGTGCGGGTGGTGCGGCTGCACGGATTTTTGTGCAGATCCACAGCTGCACCACCTGCACAGATGTGAACCTAGGGTTATACACACAGCCATTTGTAACGCAGGAACGTGTGCGTTTGGTTTGTACACTTGCATCTGTAAAACAGTGACAAATTTCAACACCGTATATTTTCCATAGATGACACTTTACAACCCCCTACAGGTCATCAGTACAGAGTTAAAGGATAAGTTCACCTTTTGGACAAAAATAATAAATGCATATTTTTTTTTGCAGGTAAAAAAATGTACATTTATTATTTTTGTCTACAGGAGCCTGGAAAGCATTGTATCGGCAATCAGTAGATCACTGGTGTCATGCAGGTCTCCTGGAGACCTGTCAGAATATCTGCTTGCCATACGTGATGTACGAACAAGTAGATATTCTGGCAGGAAGTTTCAATGAACTATCACAGTGCTCCACAGCTCCATGGTAGTTCATTGAAAACTACAAGCCGACAGCCACTAAGGCTGCTGGGACCTGCAGTTCATTCACTCATGGACGTCCTTGAACGAATTACGTGGCTGTGTGGGTGGAGCCCCACACAGCCACACTTTTTTCAAATTTGACACATAGTATGAGGAGACTTCTCCCCATACTATCTGTCAGAGGAAGGGGGTTGCGGCTGCGGCTATGGGAACATGTTACATGTTCCACCCTAAAAACGTGTGTAACATGTAACATGTTCCCATAGGTGAACTTATCCTTTAAGCCTTAATAATGGGCCTAGAATTATTGCTCTTGCTCCGGCATGTGTGGTGATATGTAACGTGTAGCGCAATTGATATTCTCATGCATTGGTGCCCCAACTCGTGCCTTTACATTTGTGTGGAGGTGGGGCTCAAAAACGTGGGGGGGGGGCATTTTAGGGAGGATCTCCATCCTCCCAGCCATGTTTTTTAACCCTTGCTTGCCGGCTTGCGGATTTTGCACAGTGTAGATACTCACCCACCCATTGGATCTAGCGTTGTCCTGCTGAAATCCTCTTGTGTCACCAGTCAAGACCTGCACTGCCATTTTGTGTGACGTCATCGGGAGGCTGCCGACTCTTCTGGGAGCGTGTGTAAAACCCCCCAAAGCCAAAGCTGTAGTTTCTAAAACGGTTAAAGCCTAATTCAACTTGTATACATTCCATGGACACTCTGGATGCCACCCTACTTTTGCTTACTAATACTTCTACAACCAATGGAGCAGTGGCTCGGCCGCCATCGTTCTAGCCACCTCATTGGTTACTAGTAGAAATCGGCTCAGGCGTGTTCAGATCCTAGGCCAAACCCACTTTAATGAGAGTGCCAGGAAGCTGTCACTGGATATCACCAATCATAATTGAAGCCACATTATACAGATGAAACTCGAAAAATTAGAATATTGTGCAAAAGTTCATTTATTTCAGTAATGCAACTTAATAGGTGAAACTAATATATGAGAGACTCATTACATGCAAAGCAAGATAGTTCAAGCCGTGATTTGTCATAATTGTGATGATTATGGCTTACAGCTCATGAAAACCCCAAATCCACAATCTCAGAAAATTAGAATATTGTGAAAAGGTGCAATATTCTCGGCTCAAAGTGTCCCACTCTAATCAGCTAATTAAGCCATAACACCTGCAAAGGGTTCCTGAGCCATTAAATGGTCTCTCAGTCTGGTTCAGTAGGAATCACAATCATGGGAAAGACTGCTGACCTGACAGTTGTGCAGAAAACCATCATTGACACCCTCCATAAGGAGGGAAAGCCTCAAAAGGTAATTGCAAAAGAAGTTGGATGTTCCCAAAGTGCTGTATCAAAGCACATTAATAGAAAGTTATGTGGAAGGGAAAAGTGTGGAAGAAAAAGGTGCACAAGCAGCAGGGATGACCTCAGCCTGGAGAGGATTGTCAGGAAAAGGCCATTCAAAAGTGTTGGGGACTTTCACAAGGAGTGGAGGCTGGAGTCAGTGCATCAAGAGCAACCACACACAGACGGATCCTGGACATGGGCTTCAAATGTCGTATTCCTCTTGTCAAGCCGCTCCTGAACAACAAACAACATCAGAAGCGTCTTACCTGGGCTAAAGAAAAACGCTCATGCAAAAAAACACAAAACACACTGCAAAACGGACAAAACACAAACTGCATTAGTGTGAACCAGGCCTGAAATGCATTGAAAACGCAGCAAAAATGTATAAGAAATGCACGTGTTACGCTTTTGATGCGTTTTGTGTATTTAATCTGCCCAGCAAGTTGGCCAAAAAAAAATAAATTTAAAAATGCAAAACATAAAAAATGCGTCAAAAACACGCATGCAAAAATGCAAAACAGATAAACCGCAAAGTGCATTGGTGTGAATCAGGCCTGAAATGCACTGAAAACCCATCAGAAACGCGTTTTGATGCGTTCTCTTGTGTCATATGACCTATAAAAACTGTACCCTAAGACTGGGTTCACACTAATGCAGTGAGATTCCTGTGTGAATTACATGCGATTTCCTATGCGGTGCGGTTTGAATCATATTTTTTGTATGGTTCAAATCGCATCGCATCTGCACCACAAAGGTGCAGGACCCTTTTACTATTGAACTGACTTAGCGCATAATTTGCTTAATTATAGGGTGATCTGCAGCAATTCTTCAGCCTGACTCAGGTTGAATTACAGATTGGGTGAATTGATTCACTTATCAGTAACATTATACCAGGGGAACCAATAGCCTCACACAGACTCATGTGGCATAGATAGAGGGGGCGTGTCTAGCCAGTTATGTTACTGAGAGCTGATTACTGAGTGCACTGCAACCTATCCTGGTTCCTATTGAACTGTGGAGTCAAATTTAGACCCTCCTGGACATCTTGTAATGCTCTATTAATGTTTTTTACTTTCAGGAAGTTGGACGAATGAAAGTGGAGCTTTTTGCAGATGTCATTCCCAAAACAGCTGAAAACTTCAGGTAAAACACCAGAATTGACTCTTGCCCCAGTTCTGACTTTTTGTTTAGTCTAAAAGCTGTTGAGGGCTGGAAACGTCAAAGAGAACTCAAACCAATACATAGTATCCAGAGTGAAAAACATTTCACCTGCTGGTTATATTTTCAGAAGAAGGAATTTCTATCTAAAGTTGAAAAATATTTCAATGTCATCCCATGTGAAACTGTAAGGGCTCATGTACACTGCAGACCTAAACTGACGTTCAGGAGCTGTTCAGCGTTTTTTCCAGCAGCCCCTGAACTCTCCCTGATGTTTTCCTCTGTGTCCATGTACACATAGTTGTTTAAAGTCATTTACAGGCAGTTAAGTTTACAGTCGTTTTTTTTAATGCACCAAACGTTCTGGAGTAGATTTTACTGGCGTTTCGAATGCCAAACACGTGTAAACTCGGTTAACCGCGTTTATAAGCGTTTGCATTCAGAAGCGTTTTTTTAACTGTTCCATGTCCAGATGCTGTCCAGAGCCTTTTTTCATCAGAAATGCATTCCAAGCATTTTCCATGTATTCAAATGGACCCGGTACACCAGCAGTGCAGTCAGTTCCAGGTTTTGCATGAAAGAAAAAATGGTAGAACGTGCCGCATTATGCTCATGATGGGATCCATAGTGAATACAACCAGAAAAGACAGGTCATCTCAACACATAATCCTCTCTCTACTTCTGCTCTCTCTATTCCTCTCCAAATGTCTGAAACAGTTAATTATTTACTGTTTTTCAGTGCATTATGGGCATTTGGGAAAGTCTCCTGAGGTTATCTTTTAAAAACGCTTCTAAACATATAAACGCGGTATGCAAACGCGGCTAAACTGACTTTTTTAAGCTACGTTTTCCAGCAGTTAGTTTCCATCGTTCAGAAGAGTTTTCCAAACGTCCCGTGTACATGACCCCTTAAGCAGAACTATACTTCTGCTACAGTGATGCAATGTCCTTAAGCTGCCTTACTGGTGCTGACATCTTGTACCAAGGTTTTTCTGGGTCTGACATCTTCAGCCTTCTTGACTGGCCAACCAGGGGCGACGGCGTTACTCCTGCACATGTGCATGGGAGTCAGGGCCAGGACAAGGGGTGGGCGGAAGGGGAAGCTGCCCTGGGCTCAATAGTTTGCTATAGAGAAGGGGGGCGTCTTCCTTCTGTTACAAGGGACAGGAGTAGTGACAATGGCAGTGATTTTGACAAGCGAGTGACTGTTAGGCATAGGATTACCAAAGCTTGCACATCATGAACTGGATGGGGGTGCAGTTTGGCATCTTTGCCCTGGGTGCTGGATGACCTTGTCCTGGCACTGATGGGAATTCATTCTTCCTGCCATACAGCAGATGGCAGAGTTGTACACTAAGCTGTGAATGCACAAAATAGGAAGGTAGGAAATCTTTATTGCAGAACAAGCTTTCAATTCTATCGCACAGCAAGGATAAACAGGAGCAATGAGACAGTTTGTGTGACAGGTTTACCCAAAGGTTACATCTTGAGTTATGAATTGCTTCCCCCAGCTGCTCTAAAGTAGCACTTCCAGAATTAGTTATACGTCTATTTAGAGTAGTGCTGGTAACTTTCTTGATATAAGGGCCTCAAGTACAGCCCCCAACATCACCAAAGCGATGCTCCTAAAATTCAGTGAATATTCATTATCAGAGATAGCAGATGCAACAGGCTATAGTCAGACTGTAGGCATGATATCAGAGATGGTCAGACTGTGGACAGGACACAGATGAGAGATTGCAGACATGATACAAGAGATGGTCAGAGACAATTGACATGCTGTAGTAGACTGTCTGAGACTACGAACATGCTATGGGAGCTTTTGGAGACCGGGTCATGCTTCAATCATAGACTGGAAGTATATTTAATGAGGCTACTAGAAATAACTATTATAATAGGGAAACACAGATTAGTGTTTGCTGGGACCCTAAAGGCTGCACATACAGTGCCTTGAAAAAGTATTCATACTTTCAAAAATAGTTAAAAAAAAAAAACAAAGTTTTGTGTTTACAAAAAAGTCCCTGACCCATTCCAAAAACACAGCAGCTCAAAAAAGCACAGATGTGAATATGTTCCATAGGAAAGCATGCTGAATGGACTGTAGTGCGTTTCTGCAAAAAGCCCTAAAAACATGCATTGGTGTGAACCAGGCCTCAAAGGAGAAGTGTTTTTCTTTTTTTTTTAACTCTCCAAATATGCACCAGAAATACGGCAACCAGGATTTTTTAACACTGCAGGGAAATGCAACATACCAGTGTGAATACATACACTGAATTTAAAGGGATGCCTTTTTCTTGAGCCTTATTGTTTATTTTGAACGCAGAAGCGCTTCAAAAACTACTGTGTGAAAGCAGCCAATTCCCAGAAAAGTGCTGAAAATAAATTCTTATTCATTTAAATTCATAATATTAATTAAAAAGTTGAATACAATACAAATTATATATATATATATATATAAAAATTGTTTAAAAAAAAACTGTTTATTTCGGTTACGGTTTACAGCCAAAATGCATCCTAAATTTTCTGTTTTCGGTCCAAGAATTTTCATTTCAGTGCACCACTACTAGCAACTAATTAAGCTACAGTGCTTTGAAAACGTATTCATACCCCTTGAAAACGTAAATGTATTTTATTGGTATTTTATGTGATAGACTAACACAAAGTGACACATAATTGTGAAGTGGAAGAAAAATGATAAATGGTTTTCAAAATTCTTTACAAATGAATGTCTGAAAAGTGCAGCATGCATTTGTATTCAGCCCAACAGAGTCAATACGTTGTAGAACCACCTTTTGCTGAAAATTACAGCTGCAAGTCTATTTGGGGATGTCTCTGTGGTTGTAACATGACAAAAGGAAAATTTTCAAGGGGTATGAATACTTTTTCAAGGCACTGTAAAACGCCAAAGGTCCGCAGGTTGGGCACAAGGTTTAGAGTGAAAATCTGTCTAACTACAGTGATACATCTGTCTCAAGCTTTTGCAAAGTGTTGAACTTGGCTGCCCAGGAATACAGGTGCACTGGTTGCAAATATATTGAGGACATTTATCAAGCAAATTATCATCACCACACTTAGACAAACATCAGCCTGCCTCTATTTTAGCAGAATGTATGGCACAGTTTTCCAATATATTTGTGACCCCTGTGGCTGTAATCCTGAGCAGCCAACTGCGAAAGAATTATTACTGATTTCCACTCCAAAGACATTCACAATTAAGACGTGGTTGGGTGTTATTTTGTCACATTGCTGCACTAAAGCAATTAAGGAAGAAATTAATAACTCAATCTGTAACCTTGTAGTAATCTCAATCTGTCGCATATTCTGTATCATTGCTCCTGTTTAGCTGTGCCTTGCAGTGCGTCAGAGTTGATAAATGACGGTAAACTTGTGGCAGAGATGTTGAGTGAGAGGTGGCTTTATGTGCAACTTATTATGTCTCTAGTTTGCTTGATAAATATACCCCTAGGTATGTCTCCTCTAAAAAAAAAAAAAAAAAAAAAAAAAGAAAAATATCCCAAGTTTTGAACATCTCACAGAGCACAGTTCAATCCATCATCCATAAATGGAAAGAGTATGGTACAACTGCAAACCTACCAAGACATGGCTGTCCACCTAAACAATTAAAGAAAAAGAAATCAGCCCCTAGCTTTGTTTGCTGAATAAGAATGCTGGACAAACTGAGATTCATTTTGACTTCATTGTAACATTTATTTATTTTTTTTTGCTATCAGAATGTAACGTGTATCTTTTCCTACCTTTCAGGCAGTTTTGCACTGGAGAGTTCAGGTATGTGTCATTTATCATCATTTTAGTACACGCTGTAGTGATCACAGCACAGCAATTTTTATTTAAGTGGTCTCGTTTGGCAGGCAGTACAGAATCAACCTAAATGGCATGGAATTCCCATTCAGAATCACTGTTTGGCTGTGAAACAAAAAAAGGAGTGTTGCCTCATGAGTTCCAGGCAGCTGCTGCTCTACCGCACTCTGAAAGGCAATGCTGCTCCTGTAAACAAGCCCTACATGTCATCATGAATAAATGCTTGATTTGCTGGACCAAAGAGTTACTAAACCCAGGACCCTGCATTCACTATATCTGGTCTCCCACAGTACACAGAACATGGAAATGCAATTATTTTAGTAAATATAAACTGCCAAACACCAGCAGTTAGAGCAGTCTTGTGACTTCTATCAGTGTCCAGCTAAGCACATGTTAAAGCTTGTTGCAGTTTTCATTCTGCTCTAGGAAGATGCAGAACCCCTGACCTCTGTCTGGACAGTGCTGATTGGCCCTGTGCTGATCACATGCATCCTCCCAAGACAAAAAAAACCCTCTAGGAATACACACCAAACTGAGCATGTGAAGATTAACTCCACATGATATGTCTTATCAGGAGATAAGAGGGGAACACTGGAAGAAGGAGAGGATCAGAGATGTTAGGTTAAACTGTTTTTACTCAAATAGGGGATTAACCCCTTAGGTTTCACAGTGAGTATAACAAGCATGCTTTACTGCGTATACCGACTGATTTTACTGTTGTGGGTTTAGTAACACTTTAAGAAGCAGTTGTTCAGCTGCAGTTCAGTGATTTTACCCTGTGAACTTCTGCATACTGGCTTTGACTCAGAAGTCCATAGGAATGAATTAGATTGCAGAATGCATGTGCAGGGTCGACCAAGGAGATGTTTGACAAGCAGCTGGACAATTTAGGTAGAAATATCTAGCTAGGATCTAGGATGCATCTGAGTAGATTTAGAAAGGGGTGCACTACACTTTAACCACTTGAGTACTAGCCTGTAATACCACTTCAGTACCGGAACCTTTTCAGTGCCATGATAGTTTGACTGGTAATTACTCAGTCACTGAAGCATCACTGTACCCAAATGAATTTTGTTTTATACAAAGGTTTAAAAAAAATTGTACAATCAAATTACACCCCCCCCCCCCTCACACACACACACACCTTCCCTAAACAAATGATCCTTTCTTTGTTCATTAAATCCTCTATTGTGAGAAAGGGAGGCCTATCAAGTGTAAATGGAAGTGTTTACATTTGTGATTGGCAATCACAGAGCGTCTGATTAGCCCTGGGCATTATGTCTGTGTTTTACTTTGTCTAATGATACAAGTCATAAACCATGGTCGTCCAACATTTTTACTTTCCTGGGCCACATTGGAAAAGGAATGGTCTTGGGCCACACATAAAATACACTAACAATCAGGATAGCTGATGAGCAGAAAAAGTCAGGCAGTTCACAATTGACCGATCACTGATATAGATAATGTACCTATCCGAGTAATAAAAACTTTTTTTTTGTAGTGTTTTTTTTGTTATTATAAAGGTAAAAGAGGACAACTTAAAACTAGTGTGATATTTGGCACTGTTTTTGAAAACGAACGCATCAATATCTGGTTCGAAGGATGTAGTAGCAATCCTCAATAAATTCTCAAGGTGCTAATCCGCTATTTTGGTTCTAATTTTGCCCTTTGCTTCATCCTTAAAAAGAGTTGCTCACAAATAAAGGTGCTGCTGAAAACTGATGACATGAATAAGGTGTGATTGTGAAGAGTGGGAGATTTGTCTTTAGGAGGATAACTTGTGAAAGTCCAGTAATGAGACACTGTCAAATTGTTCTTCAGCCATGTTCACTAAGTGTAAATGCAATTTTTTTTTAATTACCCTAAAAAATCCAACATTTTTAAGTAAATCTACAATTTTGTGTTGGGCCATATTCATAACCATCTTGGGCTACATGTGGCCCTTGGGCCAAGGCATAGACAAGCTTTTATTAACTGTCACTTCATACTCCAGAAATCCACGTCCACCTACCTGCCATTCCTAAGCTTATGTCTAGAGATGAGTGAATTATTCAAAAATTCAATTCGGCTGATTCGCCGAATTTGCAGAATAAATTCGATTCGATGCAAATTTATTCGCTGCGAATTTAACTTATTAAAAGGGTTTCTAGGCTTCAGAGAGCCTTTATATTAGTGCAGAACACTGTACCTTTAATTTAAATGCCCTTGGAGTCTGCTGGGGAAGAGAAATAATACTGTCAGTCAGTATGACATGCAGATGAGTGCCGTCGATCTTAGAATCACCGCACACTTCACTCATTTGGGCAGTCACGGGGCACGACGAAGAAGATGATGAAGAAGGAGAAGAAGAAGAAGAAGTATTCCAGTACAGCAAAAAGTGTATCTGCAGAGAGCTCCGCTATTTCTGACAGTTCTCTGACAGTTCCTTCATATTTACAGCGGTTGAAACATTGTATCTATTTGTTTCCGAATAAAAACATCTGTATCCTAAATGGAAACAAATAGATACAATGTTTCAACCGCTGTAAATGTGAAGGAACTGTCAGAGAACTGTCAGAAATAGCGGAGCTCTCTGCAGGGACACTTTTTGCCGGCTGTAGAAGGGATGAAAATCAGCCGATCGGGAAAAATTCGATTCGTGCATCCGAAGTTTGCTAATTTTCGGATTCGGTGCGAATCAAATTTTTCCTAATATTCGAAACGAATTCCACTTCGCCAAGTTCGATTCGCTCATCTCTACTTATGTCTATAGTAAGGTGGGTTTAGTGATAGTCTCCAGGGGTACTTGGGTAAACATAACTAGTTCAAAATCCACGCTTTCATTATCATTGGGATCTTTTAGGTGCCACAATGTACATCAGACATTAATGTTTTCATTTAAAGCCAGTCCTGCCAGTTACTGATCGTTAGGGGTGCCAATAGCTGTTTTTGACAGCTCGGTCTCTGCTCTGGGAAAAGGCGCTCTCAGCGCAGAAACTTCGACTGCCCTGGTCACAATATGTGTGGTGTGTGTGGATGATATGTGTTACGTAGGCCACATATGTGTTACGTGGGTGCCAACAGGTTAATGTTTGATGTATTTTTGGCACCTAAAAAGCACTACTGAAAATGAATATGTGGATCTTGATATGTTAGGGATGTGGTGCCCATGATTACTCACCAGTTGGTTTGATATAGTCTATACACACACTTGGTTATGAAGGGATTTGTTATCTAGCACCTCCTGTTTTATAAAGAGCATTGTGTGCTCTGTAAGGCTAGGTTCACATCTGTGCGGGTGGTGCCGCTGCGGATCCGCATAAACATCTGTGCAGCCACACCACCCACACAGGGGAATGCGGAACCGCGGGCGGGTGCCATTAATTCTAATGGCACGCCGCCCCCACTGTAAATTGCAACCGTACTGGGTACCTGTGCGGACTGCGTTTTCAGAAGAAGTGCAGAAACCTCTTCCCTGCGTGTCCCGGGGCATGGGAGTCCACTCAAATGAATGGGCTCTTGTTCCCAAAATGTGGCCCGCAGGAACGCAGATATGTGAACCAGGGGTAAAGAAATATTGACTAATATTTATTTTCTGTATGTCTATAGAAAAGATGGCGTTCCTATAGGATACAAAGGCAGCACCTTCCACAGGTTGGTATGAATGTTTTTTTTGTTTTTTTAACAGAAGGATTGTTTATTATTTTAATAAACCATTATACGTGTAAATCGAAATAACATTACTACAAAATGAGAGAAACGTGAGTTTCACAACAGAATCATCAACTAACAATTGCTTACTTCAACCAGTCAACAGCAGGTCACAAAGAACCAACAAACAGCACATTACATGATAAAACAATACAGCCTGGGTAGGAGAGGAGGAAGAAGGAAATGTGGGCAGTAAGAGGGAATATAGAATTAGAGAGACGGAGAAACAACAGGCAGAAATAGGGTAGACCAGAAGGAAAGAGTATAGCTAGGGAGGGACATACATACAGAAGACTCACTTAGAGAGGTACCAGGGATGGGAGGCGACTAAGTAACCAAGGGGAAGATAGCGCTCAAATAAAGTGTCACAGCACGAGCTGTCTCGCTTCCACCCAGGATAACCAAATCTTGCTAAACTTTTTAGGGCAATTATGTCCAATGTAGGACTGCTTGTACTGTACATAGGCAAAATGGCATTGATCATGGAACGCCAGGCAAAAACCATAGGAAGCTCTGGCAATTTCCATTTGGACAAAATAATTTTCCTTGCATAATGAGCGGCATAGAAAACAAACAGTTTGGTATGGGTGGTGGTAGGTAGGTTATCGGTTACACCCAGTAATAAAATCAAGGGGTCCACTTCTAAACGAAGGCTACTAATCCCGTTCATGTCAGCCACCGCCTCTCGCCAAAAGATCTGGAGTAGGGAGCAGGCCCATACCATATGTATAAAAGTTCCCACCTCTGGCGGCATTTAGGGCAGACTGCATCAACGGTGCGGTAAATGACCGACAACCTCTGAGGTGTATAGTACACCCTGTGATGAAACTTTAATTGTATAAATCTGTCTTTAGCTGTAATCATAAGGGGAATATATTGCTGTAGGCCTTCGGTCCAATCTTCCTCAGTTAAATTAGGGACATCTCTCTTCTGGGCAAGGTAGGTCCGCGACGTGCTATTGGTGCCCCTGCAGGTCAACCTTGGATACGGATATTTTTTAATGTAATGAGGGTTTTGTTTGGTTGTACGTTACTTGGTTCTTGTGTGACACGTTCCAGTACTGTGAAGCTACTTGAGCTGGTTTTTCAGCTGCCGCAGTTGGGGATAGTGCAAACCTTTTGTATTTTCATATGTGAATTAATTTTTTCTCTTACAACAGCATTTTATAATAATGAAAGCAAAGTGTCTGCATATCAGTCAGAGGGCTGCCTTTATTTTTTAGCCTGGCTTCTTTTTCACCAGTTTTTATTGAATGCCATCATCTCATATATGAGGACATTTTAGCATTTTAGACGTACCTAAACCCAAAAGTGTTGGAAGCCCTGTTTATTGCTGTTTGTGTTCTCACTGGGGAGATTCACCCCTTCTATTTGTCCTGGTGACCAGTATCTCTGGGAATGAAAGGGAGAATACTGTATATATGAATTTTTAAGTTGTCACTGGAATGGGAATTGAGGTGATTTTTCTTTTTTCAGTGGAGACACTTGTTTGGTAAAAATTGTCCAAGGGGATTTCCCTCACTTGAGAGATTTCCCCTCATTTCCTATCATGTCATCATAAGAGATGGCAAAAAAAATGGCCGGGTTATCGTTCGATGACATTTAAGGGCCTGTTCACACTAGAACGTGTTGTGGGAAACCCAGTTCCATGCATGTTTCCCGCACCATGTTCAAACCAATCTGCTCTTGCGATCCGCAGCTGGTGTCCATGCAATCTTGACAGCACCTGAAATGCAAGTCACAAATGCAGTACAAAAGTAGTGAATGCGGTACTTTTTGTGCAGTGCAATTTCAGCCATTTTAAATAAATGGGCTGAAATTACACCTCACAGAACTGCATGTGAATCGTGCAGGAATGTGCAATGCGATTTATAGTGTGAATGGGTCCCTAAATCTTTGAACCTTCTATGGTGAGACACTCAGATGAACAAAGACGCTGCAGGCCAAGTTTGCTTTGATACAGCAAGATACCTTTTACAGTTGGACTCCCTGACATTTTTTGTCTTTCGGACTGAGCTAACCCTCTTGTCACTGACCTATGCACTTTGTCTTTGCAGAGTTGTAGCCACACTGATGGCTTCCATACATCACCCTTACCGTGGGTGTCCCCAACCCCCCCCCCCCCCCCCAGCGCACACCCCCACCATTTTTCCCATTATTAGATGGGCTTTGAGCTTTGCACTCCAAACAGCAGACCCAGGACTGGCACTGTGTTTCTGCCCAGTAGATGGGAAGAAAGATCAGCAAGCATTCACAAATCTCCTTTTCCTGTTACTGACCTGGAAGCGACATGTAATGCTGAGACCTGGTGTATCTTTCCTCGGCCAATATGGCAGGGGAAGAAACTAATACAACGCCATCTGTGCCCCAGTAGTTTTGGCGGACAGGTGAGGCATCAGGGGTCTTTTAGACCCCCTGATATCTCATTAAAGAAAACTGGTCACCAAAAATGCATCACATAGGAGAGTGTTTGGGTAGCTGTGCTATGCTGTTTGTCTTGATGCAATAGCATACATTTGGAAGACAGCAATGAAAAGCAAGTGGAAAAAATAATTGGTCACAGAAGTGGTTGACCATCTCATACAAGTTGGTAGAGGATGGTTCTCCAAATGTTCTCTATAGAACATTAACCACTTGAGCTCCAAAGGATTTACCCCCCTTAATGACCAGGCCTCTTTTTGCTACTCGGCGCTGCACTAATTCAACTGATAATTGCGCGGTCATGCAGTGCTGCACCCAAACAAAATTTACGTCCTTTTTTTCACACAAATAGAGCTTTCTTTTGGTTTAATTTGATCACCTGTGCACTTTTTATTTTTTACGCTATAAACAAAAAAAGGCCAAAAATTTTGAAGAAAAACAATTTTTTTACTTTCAGCTAAAAAAAATATATAGTAAACTCAAAGTTGGTTATAAATTTAGGCCAAAATGTATTCTGCTACATGTTTTTGGTAAAAAAAATCCCAATAAGTGTATATTGATTGCTTTGTGTGGAAGTTATAGCATCTACAAACTATGGTATAAATCAGCAATGGGCAAACTACGGCCCGCGGGCCGTATACGGCCCGGCGGACCTTTTAATCCGGCCCGCGGAGCTAGGCTCCCGCTAGGCTCCTCTCACAGTCCGCCCTGTTTCCTATGAGGATCTGTCTCCCCTCGACGTATCTGTGCATGTGCCGGAGATCGCCGATCGGCTGCTAATGCCTGAAACTGGCACATGCGCAGATACGTCGAGGGGGACAGATCCTCATAGGAGACAGATTTTCATGCTACACCGAACGGCGCGGGAACAAGAGGAACGCGCGGAGCAAAGGTAAGTGAATTGACACAGGGGGGACTTGGGGACTTAATATGGGGGATGAATAATATGGGGAATGAATTACTATATGGGGGATGAATTACTATATGGGGGATGAATTACTATGTGGGGGATGAATTATTATATGGGGGATGAATTACTATGGGGGATGAATTACTATATGCGGGATGAATTACTATGGGGGATGGATTACTATATGGGGGATGAATTACTATATGGGGGATGAATTACTATATGGGGGATGAATTACTATATGGGGGATGAATTACTATATATGAATATGTGGGGGATGAATTACTATAGGGGGGATGAATTACTATAGGGGGGATGAATTACTATAGGGGGGATGAATTACTATAGGGGGGATGAATTACTATAGGGGGGATGAATTGCTATATGGGGGACGAATTGCTATATGGGGGACGAATTGCTATATGGGGGACGAATTACTATATGGGGGACGAATTACTATATGGGGGATGAATTACTATGGGGGATGAATTACTATGGGGGATGAATTACTATGGGGGATGAATTACTATATGGGGGATGAATTACTATGCTTACTATGGGGGAATATTACTATACTTACTATGGATGACACATACACATCATTCATCTACTCTTGGTCCGGCCCCCGGGTCCAATATATGAACCCATTGCGGCTCTCAAGTCAAAAAGTTTGCCCACCCCAGGTATAAATACTGCAATTTACGCCATTTTTCTGCTATACAGCGCTGCGCTAGTTTAACGGACAATTGCGCGGTCATGCAATACGGTACATAAATGAAATTTACATAATTTTTTCCCCACAAATTGAGCTTTCTTTCGGTGGTATTTGATCGCCTGTGCGGTTTTTATTTTTTGCGCTATAAAAAAAAAGGCTGACAATTTTGAGGAAAAAAAAAAAAAAAACAATATTTTGGACTTTTTGCTATAAAACATGTCCAGTAAAAAAAAATGCAAAAATCAAATTCAGTCATAAATGTCTGCCAAAATGCATTCTGCGACATGTCTTTGCTAAAAAAAAACCCCAATACGTGTAAATTAATTGGTTTACGTGAAAGTTATAGCGTTTACAAATGGCGGGAAAGATACTGGGATTTTTAGTTTTTTTTTTTTTATACTAATAATGGCGGCGATCAGCGAATTATGGTGGCGATCAGGGACTTATGGCAGCGACCAGCGACTTATGGCGGGACTGCAGCGGACATTCTGACATTGGGGGGTACTGACTTGGGGTCACTAACATCCCCCAAAACACTAATACAGTGATCAGTGCAAAAAAAAAAAAAAAACACTGACACTGTACTAATGGCAATGGGGAGGAAGGGGTTAACTTTATTTTGCAGGGAAGGGTTATAGGAGTGAGGGGAGTGTTTTACTAGGGGGGCGGGGGTGTGTACTGGACGGGACAAGGCTGATCGAGAACGAGAAACTATTCTTTCTTGATCAGCTCATCCTCGAGCTGACAGGGAAGTGACAGCACAGCTACTGCAGCTGTGCTCTCTGTCACTGTTTGCCGCCGATCGCCGGGGAACAGCTGCTAAGGACCAGCTGTGACGCGGCGGTGATCGGTGGGACAGATAGGGCGGCGGCGCGCCTCGCGCGCGCCCCCTATTTGTTTACAAAACACACGTTTTAAAACGTGGTTTTGCCTGCGAGTGCCGCCCTGCCGCCGTATATCTACAGTGGCTGGGCGGCAAGTGGTTAAAGCAGTATTAAACCCAAAAATGTATTATGTTGCAGATTACCAATCATTAGATGTGTTTTCTTTTCTTTGGCTTTCTTCCCTTCTGTATCCACCTCGTGATCTGGACAGTAACACATCTCCAGTATTAGTGAGACACTACTCTGGATGAAGGCGCACAGGGGGCACCTGTGGACAGCAGCATTGTCAGTCTGGGGGGAGGGGAGTGTTAGATGTTTTAGCAGATTTAATTCACTAACAAATTGAAGCCAAACTCCAGCTCATACAGTACTTTATAAGCAGTTACAGCAACACTTGTTTTCCTTTTGGGATAAAGGTTTATGTAAATTAAAACTGATAATTGTAAGCACCCCTGTCAGTGGTAAATGGATTGTCTCAGCCCTCTAACTGCTACATCTTGAAGACAGCTTGTTCTGTTGAAAAACAGATTTGCTAGTTAGATCCAGGTGAAATTAAAAGAAGACAAGACTAAAAGTAAACGAATGCAGCCATCACATCTAAGGATTGGAAAGTTGCAATATAATAAATGATTGATTTGGGGTTTAATATTGCTTTAAAAGCTGAACAGCTGGCAGGCACCTAAATACACAGAATACATATATATATTGTACAGAGTTTTACCTGCCAAAAGATTTGTATTTCTCCAGTTCTGAGATTTACAGTTGCAAGAAAAAGTATGTGAACCCCTTGGGATTACGTGGAGTTTTGCATTAATTGGGCATAACGTGATCTGAACGTCATCTAAGTCACAACAATAGAAGAACACAGTCTGCTGAACATAGTACTACACAAACATTAGATGTTGCCATGGTTTAATTGCACATAACATGTAAACATTCACAGTGCAGGGAGGAAAAAGGATGTGAGGCCCTAGCTTAATGACTTCTCCCAGAGCTCATTGGAGCCAGGAGTGAGCCAACCTTGACTCCAATCAGTGTGATGATATTGGATGTGTTGCTGACATCTGTTCTGCCCTTAAAAATCACACACCTGTTTTGGGTTTACTGGTTTCAAGAAGAACTGTCTGATGTGAACCATGCCTCGCAGAAAAGAGCTCTCAGAAGACCTACAATCAAGAATTGTTGACTTGCATGAAGCTGGAAAGGATTACAAAAGTATCTCCAAAAGCCTTGATGTTCATGTGTCCATGGTAGAGAGACTGTCTACAAATGGAGAAAGTTTAGCACTGTTGCTACTCTCCCTAGGCGCGGTCGTCCTGTAAAAAGGACTGCAAGAGCACAGCGCAGAATGCTGCATGAGGTAAAGAAGAATCCCAGAGTGTCAGCTAAACACCTACAGAAATCTCTGGCACATGCTAACATTTTTGTTGACACATCTACAATAAGGAAAACATTAAACAAGAATGGAGTACATGGGAGGACACCACGGAGGAAGCCATTGCTGTCCAAAAAGAATATTGCAGCACGTTTGAAGTTTGCAAAAGAGCACCTGGATGTTCCACAGCACTACTGGCAAAATATACTGTGGACAGATGAAACCAAGAGTGAGTTGTTTGGGAAGAACACACGACACTATGTGTGGAGAAAAAAAGGCACAGCACACCAACATCAAAACCTCATCCCCACTGTAAAACATGGTGGAGGGAGCATCATAGTTTGGGGCTGCTTTGCTGCCTCAGGGCCAGGACGGATTGTTGTCATTGATGGGAAAATGAATTCCAGAGTTTATCAAGACATTTTGCAGGAAAACGTACAACCATCTGTCCGCCAACTGAAGCTCCGCAGAGGATGGGTGATGCAACAGGACAATGACCCAAAGCATACAAGTAATTCAACAAAACAATGGCTGCAACAGCACAGAATACTGAATAGAATACTGTGTTCTTCTATTGTTGTGACTTAGATGACGTTCAGAGCACATTTTATGCCCAATTCATGCAAAACTCCACGTAATCCCAAGGGGTTCACATACTTTTTCTTGCAACTGTATATTGCCCTGCCTCACAACACAGCTCTCTCTGGCTAGGCAGGAGACCAGGTTTTTTTTTCTGCTGCAGGTAAAGGAAATCTATGGTCAGAGCATACCCTTTCACTTTATAACATCACATTATTTTTAACAATCCAATATAAGCTTAATTTCACAAATCTAGTTTTATGATGTGACTTCAGCTCGTCTGCCTACTCTTTCCACAACTGCCCTGATTTCCACATGCCGTGATTCCTCTACTGTTTGCTGTCAATTTTTAAGGACTACATACCCCATGGAACCTTGCTGCCTGCAAGCTGTGATTCCTGTATTGACTCCGCCTCCTGAAACTCCTCCTGTCAGCGCCTCTGTATTTCAGAAGGCAGGCTTTGTGAAATGTGTGACACAGCAGTGCCTACGCACAGGTCATAGTGAATACATGTCACAGAATTCAGGAAGGTAAATGTGTGGGAGTCTTCACAAAGTTCACCTCACATCAGTTTCAGGATCAATTCACACTACTGCGTTGACCTGCATTTTAGTGCACTGGTAAAACATGGGACATACAGAAAATGATTGTTTCCTGTGTGTCCCATTCACACCGCAACACAGCCCAGAGCTGCACTGCAGGGGGCTGTGATAGAATGCAGACATGCTGCATTGTATCGCAACGCACAGTACAGGATCACATGGCTCTGTACGGCAGCACAGAGCATTGCCTTGCGCTGCTGGACAGTGCCATGAATTTAAATAAATTATGTACAAAAAAAAAAAAAAGGAGCCTCGTGATGCACTGAATCATGCACCACGCTGCCCCCTACTGCAGCTGGTAACAGGCAGTTAAAAAAGAACTAAAAGGTCAGTGCTTGGTGTCAAGAAAAGCAGCAGCTAGTACAAAAGTTCAATAAACAAAGACTTCAGAGTAAAAAAAGTAAGGCCCCTTTCACACTGGCGTTCCATTTTTTTTTCATCAGTTCAGTCATGTTTTTTTCCAAGAAAAAAAACAATCAGTTCACATCAGTTTTTCATCCGTTCGCATCTTTTTTTCGTCCATTCACATCCGTTTTTCGTCCGTTCACATCAGTTTTTTTTGTCCGTTCACATCTGTTTTTTGTCCACATCCGTTTTTTTTTGTCCGTTCACATCTGTTTTTTTTGTCCGGTCACATCCGTTTTTTTTTTTGTCCGTTCACATCTGTTTTTTTTGTCCGTTCACATCCGTTTTTTTTGTCCGTTCACATCCGTTTTTTTTTGTCTGTTCACATCTGTTTTTTTGTCTGTTCACATCTGTTTTTTTGTCTGTTCACATCTGTTTTTTTGTCTGTTCACATCTGTTTTTTTGTCTGTTCACATGTGTTTTTTTTGTCCTTTCACATCCGTTTTTTTTGTCCGTGTACATCCGGTTTTATCCATATACATCCGTTTTTCGTCTGTTCCGTTTTTAACGGAAGAAAAATAGAGTTTTCTTCCGTTCAAAAAAACGAATGTAAACAGATGATCATCAATTTACATCCGCTAATCCATAAAAATACATGGGTATCTGTTTTTCATCCGTAAACGGACAGGTGAAGAACAAACACACAGAACGCCCGTGTGAAAGGGGCCTAAACACAGTGCAGCGCTCCGCTGTTTCCCTTTTTTATGGGGAACAAACAGCCGCTGGAGCAGTAAAGCGCTCTGGCAGCTATTTGCTATAGTGTTATGCTGGCCTTATAGGAATAGGCTAGAAATAATTGAAATACAATGTGGAAATGAATATATGAGTTTACATTTTGACCGTAGATACACTTTCAGTGACACTTGCGGGTCTTGTCCCTCCCCCAGAATCAGCAATTGATGAGCTCATCTCTTGGTCCTTCTGCTCTCACTTCCTATTAGCATGTAATGTATTAACATAACTGTTTGTACAGCTGACTGGCTGTTTGTAATGATTTTCCCTCTCCCAGTCTGAGTTCTGGTTCTCTCTTCTCGCTTCTGCCAGCTTTCATATAAAAATATACATTTAAGGACACAATAATGGTTACAGAGCTGCATTAATTTGTGTCTTTTATGCCTGCCTGGATTTTTGTTATACATTAGATCCATATCAGCATATGATTCATAGAAAAGTGTTGGGAAAATGTTGTCTCAGAATGCTTTTGAGAGGGAGCTGTCCCATTAACAACCATTATAAGCACATTCTGTCTTTTCATTTTATATTATGTTCCAGTGTGTTTTGGCAGGCATTGAGCGTGGGGGGGATAAAAAACCTTTTTCAAAACATACGTTTTAACAGCCTCTTAAATGCAGAAGTGGGACTGGGCCTGAAATAGGTCACATGCATTGTAGAAAACGTGCCCAGATATCACATGTAGAGCGCTGGAGCGGGATCCCTTTGTACGGCTTCTCTGAAGCTTCTGCTGGGTGGTGATGGCATTGATTTCTGACCTAGAATGTAGTAGGCATTTATGGCCAATTGTACCAGCTGATACTTTTACTACATCCTCTATTTATTGTTCCCCGCAGGGTAATAAAAGACTTCATGATCCAAGGAGGAGACTTTGTCAATGTGAGTTTCCATGACAACGCAGCATCATTGAAACTGTTTAGAATGTGGTAGTTTAACAAGGATTGTCTGGGGGAGAGGAGAGTGTTGTGGATCTGATTTAGTCTGTGGATGGATAAGTATACAGAGATAAATAGAGAATGTATTCTGTTAGCTAGTTTATATTTTATGTTTATTTCACTGTGTCTGGGCCGTTAGCATTTTATCCACATCAATACCTCGTGGTTATACCAGGATCATGACTGCAGATACAGTAACAATTGGTATTATTATTATACAGTATTTATAAAGCGCCAATGGTTCGCTCAGCTCTGTACATTACAAAGGGGGACAGAACATGTGACAGAACAACAACAATACAATGCAGAACATGAGGGGATTGAGGGCCCTGCTCTTTCGAGCTTACAATCTAGTATTGTTTTTTACTATTGGCGATTCTTTACAAGATTACAGCGAGTGGATCACTTTTACAGGCGGTGGAACGGGGTCCCCTGTCCCCTCCTGCCGATGCCTTTACTGAGCTCTGCCGAGTGATCAGGGAGCCTGGTAAGGATGCCACCAGCGGCAACGGCTTCCCCGAACACAGAGGAGCTGATCTTGTTCCTCTCACTGTGTGATGTCAGAAACCGGAAGTAACGAGGATTTTGTCACTTCCGGTTTCTGATTCTTTGTCTACATGCCATTACCGGCTTGTGAAGCAGCAGATCAAACCGATCTTAGTTTGATCCTGCTGCTTTGGAGGCCAGAGGAGAGCTCTGCGGTCCCCAGATCTCTCCATAAAGAGGACATGTCACGACCCATGCTATCACAAGGGATGTTGTTGATCTGTTGTGGTAACAATTAAGGTGATAAAAAAATTTAAAGTACTGTGTTAAAATAAAAAATAAACAATTGAATAATAAAATAAATATTATTATTGTTATACAGTATTTATAAAGCGCCAATAGTTCGCTCAGCTCTGTACATTACAAAGGGGGACAGAACATGTGACAGAACAATACCAATACAATGCAAAACATGAGGGGATCGAGGGCCCTGCTCTTTCGAGCTTACAATCTAGGAGGGAGGGGATAGTGGTACAGGAGGAGATAGCTGTGGGGGATGGAGTGGTAGGAAGAGTGGAGGAGGTCGGCAGGTTAGTAGGGGTTGGGGTAGGCTTCCCTGAAGAGATGGGTTTTCAGGGTGCGCCTAAAGGAGAGGAGAGTAGGTGATATTCTGATGGGTTGGGGCAGGGAGTTCCAGAGGATGGGTAACACCCTGGAGAAGTCCTGGAGGCGGGCATGGGAAGAGGAGACCAGGAAACTAGAGAGAAGGAGGTCTTGTGAGGAGCAGAGTGTGCGTGCTGGGCACATTTTAAAGTGTCTCCATTCCCCCACCCCACAGTCATCAGAGTTAGAACAATAATTTTACTGCCAGATCTCCTGTGTAACTGTAAACTGGTTACCTGTAAATGCTTTTCAAGCGTCACCTATGGATAATTTAATGTACCGTAGTTTGTCGCTGTTCCACTGGCTTGTGAAATTTTACAGCATGATATGTTTGGTACAGGGGTAGGCAACCTGCAGCTCTCTAGCTGTTGTGGAACTACATTTCCCATGAGGCATTGCAACATTACAAAACTGACAGTTACAGCTATGACTTGCAGAGGCATGATGGAATTTGTAGTCCTGCAACAGCTGGAGAACCGCAGGTTGCCTACCCCTGGTTTGGTATCTGTTTATTCAGCATAACATCATCTTTTATATTTTACCCAAAAATTGGGTATTATATTGTGTTTTGGCGTCAAATCAGCTACGATCCGGGTATAACCACTTCTTATACAGGATGTTTGTATACATATACTGGACGGGAAGTGGTTAATAAGGAAGGTGAAACAAATTTAAAGGCTACATTCACATGGGTGCACAGGGGCAGCCAGGAGTGTCCATTGAAGAGAATCCTTTTTAATCACTGCCTGCACACATTGTGTGTAAATAGCAGTGGCTGTCACAATTGTTCTCCTTAGAAACCAATGTCTGTTAGCACCATTGCTATGCACATGTAGCCCCGCAGCTGAGCGTTTATATGTAAATAGAGCCTCCAATAGGGTTTGCACTTATTCTGGCTACACACAAACTGTCCACACCTAATCAACCATTGTGTATGTGACTATAGCACAGAATGTTGCTGAGTCCAGAGGAGACGTTTAATCATCTTGGAACTCAGCAAGTTATTCACCCCTGGCTGCCTATGTGAATGTAGCCAAGGGCATCTAAACCCAGAAGAAAATAATATATATTGCAGCTTAAAGATTCTTAAATGTAGTGTCTGCATTAGTTTCCTTTTTTTAGGCTTTTTTTATTTATTTCACCTGGTGATCCTGCCAGTAAGATTTATATTTTTTAACTTCCTGAACCAACCTGTGCAGGAAAAGTGGCGTTAGAGGACTGAGACCATTTACTGCTGACAGGGGTGCCTACCATAGTCTGCGTTTATACATCTGTGCATTACCTTTACACCAAAAGGAAAAAAAAACTGTTGCTGTGGCTGCCTATAAAGTATTAGCTGGAGTTTGGCTCCAATTTGTCGCTCAGGCCCATCTAAATATCTAATCCCCCTCCCCAGACTGACAGTGCTGCTGTGCAAAAGTGTCTCTGTTGCTTCTCCATAGAGTGAAGCCACTCTGAGACTGGGAGTGTGTTTACTGGTTAAAATAAAGGAAAAAAGCCAAAAAAAGAAAACTAACACAGCAATGATTTTAAAGTATAACTCTTTTTTTTTTTTTTGTTAAGTTTTGGACAGAGTGGAGAGGGATTAGAACGCCTTTCAGTTTTGTATTGCTGTCTGTGCCCTCATTAAGGAGAAGATTCACCCTCTGTATGTCAATATCATTGAAAGTGGAAGTAAACAGGATCCCAAACTTTGAGTTGTCCCCAGAAAAGTATTAGAGGGGAAAACTTCCAATGGGGACACTAGTTCTGGTGACCTGGGAGTCCCCGAGGGATTTCCTTAATTTGCAGGGATTGCCTTTCACTTCTGGTTTGGCTATGGACAGGAAGTGAAGGGAAATCTCTGAAATGAACACAGGTGGAACTCCTGACGCTTTAGGAGTTCCCTTCCACTGGAACTAAGGGGCCAAGCCCAACCCCTGAAAAACGACCCCACACCATAATCCCCCCTCCACCCAACTTTACACTTGACACAATGCAGTCAGGCAATTACTGTTCTCCTGGCAACCACCAAACCCAGACACATCCATCGGCTTGCCAGACAGAGACTCGTGATCCGTCACTCCAGAGAACATATCTCCACTGCTCTAGAGTCCAGTGGCGGCATGCTTTACACCACTGCATCCGCCGCTTTGCATTGCACTTGGTGATGTAAGGCTTGGATGCAGGTGGTCGGCCATGGAAACCCATTCCATGAAACTCTCTGCCCACTGTTGTTGTGCTAATCTGAAGGCCACATGAAGTTTGGAGGTCTTCAGCTATCAATTCTGCAGACAATTGGTGACTTCTGCGCACAGCGTGTGCTGACCCCGCTCTGTCATCTTACATGGCCTACCACTTCATGGCTGAATTGCTGTTGTTCCCAGTTGCTTCCACTTTGTTATAATACCACTAACAGTTGACCGTGGAATATTTAGTAGCCAGGAAATGTCACGGATGGACTTATTGCACAGGTGACCACCTATCACGGGACCACGCTTGAATGCACTGAGCTCCTGAGAGCGACTCATTCTTTCACAAATGTTTATAGAAGCAGTCTGCATGCCTAGGTGCTTGATTTTATACACCTGTGGCCATGGAGGTGATTGGAACACCTCAATCAAATGATTTGGAGGGGTGTCCCAATACTTTTGGCAATATAGTATATCTTAACAGCTACTTAATGTTATACCTAATTTTATTCGGGACAAATATGGCCATCATTTGGTTGTAAATGGCAGGGGTTATGGTCTGGTTTGTATTTTTCTCAAAGGAATACTGGCCCAAAATAGAAAAACAAATATGTTTTTTAAACTTTGCTATATATTTCTTGCCATTACTGTCACCAACCACCTAAAAACAACTAAAAAAATAAAATCTCCTTCTAACACCTATCTATTATTTGTTGTTTGTACCTATAGTAGGACCCAGAAACAATAGTGTGCATTTTGCCTTCTGAGAGGGCAATGAATCCTATCCTACACTGACTGGCTGTCACAGTGATCACATGATCAGGATTCTGTCCTTCCGACCCCTGATTGCCACTCTGTGACTGGGAGCTGTGGGTGACAGTGCGATCACAGTACCCACAGTGACAATATATTGTCTGCTAGAGGAAATATTTTGAGGTATAACCGATTTTTTTTTTTTGTTGAAAAGCGTATTTGTGTATTCTAAAAGCAAATGTAAAGCTCTTGAAAAATGGACGGTCTTGTAAACTGTCTCCTGTTCATTTAATCCTGTATTCAACTTCCCACAGGGCGATGGCACCGGAGTCGCTAGTATATACAGAGGACCATTTGCAGATGAGAACTTTAAACTAAAACACTCGGCTCCTGGCCTGCTGTCTATGGTATGTATGGGCATAGCATGTCTTTGTATCCTGAAGTGGCTAGCAGAGCCATTCAGTTTTATCTCAAATATCTTTTCGTCTTAGAGCTACAACAGTTAAAAAAAAATTATATATATATATATATATATATATATATATATATATATCCAGATGTAAGCCTTATTCACATGGACGCTGAGGCCCCTGGACTGTAACAGGGCCCTTGCGTATGTGGCTTGAGCCACCAGATGCTGTGTGCAGGCAGCCCATGTAAGTGTATGGAGATGCTTTGCTATACGGACACAGCTGCTTGTCCTAACTTGATGTGGATGTGTGGGCCCGAACGCACACTGTCTGCATTCTGGACCACTCACCCACATGCTTGTTAAATTAGGATGAGTGGCTGCATCTATACAGCAGCTGCATCCCCATGCACTTACATGGGCTGCCTGCACGCAGCACCTGGCAGCTCAAGCCCTATAAACATATGGCCTATTCATGGTCTATGGATGGATGACAGCACCCATGTGAATGAGGCCTAGAGTTGGAACTTCAGCATAAACTGTTTTCTCTGCTTTGGATAGAGTGGGGGATAATTAGAACCATTGTTATGTTTTTATTGCTGTCTTTTCTCCATTGGGGAGATTTCCCCTCACTTCATATCCCAGACACAACAAGAAGTGAGAGAAAATATCTTCACGTTAAGGGGAAATCCTCCATTTGACCATTGTCAACATGTGGCCCCCATAAAGAACATTTCCCTCTATTTCTGGTTCTGTTGCAACAGTACAACTTAGGATTTCCCCTTCCCTTTTGGGCAACATTGTCACTGCAACCACGAGTAGCAAAACTTAAAGTGTTACTAAACCCACAACAGTAAAATCAGTCTGTATATGCAGTAAAACATGCTTGTTATACGCACTGTGGAACCTAAAGGGTTAATTCTCTGCATGTATAAAAAGGATGTTTGATCCTGCCTTCTCTTATCCTCCCCTTCTTTTACTGTCCCCAATCCATCTGCTGATAGCAGAGAGCTTTAGGAGTCACTCTGCACATGTTCAGTTTGGTGTGTATTAGTAGAGAGTTTGTTTTTTTTTGTCTTGGGAGGATGCATGTGATCAGCACAGGACCAATCAGCACTGTCCAGACAGGGTCAGGGGTTCTGCAGCTTCATAGAACAATCAGGAGAGAATGAAAACTCCACCTACAAGCTTTACCAGTGCTCTGCTGGACACTGATAGAAGTCACAAGACTTCTCTAACTGCTGATGAGAAAAGCTATGTAGCAGTCTATATGCACTACAATAATTGCATTTCCATGTTCTGTGTACTGTGGGAGACCGGATACAGTGAAAGCAGTGTCTTGGGTTTAGTAACACTTTAAGAGGTTTTTTTTTTACCACTTCTCCACTCTATTCAGAACTAAAAAAAAATGGAGATACCCTTGAAGGTGTTTTTCAGCTTGTTATTTTTTTAATATAATAGGTTAAAATTCTATTTCTAGATTTAAATGGCAGATCTTGGCTGGAAATTAAATTCAAGCTCTGTGTCTCACTATTGTGATTAGTAATGTTCACTGTTTTTCCACATAGTTTGTAGGAGGTGGGACATTTGCACTGAGTCTGCATAACTGCATGCTTCACATACCAAAAGCAACACTTTGACACCATAGTGCTAAGGGATTCTTGGGAAACAGAATGGACTGTAATGGATGGTAACCATCAGCTCTCTCCCAAGACAGGAATGTTGCACCATTGCTGCCCTCTTGAGACCGGGGAATCTTGAATGACACAAACACAACAAAAGGGTGCACAGACCTAGTACATTGCCATCAACATTTTATTAGAATATAAAAACGGGTGAGTACATACTCACAGGAACCAAGTTATATTATCATTGTACAAAACCCAGAAGACAATGGTATTCCAGATGGTGAACACACAAGGTCCTGACAAGTCAAACTGGTGCTGACACATTTCGAGGGACATGCCCTCTTCAGAGCAAACTCAAGTTTGCTCTGAATAAGAGGGTTTGTCCCTCGAAACAAGTTGGCACTAGTTGTGAGTTTATCTTCTGGAATATCATTCTGTCTTCTGGGTTTTGTGCAACACTGGTAATCCTTGGCTCTCTTTAGTATGTACTCACCCATTTTTATTTTCAAATACAATTTTGACAATAATGCACTAAGATTTCTGCTTTGTTTGTATAACTGCATGCTTTGTAAAATTATGTCACTCACCTTTGCATCTGACTCAAGATTGTATACACTGTGTTACAAATACTTGTATGTAATATATGTGTTTTAAACTACGTATTTAGCTATTTTCTAGGATGCAAAGGCAACTTGAAGGTGACAGTGTTAATGTGTTTTCATATTGTAATAATCAAATACAATTACAGTTTTAATGAATATTTTATTAAAACGTGGACAATATATTTAAACCATTTTTGTACATTTTGTAAACCTATATTAAAAAAGATTTTTATGTCCTTCAAAACATGTAACAAAGGTTAGCTATTCAAATTAGTCTTAGAGTTGACTCATACCGACATTACTAAATTTGGTATAGGCATCAGTGATCTCACTTTATAACGGGGGTACTAATTAAAAGAAACAACACAAAAGAATGTTGATCTGGGAATATCTGATTGTCCTAGTGGATTGGGAAAGCATTTTTTCCTGTTAGAGCAAATTAGACAAGGCTAATAAGGGATTTAGGCTTTATAAGGGATTTTTTTTTTGCCTTTCTCTGGATCATATGCATGGATAACCTCGATGGACATGTCTTTTTTCTCAACTTGAGTAGCTATGCTCTTTAGGTCTATTGTATCTTTCAGGGCACGTACAAATTCATAGTGATGAAAATTTCTAGCATCAATTGGAGGCATTGGAGCGTAAAATTGTTTGCTAAGTTAGCAACTGACTGAATCACTGAAAAGACCCTGCACGTGTCAACAATAAGAATGGCAAAGCTCAGAAACTGGGCATTGCAAGGAAAACACCTAAAACAATTTGAGCTTTATAGCTGGACTGCAGGCAAACTCTTAAATACATTGCTTAAATACATTCAGGCTTCATGCACACTTGAGCTCAAAAACGTGTTTGGGGTTTGTTTTTTTTGGGGGGGGGGGTTTGCCTCTAAACGCCCCTCTGTGTTAGCCTATGTGTCCATGCATAAATAGAAAAAAAAATATATCACTTGTGTATTCAAGAGGGAAGCGTTTTGGCAGAAAAAAACCCACCAAACTTGTGTAAACGTGCCTAAGCGTTAGGCCTGTTTAGCACTTGAACTTTTTTATTTTAATGGCCAGAATAAATGAATATTTTAGGCAGTGAAATAAATGTCCACACCCTTGACGTGCCTAAGCGTGCTTGCAAAAATGCAACTTTGGCACGTTTTTTCTTAAGTTGCTTTTCTCCTGCTAGGAAAAAAGCCTTTAAAAAACCCTAGGCATGAAGCCATTTTGGAGTTATTCTCTTTACATCCCAGGACACAGGGTATCTTCATCTCCAGGTGATGGAACACTGACAAAAAGACAGGAGGTTCCCTCACAGCTATAACTCCCTCTCTGTTAGGCAGGACCTTAGTTTTTTTTTTTTTCTAGTGTCTTAAAGGATGGTTATCTCTGTGCACAAAAGTGTAGCTAGCTTTTCAATGGTTCCACGTGGGATTTCTCTTCGCTTCATCCTCCACCTCTCTGTGGGTGAGTTGCACACAATTGGGCAGCTAGAGGCTGTTGTGAGAACCACTCACCCATAGAAATGAATAGGACATGTTCATATTCAAATGTAGGTGCAGAGCTGAAACAAAAGTGACAAAGGCAATCATAAAGTGCATATGTGAATAAGAGTGTTCATACGATATTCAAGTGACATAAATCTAATAGAACATCTCAGATCATATAAAATCATAGAATCATAAAATCTCTTAAAATATGAACATGGTGAATATAAATAGTCCGTGGCACTACAGGTCACAGAAGTGCCAAGTGGTGCGTGAGCACTTTTCAGCAATAGTAGTGATCATAACTAGTCTATGGCACTACAGATCACAGCAATGCCTGGTATTCGTGGAACTACAATGTGCAGCAATACCAGATGGAATTCTCAAGAGTGCTCATGATCCAACACGGGAATCCACCACCTTATATGGATGTGCACTCACCAGTACGCTACTTGTATGTTCGCGTTCATGCTGATCCTTATGGGGGTCTCAGGAAGCCATAAATAGGGACCGGACTTCTCCAGAGTCAAGGCTATGCAAAACCAGCAAAGGATCCTCCTAAGGGGGAGAAGATCTTTGGAATGTAAAATGGCATCTTCTTGCATCACCATATTTCTGGCAGCATGGCCAAGAAACTTGGAACTCCGCGATCTTTTCAGCACTGTTTGGTGAGGGAGATGACGTCAGCCCTGCATGTGCTGACCACCTCGGTGAGCAGTCCCTTCACCGACTGCCCGTACTTGCAAAGCAGCATGCAGGAGCTGACAGGGGAGAGATCTGTATTGTCTACATATAGTTCTCTTTCCCCCGTCGGTGATACATGGCGATCGCTGGGTGCCAGCGGGGAATCACCGGCCAGGACCTGGTGATCGACAGGTGAGGCCACCAACGCACACACCCTACCCTGGTATGCAAAATAACGTGTGTGTGTGTGTATGTGTGTGTATATATATATGTATGTATATATATATATATATATATATATATATATATATATATATATATATATCCTGCCTGGAGTTTGCATGTTCTCCCTGTGCCTGCGTGGGTTTCCTCCAGGTGCTCTAGTTTCCTCCCACACTCCAAAGGCATGCTGCTAGGTTAATTGGCTCCTGTCTAAATTGTCCCTAGTATGTGTATGTATGAATGCAAGTTAGGGACCTTAGATTGTACGCCCCTAGAGGGTTAGGGACTGATGTGAATGTACAATATATATATATATATATAATATATATATATATATATATATATGTATAATGTATGTATGTAAAGCACTGCGTAAATTGACGGCGCTATAGAAGTACCTGAAATAAATAAATAATTTTGCACACCCCTGCCACCCTGTAGCAGTATTTCTGTTATAGGGCGACATAAAAGCGGTTAAACGACCAATGTATACAACTGTGTTTATATGTACAGTTGTCCTTTTTAGGTAAATAGTGCAATAACATAGCAAAATATGTTGTCACAGAAAATACTCTTTACCTATCAATGGACTAGAGGTCTTTGATAACCATCCAAACTTCTCCTGCAGTTTTGTTCATAATGTGTCTGCTTTTACTGTACACAAAATCATGTCCTCTGTTCTCCTCTGCAGGCCAACAGCGGCCCCGGAACCAATGGCTGCCAATTTTTTATCACTTGCTCAAAGTGTGATTGGCTGGATGGAAAACATGTGGTTTTTGGTGAGTGTTGGGTTACACAATAGCTCAGGCCACACAAACACATTACATTCTCTAGAGACTTGGAACAATGCATGTTCTTGTAGTGCACATACTACAATACAGCTGTTGTAGTCTCAGCAATTGGCTGAGTGGAGAAGCAGTATGCAGGCTCTATAGGAGAATGTACCATGAGTGGTATTGCCGCACTGGCTGTTAGGAGTACTTTTGTTGCATTATAGAGGTTTAAAGTGGTATTAAATCCAAAAAACAAAAAATGTGTTCAAGTACAGGTTACCAATCCTTAAATGTTGTGGCTGCATTAGTTCTCTCTTTTTAGGCTTTTTTTTCCTTTTACTTTCAACTGGTGGTCCTGCCAGTAACGCACTTCCTATTTTAGGTTGTCCCCACTCTGGGGAAGAAGCAGCAGAGACACCTTTTGGATAGGATTGTCAATCTATGGAGAGGGGTAGTGTTTGCAGATTTACGTGGACTTGACTAACAATTTAAAGCTGAACTAATGCTAACAATCTTTAAGCAGTTACAGAAACTGTTTTTTTTTTTTTTTTTTTTTGTTTTTTTTCTTTTTTGGATAAAGGTTTTACATAGATGACTAAAAGCTGACCATTGTAGCACCCCAATTAATAGTAAATGGTTTGTCTCAAGCTTTTAAGGCCCCTTTCACACGGGCGTTCTGGTTTTTTTTTTTTTTCATCTGTTCAGTCAAACGAAAAAATGGATCAGTTTTACATCAGTTTTTCATCCATTTTTCAACAGTTTCCATCTGTTTTTCGTCCATTCTCATCTGTTATTGTCCGTTTTTATATCCTTTTTTTTGTCTGTCTACATCCATTTTTCGTCTGTGTTCCGTTTTTTTTTTTGTTTTTTTTTTTATGGAAGAAAAATAGGGTTTTCTTCCATTCAAAAAAACTAATTTAACATCATTGTAACTCATCCGACATCCGCTATGAAAATCCGGGACAGATGAAAACGCCTGTGTGAAAGGGGCCTTACTGCCACTTTTACTTCCCAGCTTGGTCTGTTAAAGGAAGTTGAAATATAACAAACTTAAGCCTTGTTTTCACTTGTTTTGCTGTTTGAAGCGTGATCTACATTTGGATCACTCTTCAGGGAGGCGCTGAGAAGGTGATACAGTGCACACCTGTTTTTTAACCTCCTAAATACTGGACAACTGCAAGTTGTGTTTGGTTGAAGGGCAGTTGCAGCATAGCCCTATTCACCTGAATGGGTGGCAATTGGTGGTCGCTACCGCACCCAGCACCCACAAACCATTGCGGGTGCAGCATGGGTACACCCATGGCTGCTGCCTCAGCATAGCAAAAGGGGGAGCGGTTGAGGGTGGCGAAAATGTGGCTTGACCTCAGAGTTTTACCACTCCCCATTTGCAGGTGTATAAGAGCCCTTACTAGCAAGATCATCAGGTGTAAAATGGAAAAAAAAAAAAAATGTCTAAAAAAAGAAACTAATCTAATCACTACATCTAAGAATTGAAAGGCTTGCAATATAATATTTTTTTGGTTTAATACCGCTTTATAGGGCAACTACTATGTTAGCCAGCTTGTACTTAGAATGGCCATAGACAGGCAGATTTCCCCTTGAGAATGGCAGGTGGGGATGTCTACTCTTGACTGTACCTAGACTTGTTTATTTTGTGACTTTCCTGCAGTCAGTCCAATTGCAATAGATAAAAAGGGGGGGGTGTAACGAGCGCTGGATAATATTAGAGCAAAATATAAAAGCAGCTGGCATGAAAGGCAAGCCTCCAAAACGCCTCGTGGTATAACAGTCACATACAAAAAACATGCAGCGCTAGAGTATAAAGATCTGTCTCACGATAAGGTGTGACCACCTAATTAGGTATAAACGCAGCTAGCATAAAGGTAATGGTCTAAGCAACCAATACTACAACATTCTCATGGTTAAGAAGGTGTAAATGGTGATATAGGTGTCAAAGTCAATATATCATAGGAATGACGTAAATAAATCTGTGACATCTGTGGTAGGAAGTGTGGCTGTAGAATGCACTAACCGGATAGCACAGATATTAGCACATTAGAGTAAAATGACCTACTCCTGGTCAATGGATCAGGGAACCTGCCGGAGTGGTGGTCGTCTCTGCTGTGGTCACCAGAATCGTCTGCGTCCTCTCCAATTATGGAATTCCCAGGTGTCCAGTGGAATAAACGATCATCCAGTATGTAGTGGAATCCTTATGTCAGCGCCCTCCAGGGGTGCGGTGTGCGCTCAAGGAACAGGAATCGCCTTCAGGGCTCAGAAATAAACCCAAAAGAGAGGCTTCCGATAGTGTGATAACTTTTATTAAGGAGTAATAGACAAATAAAGCACTTACATGGTGCAATACACAATTCCAAAGATGGCCGCCCGTATCAAGGTGTAGACCATGTGGGTAGTAGTGGTAAGTAAAGTAGCATCTAACTAACGCGTTTCGTGACAACATGCAATTGCCACGAAACGCGTTAGAGAGATGCTACTTTACTTACCACTACTACCCACATGGTCTACACCTTTGATACGGGCGGCCATCTTTGGAATTGTGTATTGCACCATGTAAGTGCTTTATTTGTCTATTACTCCTTAATAAAAGTTATCACACTATCGGAAGCCTCTCTTTTGGGTTTATTTCTGAGCCCTGAAGGTGATTCCTGTTCCTTGAGCGCACACCGCACCCCTGGAGGTTGCTGACATAAGGATTCCACTACATACTGGATGATCGTTTATTCCACTGGACACCTGGGAATTCCATAATTGGAGAGGACGCAGACGATTCTGGTGACCACAGCAGAGACGACCACCACTCCGGCAGGTTACCTGATCCATTGACCAGGAGTAGGTCATTTTACTCTAATGTGCTAATATCTGCGCTATCCGGTTAGTGCATTCTACAGTACACACTTCCTACCACAGATGTCACAGATTTATTTACGTCATTCCTATGATATATTGACTTTGACACCTATATCACCATTTTACACCTTCTTAACCATGAGAATGTTGTAGTTTGGTTGCTTAGACCATTACCTTTATGCTAGCTGCGTTTATACCTAATTAGGTGGTCACACCTTATCGTGAGACAGATCTTTATACTCTAGTGCTGCATGTTTTTTGTATGTGACTGTTAGTCCCATTTGCAATATATGCACTAATGAGCCTTTCCAGCATTGGAAGCATTCGTTATTGCCCGCTAAAGAAGGATAAACAGCCCTAACCCAACCCTCTCACAAGTATGGATTGTTCTGGAACGAGCGTCAGCCCCTGAAGCGGGCTTCAAGTGGGACTATAGCAGCCTCCAGTACTGGTTGGCAGAGTGGAATGGCACAAGTAAGAAGGGAAGTGACAGTTTCCTTTATAAAGTGAACCACTGTTCAGGAAATAAACCATTATTGTCTTTAATACAGGCACCTATAGTGCATATTATTTAAAGTATACTTTTGTCGAACTGGAGCTCTAGCACTCCCAATGGGACCTTGAACATGGACACATGTTGACTTCTAGATTATCAGGCAGGGTGGTGTTCCTCTAGTGAACTAACAGTACTCCAAAGACTCAAGCAGAATAGAAATGTGTATTGTATATATTTTTTTTTTTTTTTTTTAGCTATGTTTAACGGTAGCGATCTGACCACCACTGTAAGGGTTGCATTCTTCCAATTGATCCCCAATGTAATGGCCATTTCCCATTGACTCACTATTAATTGGTCTTTGTCAGGGTTTCCCAAGACCTGAAAATTATTTTAGGATTTCCTCTGGAGTAAAAGGTTGAGAAAGGCTGCTCTCCGTTTTCAGTTTTCAGGAGCAGTAACAAGTGCATAGCCAGTGCTGGGCTTTCTTTTATGAAAGCCCCAGCAAGCATTGCACACACTAAAGCATGAATTCACTGTATTAAATATTTATTTATACAAATAATAAAAATCATATGTTTGCATATAAATTCATAAACCTATTATTAAAAACCACTTTAGTTTCCTTTGGACCTTATTAAGCAGAAGGAGATTCTGATTCAGCAGCCAGGTACTTATTTGGCTAAATGCTGGTCTAGACAAGATTGGGCCAAGTGATCTGATCTGCTTTTTCATGGCCAGCTTCCATACTGGTCAATGGGTCATTCGAATCAGAGGAGAGTAAAACATGCCTGCAGTTACTTTGATCCGTTTCCATTGATACGAAAGTGCTTTGCATCACCGTGCACAAATGTACTCTGTATAACATAATGTACATTTTAAGATATCATCTTCCTTATTTTTCTGCTTACAGGTAAAGTGATTGATGGACTTCTTGTAATGAGGAAAATTGAGGTAAAACATTGCACTGTTCTTTCTACTGTAACCTAAAGTGATCTGCAGCCTCTTGTCACGTGACTCTGTGCTCTAAAATCTCTCTCTCTCCCACTGGTTTCAGAGAAGAGGTGCTGCATGGAGCAGCTCAGATTTAGGACTTCAGAAAATATTTGCACATCTAATTTTTTAACAGCATTCCTGTCACCTTAGATTGTTTTCTAAATGCCCTTGCTTTGAGGCTGCGTTGTTCTAGCAGATTTAATAGATGTGGTGTGAATGAGCCCTTAATAGGAAGTTAATTTATAAAGCATATTGATTTATATTACAGATGTGCCTAGTGCTCCACTGGCTTTGGGACTATGAATGCAGTGTCTGCTCTGCTTTATAATTTCCCCTAATTCATTTTATTACTGTGCTGTGACTAGGTATGCTTTGATCTGGTATTTGGAATGCACAGCTGAATGACTCATGGAAGGGATGCCCTTCCCAGCTCGTGTGTCTTTAGTATGAAGTTTCAGTTTACACTGTATGCACGGTTTCATAAATCACCCTGAATTAAAGTGTAAGTTCACCTTTTTAGAAAAAATAAAAAGGCGAATTTACACACTCCTCCCCCAGTCCCCGCTGCATTCTCCGTGGGTGATGAGCTGTCAGTGACCACACAGCTGGTTCAGCGGTCTAAGGATTTTAAATCCCTGCTCTTCTCTGTCTTCTTTCTGCAGGCTTAGAATACGTATCAGAGTGATTCTGAGCGGTTAGCACCAGCACAGAGAATCGCTTTGATCCATCTTGGAAGAGCCGCAGCTAGGAGGGGGAGAAGGGCAGGTATTTTAAATCCCCAGGCCACTGCACCCACTGCATGGGCACTGACAGCTCATTCTCCGCAGTGTAAATATTATTATTATTATACAGTATTTATAAAGCGCCAACAGTTTGCTCAGTGCTGTACATTACAATGGGAGACAGAACATGCGACATTACAATAACAATACAATGCGATACACGAGGGGTTCGAGGGCCCTGCTCCTTGGAGCTTATGCAATCTAGGAGGGAGGGGATAGTGGTACGGGAGGGAATAGCTGTGGGGGATGGAGTGGTAGGAAGAGTGGAGGAGGTCGGGATTTAGCAGGGGGTGGGTTCCCTGGCTTCCCTGAAGAGGTGGGTTTTCAGGGTACGCCTAAAGGAGAGGAGAGTAGGTGATAGTCTGATGGATTGGGGTAGGGAGTTCCAGAGGATGGGTGACACCCTGGAGAAGTCCTGGAGGCGGGCATGGGAGGAGGAGACCAGGGAACTAGAGAGAAGGAGGTCTTGTGAGGAGCGGAGAGTGCCTGTTGGGTGGTACTTGGATATTAGGTCGGTGACGTAGGTTGGGGCAGTATGATGGACAGCTTTGTACGTCAGTGTTAGGATTTTGAATTTGATCCGTTGGGCAATCGGAAGCCAGTGGAGGGATTGGCAGAGGGGGGTGGCGGAAATGGAGCGGTTGGTAAGGTGGATGAGTCTGGCTGCCGTATTCAGGATCGACTGAAGCCATACAACAGAGACCCTGGAGGTGGACATGGTGTACAATGTTATTTCATATTTTTGGGGTTTTTTTTTTTTTTGAAAGGGTGGACTAACCAGCCATGCAAGAAGATGATATGCAAGTAATGAATACAAAATGTTATAAACTTGTAAATCTTAAAATATAACTAAAAGCAAAACTTTTTTTTCAGTTATGAATAGAGTGGAGAGGGATTAGAACCCTGTCAGATTTTATTGTTGTCTGTGCACACGTTAGGGAGATTCACCCTCTCTATGTGTCCTGTTTACCATTCTCATTGAAAGTGAAAGTAAAGAACATCACACGTTTTGGGTTGTCCCCAGAAAAGTAATAGAGGGGAAATCTTCCAATGGGGACACTAGTTCTGGTGACCTGGGGTTCCCCAAGGGATTCCCAGGGACTTCCTCTCACTTTGTTTGGCTATGGGACAGGAAGTGAAGGGAAATCTCTGAAGTGGGACACATATGGCAGAAAAAAAAAAATCTGCTGGGGGTTATAACCTTCCCTTATGCAGGCCATAGACGGGTCGAAAATCGGCCGATTTTGCGGCTGAAAAAAAAAAATCAGCCGATTTTCACACTGTTAGTGGGTTAATTGGTTGGCCGTTTTTCAGGGTTTTGGCACATTTTATTTATCGGTAAAGTTGGAAAAAAATCGGCCGATTTTCCCGGCAATGATGGGCAAATCGGCCGATCGTTTTACCGATAAAAAATCTGCGCATGAGCCGTGACCTGCAAGAAGAAGAAAAAGAAGAATTCCAGTCCGCTATTATATTTGACATGAAAAAGTATTGCGGCTGCAACAATGTATCTATTTGTATCCGAATAAAAACATCTGTATCTGAAATGGATACATTGTTGCAACTGCAATACTTTTTCATGTCAAATATAATAGCGGAGCGCTCTGCAAGGCACAGAAGTAATTAAATGCTGGCCGTAGACGGGACAAAAATCAGCCGATTTTTTTTTTTTTTTTTTTTTTTTTTTTTTCTTTACCATTGGTGGTAACGTCGGCTTATTGAACGACCGATTTTTTTTCATTTTTGTTTTTGTTTTTTTTGGTTTTTTTTGTTTTTTTTTTTTTTAATCGGCCGATTTTCGACCCATCTATAGCCTGCATTACGCTATCCAAAATTTAAAAAAAAAAAGTTTTGCCTATAGTTATGCTTTAAAACAAAAACAAAATTGACCAGAATCATTTGTTTCCCTTTAATTGAACCCTTAATAAGCTCATGAAATACTCACCTTGTTCATAAAAGGAAATTGTTTATGACTAAGGATAATAAAGTAGTTAATAGTTATCACATTCCAAGTGCTTTCTGCTGATCTTTAGCAATTTCACTTGCTGGCCAGAATAAAAGCATAATGACTGTCATGAATATGCGAGGCAACATAAAGTGATCTTTCTCGAGTGTTTCAGCCCCAGCTGATATGTGTACTAAAGGAGGGAATTTGTTTATTTTGCTTAAAAAGCAAATTAATTTTTGTTTGATTTGAATATGTGCCATTTTTACTCCGAACAGCTTTACATAAACTGACATCCCAGGCAAACGTCAGCATTTTTCATTGAAACCTATCCAGCTTTCTGTAGAAGTGATCTAATTTCCATTCTGGCATTCATGTTGCGCAGCTGGATTCACTTTTACCTAAATCCCTATAGGTACCGGTATCCTCGGCTTCAGAAAGGCCGAAGTCTGAGAATGAGAAAATGATGGCCGGTGTGTGTTCCCTGGTTCATTTTACTGCGTTCTTTGTGATCCCAGCGCAGCCCCGTACACTGGAGACTGTACTGCACAGACATGTATCAAGAGGCTGCTGTCCTACCTAGCAGAGGTTATATAAACCTCAAGTTACAAGTGCACTGAATGGGCTTTCTTTAGCTCTGGATGGTGATAGCAGCTTAATACTTAATATGTTACGTAGCTCCAATACTATATTTAGAGATGTATACACTCTCCTGTGACAGATAAAAAGCATATCATTTGCACTGATCTGACAGTTTTAACTAGAAAGTGTATTCATTCTTTGAACAAGTATTGCCATGTTTATGCAATTAGAGTGCAGTAGACAGCCGAATGCCAGCAGAATTCTTTTGAAGCCCAACGTAGGGCTCCCTCCCAAAGCATGCATTTATTATACTTTAGTTTTTTTAATACTTATGTTTTTTTCCCAGATGGGTTTTAGACTTGATATAGGAGTTGATTTACTAAAGCTGCAAAATCTGGTGCAGCTCTGCATACAAACCAATCACCTTCCAGCTTTTTGTCAGAGCTTAACTGAACAAGCTGATGCTAGAAGCTGATTGGCTACCATCAGGGGCGGACTGACCATTTGGACACTCAGGCACTGCCCGAGGGCCCAGGGTCAGTAGGGGGCCCTATGAGATGCCCCTGGTACCTTTTTCATAGGCTTTTTTGAGTTTGGGCAAGGACACAGGGGCCACATGATCCCCTATTGCCCGGGGGCCCCATGAGTTGTCAGTCCGCCCCTGGCTACCATGCACAGTTGCACCAGATTTTGAGTCCTCCAGTTTTAGCAAATCAACCCCATAGGGTCTTCTTTGCCTCTTCTGGGGCTCTGGCCAATTCTTGAAGCCTAACTCAACTGTATCTAAGCATCACAAACTGAAAACACTAATTAAAGTGTTACTAAACCCATAATAGTAAAATCAGTCTATATATGCAGTAAAGCATGGTTGTTATACTCACTTTGGAACCTAAGGGGTTAATCCACATTGTGCAAAAAGGCTTTTTGATCCTGTCTTCTCTGATTCTCCACTTCTACTGTCCCCAATCCAGCTGCTGATAGTACAGAGCTCTAGGAGTCGCTCTGCACATGCTCAGTTTAGTGTGTATGGCTAGAGTTTGTTTTTTTTTACTTTGGGAGGGTGCATGTGATCGGCACAGGTCAAATCAGCACTGTACAGAGAGAGGGTCAGGGGTTATGCAGCCTCATAAGACAGTCAGAGCAGAATGAAAACTCCTCCTACAGATTTTAACCAGTGCTCAGCTGGGCACTGATAGAAGTCACAAGACTCCCATATACTGCTTATGAGAAAAGGTGTTTAGCAGTTTATATTTACTAAAATAATTGCATTTATATGATGTGTGTACTATGGGAGACAGATGTAGTGAATGCAGGGTCTTGAGTTTAGTAACACATTAATTTTTAATATTCAAAGTAAACTCCCCCCATCCATGTCTCCATGCTTTATTTTTTTTTTGAGAAATTGCTTTGAAAACACTGTGCTAGCATTACTAGCTGTGGCCATCTTGTGTAAGGGCAAATGATTCATGTAGCATTTACTTCCTAGAATCCATCTGCCATTAGCTCAGGCATGCATGCAGGAGGGTGTGCCTAGCCAAGAAAAAAACCCTCCTCCGGATTAAAGAAATAAAATGCCCACATTGACTTCTGGATGTTGACATCAGTTTGGCTTAGAACATGTTAACGTTTTTTGTTTTTTTTTAACAAAA